AGAGAGAGAGAGAGAGAGAGAGAGAGTAGTGAGAGAGTGAGCGTGTCTTGTGTGTGTGTGACATCACATGTGAAATTAAGAGGGGAGAAAAGCAAGGGGGGTGAGAGTTTGACCTATGTGGGATGGCCTAAAATTGGGGTTTGTCCCCTACGTTTCTGGCCTAAACTTTTGTCGGTTTTATATTATTAGTAAATTAGAATTACTTAGGGGTAGTTTGGAAGTTAGGAGTCTAAATGAGTGATTCTGTGAACGTGTGTATTCTTTACAATCTATCGTTCTTTTGACATAAATTTATCCAGAATGCATGCATTTTATTGGTACTTTAGAATCTCAAATGACTAGAATCATTCATTTTAGAATCTCTACAAAAAAGGTGAGATTCTCTTGCTTTACTTTTGTAATTGGTTTTTTGCACCTCTTATCCTTATTTTTTTATATATTTCATATTTGCCCCCTTCTTTAATTGACTATATAAAGAGAACTTCAAGGTTATATAAATCTTTTTGGTCATTAAAGTGAGAACCCTTATATTCTTTAAAAGTGAGAATCACAACTAACAAACAACATATTCTTACGATCATCTATTTCTTACAATCACTACACTTAGAATACATACATTGTAAGAATACACATATTCATATACTCCTAACTTCCAAACAACCCCTTATTTACTGTGTTATTTTCATGTTTTTTTTAATTTTCAGTCGTTGCTATGGTGAAATAGAACAACTCTGCCTTTTTTACTTTTTCTAACCACTTTAGAGTTTAGACCAACATCAAATTTGGTGGAAGACCAACCATCAAATTTTTACAGAGGCTCTATAACTATTTTCGGAAGAGACGGTCTAGTAATATGGACACGAACTATTTTCTTATAATTTTTTGAGTTATCGTATACATTTTTATTGGACATTTTACAGTTACCAAGAACTCTCCAAATTCTGATTTGTTTTGAATAAAAGGTATGATATTTATAATAACAACAAGGCACCCTGATAACCAAGCACAAAATGTAGAAGCAAGTAACATTGGAATTTGGCTTCCACTGCGGTAAATATATCATCTTAACATTTTAGGGTGTGCCTACGGTGAGAATCACAACTAACAAACAACATATTCTTACAATCATCTATTTCTTACAATCACTACACTTAGAATACATACATTGTAAGAATACACATATTCATATACTCCTAACTTCCAAACAACCCCTTATTTACTGTGTTATTTTCATTGCACTTTCCGGTCGACCTCAGCTAGGATTAGGTCGACCTCATTTAGAATTCGGTCGACCTCATATAGGATCCGGTCGACCTAATCTGTTGTTTCAGTGTAAAAACAGTTCACGGTGCTTACTTTGGATATTCATATCATACAATTGGCTAGATGGAAATTGAAGACTAATGACTTGTTTTGAAGCTGGAGTGTCCCTCTACATATTGAAGTGATTGATAGCTCAATAGGAAGTCCAGAAGACCATTTTGAACCTCATCAAAAGGCTATGCCAAAACTGGGAAACTGCCTAGAAATGGCTAAGTCTGGAAACGTGTTTGTGAAGTCTATTTTTGAGCTCAATTCGAGAAGCATGAATGCGAGTCGAGTCCAGGAGCCTCTACCACGTTAAATTAGGTATGTTTTTATACAAATTCAAGGAATTGGATGAAAGATTGGATATCTTTAAGGCTTCAAACAAAAGGGTTGAAGTTGCTACGAAGGCTGTTTTTCTGGCAGACTTTGAGCACAAGCAAGCTGCCAGAAAAACAGCCTTCGTAGCAACTTCGAGCCTTTTATTTGAAGCCTTAAAGATATTGAATCTTTCATCCAATGCCTTGCCTTTGTATAAAAAAAATACCTAATTTAACGTGGTAGAGGCCCCTGGACTTGACTCGCATCCATGATTCTCAAATTGAGCTCCAAAGTAGGCTTGACAAACACGTTGCCAGACTTAGCCATTTTCAGGCAGTTTCCCAATTTTGGCATAGCCTTTTGGTCAGATTCAAAAAAGGTCTTCTGGACTTTCTATTGAGCTCCCAAGTACTTTAATGTGTAGATGGACACTTCAGCTTCAAAACAAGCCTTTAATCTCCAATTTCCATCTAGCCAATTGTAAGATATGAATCTCCAAAGTATGCACCATGAAACTGTTTTTACACTGAAACAACTGATTAGGTCGACCTGATCCTATATGAGGTCGACCGAAAAGTGCATGTCACCGTGACATGCATGTCACCGTAGCAAAGTCCAACATTTTAACCTCCTAATCAGCTTCCTTTCCTTGTTTCAATAGATGGACGATGTCATTCCACTCACTCTCAACACTCCTTTACCACCACCCAACTCCAAAACTGACATATCCCATGCCATGATTTCTACAAGAAGCTCATGTCCTCCTAGACAAGACAAGGCATGTCAAGCCATCACGGTAGCTTGGTGGCAAGGTTCTTCACATCGGAGTCTAACACCTCATACTCAGATTGACCACTTTGGTATATTATTCCTCTCTTTTTTTTAATAGCTAGTGTATATTGTTTAATTTATTTATTTAATACGGCAAGAGTGACACTAGTCATTGCTCTTCATGGCCTTTGGCAACAACCAATATGCCAAAAGGTGTACATCCACTGCCATATCCATGGATTAAACTAGTCAAGCCACCCATAGACCTCCTGACTATTTTGCTCCATGGGAGATGACTCTGCATACATTAATTTTGGATTCTCTAGCTTACCAATAGAGGGTTCACGGTCAGCATGTCTTGCCTTGGGGGCCTTACATGGAGTCTCATGCTCTTCGACTTTGGCCACCTTACTTGACATGTCAAAGTGATCATGATTGTTCCTCTGTCTGGGTATCCTCCCAGTTGATACATTTTGGTCTCTCATGTTGTTGGAGACCATGTCTAGACTTGACAAGTCGGCTACCACCCATGTGGCCCACTTGACTCTGTCTTTCAACATCTAAACTTTGTTGGCTTCTACACTTAGCACACATACACCATTTGCTCTTTGTTCGGCCATGTTTGGTTGGTGTGTACTGTGACTTCTTATACATGCCTCTTTGTCTACCCTTTATGGTTGGTGACAAGTACTCACTACTAATAGACATGGACTTGCCTCCCTGTCCACCATTAGCCATACTCTTATACTTATGTGAGACATAGGTGGCTTGGACGTGTTGTATCTTATTAAACATGTCTCCTACTCCATTCTTCATGGTATGCGACATGTCCCCTAGTCCATACTTAGCTAAATTATCAAGCTCATGACAACCCTTTGTGACCTTCTTACGTCTTGTCTTGTTGGATATGCCCTCATGTCCACTTGTTATGGTTGGTGGCATGCTTCTAGTCTTAGCCATTTTGACATACTTTTCACAAGCATTTGTGGCTTGGAGTTTATGTGGCCTCTTGGATACCACATTAGAGTTCATCTTATGAGGTGGTGTTGTGTCCAACACCAATTTGAAGCATGTCAAGTGTCAACTCAATTTTGGAGAAGTCTATGTTGACCATGTTGACGTCGGCACATTGGGGAATGGATCAATGTCCACCAACATGCCATCCTTTTTTGCCTCAAGAAACTTGATGTGCCCATTTTCAATGCATCCTGTAAGACATTATGAAAATCCACACAAGCATTAGTGGCATGTGACATGCCATTATGCCACTTACAATACTTCTTCCTTTTTAACTTTTTGGGTGAGGGAAAGACATGCCCCCTGTCAACTTGACATGACCATCCTTATAGAGTTGGTCAAAAATCAAGTCTGCCTTCGAGACATCAAAGACGTATTTTCTCGGCTGAATGGGAGCACGATTGGGTCTACGCCCTTGTGACCCATCTTCAACTTTAGACAAGGAAGCACACACATATGGCTTCCCTAGAGTTATCTCAGCCAAGTCTACCTCAACCTCATTTGCCTCGTGGTCAACATGATTGATGATATAGTCTAAGTTTGGGAAGTACGATCCCCTTGGGGCACTCTACGATTCTCTTTCTCACGTAGAAGAGATGCATACCTCACGACACAAGACATGAGTTGAAATAAGTCAGAGAACTCCCTATCTTGGAATTTCTTCCTTAGTTCAAAACTCAAACCCCCTTGTGCCAGCTTGACGAACTCCCTCTCCGTCAAAGACAAAGCAACGGTTATGGGCATCCATGAAGTTAATCAAAAAATTCTCCACCGATTCCCCTGGTTGTTAGCGCATACGTGCCAAGTCAGCCATGGACACTTCGAGTTCAGATCTATAAAAATTAGCATGGAAGACTTGCTCCATATGTTTCAAGTCTGAATGGAGTTAGATGACAAGTTGACATACCAAGCAAAGGCACGACATGATCTTCTCATACTTAGTATTTTTCAATACTGCCTTCTTGTCTCGCATCCATGCACATGTCCCTCGTTGAATCATGTACATGCTCATTAATGACTTAGTGGCTTGGGCTTAAAATTAGTATCCATAAGGTCCAACTTAAACCATATTAATAGCTATAATTAACGTAGCTTTATACACTCATTGATTACCTTGTAAATCATTAATGTGATATAAGACAATTTTATGGTGTAAACAATTACCCTACTTGACCAACGCTTATTGGGACGTGCATGTGTATTGAGGTACCTGTCCCGCCTCACTCCATTGCCATCACTAGTTGTTGGTGGCGGTCATGGGTCGATGGTCATGGTTTGATATGATTACATTTATTTCGTTTGATTTGTTACAAATTAGTCAATAATACGCTTACATTAAAATCGCTAAAATTGTATAAAATTGTAAATCCTAAGAATTTTAATCCAAAATAGTGTGAGATTTTCAAGGTCAATGAATTTTACGTGCATTTCGAATAAACACTTTCGTAAATAATGATATGACAGATTATACATAGTTACTAGTGTGGGCCCCGACCATTTGGGCGGAGGAAGGTGAGGTATGAAATTTGATAATGTAATGGGATGTATAGTTTATTGTTGTATAATTTTTTTTGGGAAACACGTGATAAAAATAGTGAGTTTTAGTAAGAAAGAGACATGAATGATGCAACGAATCAAAAATTAGCCTTATGAACCAAAATCAAGTACCTGTTACCTTGTGAAAAAATATTGTTTCTGGTAATATGATGAGGTGGAGTAAGTTTTATAGAAACCGAATTCCAGAAAATTGAATAAAAAATTGCCTATCCCGACGGTTTTCGGGAAATGAGCATCTCATCGTTGCTAGCTTTTACTCGCCCCGTTGGCCGATTAATTTGCTTTATAAAACTTTCATCTTGTCATCATTGTTTTTTTTTTATTTCTGAGTGATATCAATGGAAGAAAATAGTTAAACTTACAATTCTACCCAGGACCCCCTAAAAGATTCTAAAGAAGCCACCCCAAAAAATCAAAAGATTCTATCTCTACACGAGACAAAAGCAGTGCTTTACGCACCACTCTATGGGAAGCACTGATGGCGGATCTATGTACCGCCCTAAACTCTATACAAACAGACAAAGAGCTAAGGATCTGAAGACACTCTCGAAACACCAGACCACCAATTGAGACTTCAAAGACGCGTTGTCGGACTTGGTAGACCACCACTTCGGAATCACCTTCGACTATCACGTGGGTCAAGGATCTTGAGGCTACGATGGAGATGGCGTCTCTAAAAGCTAGAAGCTCTGCCAGATAAGGATAGACTATTCCTTGATGTTGCAGCCCGAGCGCCAACACCACATGCCCGTCTGACCCATGGAAAACAAGCCCAGACGAACAACCGGTGGTACAAACAGGTGCGTCTACGTTGATCTTCAAAAAGTCTTCTGGTGGAGGGACCCAAGTGGTGGCAGGATGAACTGGGACTAGAGAGCTGCGGGGCGGAGGAGGAGGAAGAAGAAAGGAGAATTCGAGGACCTGGTTGTAGAACTGTCTGGCTAGGGAACGGACATGGGGTTGGATAAATTCAAAGGTCACTTTATTTCTAGACTTCCAGATTCTCCAAAGTAAACAGACGCATTGGAGAATGTGGAATTGGGAGGTCTCGGAGACCATGACATGTCGCCACCGTAGACCAAAGTTAAGAGTTTGGGCGGTCTCAATAAAGTTGATCAATCCCACTAAAGTCCACAATCTGGTGGCTAGGGGGCATCTAAATAATAAATGTTCAATGCTTTCTCGACGTCTCCAGCAGATAGAGCATCGGTTGAGATAGTTGACTCCACGAGATTGAAGGGCCACTACTGTGGGAAGTATGACTTTGAGGCATTGCCATATGAAAATTTTGAACTTAGGCAGGACTTGGATATTCCAAGTCCTTTTCCAAATAATTAAGATAATCTCAATTAAACCAATTTGGAAGACCAAATATCCACCCCACTTCAAAAGCTCATTTATTTATATGTAAAAGATCAAACTTGAGTGTGTCCCATTGGTTAGTCAAACCCATTAAATGCCAATAAATTAAATGCCAATAAATCACATATTGAAGGCCTATAATTACTATTAACAAAACCTGTCATTGTCGAGTAAAACTCTATCCCCATTAGAGCCGTTGTAGGGCACCTAATACGATCAAATAAATTAGATGTTGATAGCTTCCAATCAAAAGGTCAACAAAGGAAATAATTGAGCTGACCCACATGAATAGGGAATTATTCCCCTAATAACATCAAATGAATGATGATTCAAAAGCTCATAATAAAGCTTTAATCGTCCGAAACGGACGAATACCTCCAATAAATGGAGTTTTAATTCTTAACGGAGGGGCATTGAATGCAGGATCGGCCGAACAAAGCCAGTCGCCGGGTAACTCTCTGCTGCGCAACAACGACTCGAGCCTCTGTAGCTTCAGCTCATGCTTGAACCGGTCGATGAAGTTGCATCTCCAGTAATTGGACCTCAGGTAAAAATGAATTAAAGACTAAAATACCAATTCTATTAAATAGAATAATAGATATATAGGAGAATTAAAAAACAATTCAAAAGCCTTAACAGTTAACAGTAAAGACACTAGATTGTGGCCCGGCCAATTGGCCGGGTAGTTCTTTTTTCGAGAAATTTTATTTTATTTTTTCAAATAACATACATTTACAATTTCACATGAATGTTAAGATTTTTATTTTAGTTAGGAATAATTTATTAAAATGTTTAAAATTGTTACAATTGGATAAAACAGCGAAAATATCTAGAGACAAAACAAACTATGAAATTAACATTTGAAGATAAAAAATTATTTTCCATCTTAAAATTATAGGATCGTGTATGAAACTAAGCGGGGCTTCGAATATAAAAATAATATGATATATTACTTAATAGATGAAGCTAAAAAGAAAAATAAACAATTTTATATAGACTAAAGTGAAAAGGATATTCATGAATTAACTTCTATAAATAGATAAAAAAAAATTAGCTTGGACTTCCAAATCCATTGTTGGATAAATTCTTTTGTGACCATGTTATACGCCCTTAATTAATAATTCATTTTTGTCACTCTCTCTTGTTTTTTCGTAAAGGATTTCTTGTATCTCTTTAGCGTTTTTTAATATAAAAAAATCTAATATCATCTCACCCCTCTCGTACCATAATTCAACCACTATGGTAAGTTTGATAGCACCCTCGTACCTCTATAATACCACGATATTATCACTACAGTAATATAATGGTATGGGAGGGTTATGATGACGTAAATTTGTTTGTTCCAAAAGATATGAAACTTGATATCTTCTTGAATAGCAAAAAAATCTGATCTTTCTATGTAAATATTTTTTAAATTCGATATAAAACGAATGAAACATGGTCCGTTGAAATTTTGTAGGAGATTTGAAAAGTGTTTAACAACACGTCTGAAAATTCGTGCCAGGAAAAAATAATCTGGTTAGTTGCCCCCAAAATCACTTATTTCCTTCCTTACCCTTTTATGATATGAACTATTCGATGTCTCCTTTTCCTAATTACAACCGTTCAATATAGTTTTGTAGATCTATATATACATACAAAATTTTCTATTGGTACCTAAGTCATTATTATTATTTATCTATAATGGTTCGAGTTTTTTAAAAAGAAAGTCTTAGTTCAATAATATACGATAAAATTTGGGGTGCGCCTATGGTGACATGCATGTCATCGTAACTTGCACTTTTCGGTCGACCTCAATTAGGATTAGGTCGACATAATATGTTGTTTCAGTGTAAAAACAGTTTCATGATGCCTACTTTGGAGATTCATATCTTACAATTGGCTCGATGGAAATTGGAGATTAATGGCTTGTTTTGAATTTGGAGTGTCCCTCTACACATTGAAGTGCTTGGGACCTCGATAGGAAGTCCCGAAGACCATTTTTGAACTTGATCAAAAGGCTATGTCAAAACTGGGAAACTGCCTGAAAATGGCCAAGTCTGGAAAAGTGTTTGTGAAGTCTACTTTGGAGCTCAATTAGAGAAGCATGGATGAGATTCGAGTCCATGAGCCTCTACAACATGAAAGTATGTATGTTTGTCTATAGAGTCAAGGCATTGGATGAAATATTGGATATCTGGAAGGCTTCAAACAAAAGACTCGAAGTTGCTACGAAGTAAGCTGTCTTCCAGCACAAGACTGAAACGGCATATTAGGTAGACCTAATCTTATATGAGGTCGACCTAAAAGTGCAAGTTACGCTGACATACATGTCACCATAACAAAGTCCTAAAATTTGATCTCAAAGAAGAGATTAGGAGTCTTTTAACATTGAAAATTTAGGATAGGATCAGAATGATTCTTTGAATATAAGATCATAATAAATGAAAAACAGGAAGTCTATAAAAAATAATTGAAAAAAATAGAATTTACTGTCCAGGTGTCTTCAAAAGATTGAATTTCCACAAATAGTGTAAGAAGTGGGTTAGTGGCCGTGGGCTTGTAGAAAATGAATAAGACTTTGTGGGCTGGTAGAAACTAAAATGTAAAAAGGAAGTAACAGCAACAGTGAACGGTTTTACGCGAAAAGGCGGAGAGGAGAAGACCAATCAATCCCTCCGAATTATGTGGTATAAACAGCACGGGCTGATGTGGTAATAGTCTTATATTGACATTGCCTTATATGTTTTTGTAGACCAGTAAAAGAGCCCTTAATGGCTAAAAAGTGGGATGTTAATTAACATTAATGAGAGGTAGTCAGGTGAAACGTACGTCGGCACCACCCAAAATTTTGGCCGCCGATCTCGCATCTCACCGGAGTCTCCGGGAAAGACCTTGTGGTCTCCGGCCTGAATAGCAGAGAACAAACCACAAACTCATCCAACAAAAAATCAAACAAGAAGGGGTATTACCGGCCGGAAGTGAAATCCGGTGATAGTTTTCTAAACCAGGAACGAACGGATTCGGGAAACCGGTGATACTGAGAGGCGCAGAGCAGAGTCGCCGTGGGTCGACTGTGGCCGACTGTCCGTGCGGAGGGGAAGTGAACTGGGAGAGCCTCAGTGCGCGACAGTAGAGGAAGAGCACAGAGGACTCGACGGAATTAGGGATTGTGGACAGATCCGTAACTCTGTCCGAAACGGCGTCTTAGGCGGCCGTTTTCCCGCCGGTGGACGCGCAATGAGCGCCATCAGGACCAAGCTTCATCACCAACTCCAGACCGTCACGGCGAGAATTCCCGTCGTCAATTCGACGGCGGCCACCAGAGGCGGGGTTCAACCATGGAACAGTCGATTAAGGGAGCTAGCAAACAAGTCGCTCTTCTCAGAAGCCCTGTCTGTCTACCTCCAAATGCTTCGCTCTGGTGCATCCCCGAACGCATTTACTTTCCCGTTCGCACTCAAGTCATCCGCCGTGCTTTCTCTCCCCGTCACCGGAGAACAGCTCCATGGCCAAGCGATCAGAACGGGTTGTTTGTTAGAACCCTTTGTCCAGACCTCTCTGATATCAATGTACTGCAAGTGCAATTTTGTTGACGTTGCGCGCCAGGTGTTTGATGAAAATCCCCTGTCCAGGAAGCTCACGGTTTGCTACAATGCTTTGATTGCTGGGTACGCCCTGAATCTCAGAACGAAGGATTACAAATTTTGTTCACAAGTATCTTGTCATCATTGTGCTTTCTAGTTTTTTTGCCAAACCATGATAAGATCTAAAGAAATCAAGAATGAACAACACGATTTGGGATAGGAACCACCGTTCCTGTATCCGTAGAAAATGGTGGTAAACACGAACTCACCTGCCAAACTGGTTTGAATTGAAATTTCTATCGGGTATCAGAAAACCATATGATTATAAATTAGACTTGATCAAAACGGGCCAAAACTTGAAATTCAGCCTGTTTTACCGACCCATGCCAAACTCTAATTATTCTTTACTTTTAAACTTTTTATTTGAAAATTAAAAATAATGAAAGAAAAGAGATGACTGCAATTTGCCATTTGCACATCACTGATTCGGGAATAAAACTATAGAATTTCGAAAGAAAACTAAAAATGTTTAGAATCGTTTTAATGTTAAAAATAACCAAATAGATCTTTTTGTTTAGTTTTTTTACTAACAAATACCAAACAATTCTCTATAATATACACTATAATTTAACCATTATGATATCAAATAATTACATAATATATATTTGAAATGATAAAAATTGGACTAATTGGGTTGGTCGAGGTTGGACCATTGAATAACTTTAAAATATATTATATTTTAGCCACTAAGATATAAAATAATAGCATAATATATATTATGCTAGAGAAAATAACTTGTTTTAGAATGGCAAACCCATGATGTTCATTTGTTTTACTTGATGGACAAATCCCGTGTAGGTCAGGCTCACTCAACTCTTTTATTTTATGATTAGCGGTTAGCCCATTAGAATCCATTCATTAGTTTATTGTTAATTTATTTTAGCAATAAAAAGGAGTATTGTTTTTTCCTTTTCATATATATTTTACCACCACGGAGAAATAAAAGGACTTAAGAAAAAAATTGACACTCCTGGACCCGTTTATATCCGCATGTGTAGGGTAAGTTGGCCCGTTACACAAAGGAAAAAGAAAAAAATTGACTCTCCCTATTCTACCCTTCCTACAAACTCTCTTGGAGCAGAGAATTTGAAATGGGGGAAAGATTTTTTCCTCTCTGCCATTATATGTTTTTAATTTAGAAAGATACAACAAATGTACTTAGTGTGAATGGTTATGATTTTTGTTTTTTTTTCGTTGAATACTTTGCTTTTTTTTAAAGTGGTCATGGTTCGAATTCTAGTAAGTGTTTTTTTAATGAATAAAAAAAGTAATTGTGAAGACCAAAATGTTCTTCCTATTTTCACTCTGGATGCAAGAAAATTTGAAATGGAGTTTTAAGTTTTCTCATTTGGCTTTTATTTATGGCGTAGATTGTACGTAATCACGAGAATTCCTTCTCAATCCATGGAAGGAGATGATTGTGGAATGTCTACTGAACTTAACAAAAATCAGAGATTAAGACGTGCGTTCGGTTAACTACTTAAGCGGCTTTCTCTCTTTTTCGGGGGAGATATTTCTCCCTTTTAAAGAAACACACAAAACCCAGTCTGAACAATGAGCTCACTTCATTCCGCATCCGCCCAATGCTGCTCTGTCTCTGTCCACCCACATTTGATCACTAAACATCTCAAACACCATTTGCTTGGTTTCACTCGTGAACTGGACGGGAGGGAGTGCAGAATTTAGGAGACGGAACGAAAATGGCGATGCCGACGACCACAAATGCACCCGCTCATCCTTGTTCGGTCTCTAGGTTCATTGATTTTGGCCCAGGTAGCGTCAGCTTGAGGTCGAGATCCAATTTCTTCTTCATTCGCACCTTCAACCCTCGGCAGTTCCGCAACAGGTCCTTCTCCGTCACCAATGTCTCCGTGAACCACCCGACGGCCGTCGAAGAAGGTGATCAACCTCTAATTGCTGAAGCAACTCTTACTCATTTCTGACTGGTTTATCGGATTGATTTTCTCTTTTCTGTACTTCAATGAGTCATAGCAAAGCGTTGCGATCATAATGTGGTTGAAGTTGGCTTTCTGTTTGCGTGGGTCTGCTTTCCGATGTAGTAGATTATAGCTAAAAGCGCTAATTCTACCATGGCGGCATTGAGCAAGGACGAAATCTCACGTTTATAATCATCTAATGAATGATATATGTACGATGCTCCCCGTACATAATTAGCTTGGAAACAGATGTTATTGAGTTGTTGTCATAATAGATCGGAGGTGGAATGCTTGGATACTGATTTCAGTTGTTACTTGTTACAACTTTTGTGTGTGTTTTTTTAGAATCCTCCACAAATTGGCAAGCACTTGCACCGGATGCTTCATCCATCGCATCGAGTATCAAATACCATGCGGAATTCTCGCCATCGTTTTCCCCTGGGCAACTTGATCTTCCAAAAGCTTTCTTGGCAACAGCGCAAAGTGTTCGTGATGCTCTCATTAGTAACTGGAATGCGACGTATGAGCGCTATGAGAGGCTGGATGTAAAGCAGGCTTACTATCTGTCCATGGAATTTTTGCAGGTATACCCTGATGTGGAGCCTACAAGAAATCATCAATCCATTCCTTGAGATTCTTTTAAATCATCAGTGTTTTGTGATGTTCTTTGTTTTGTAGGGTAGAGCGCTGTTGAATGCAATTGGTAATTTAGAGCTTACTGGTGCTTATGCAGAGGTTCTGACTAAGCTTGGACACAACCTGGAAAATGTAGCTTCCCAGGTATGGTTCTTTAGGATTCTCCTGACAAGTTGGAGCATTGTTGATGATTTTTCAATGTTGAAAGGCAGGGTCGAGTCTTTTTGTTTGTTAACTTTGTCGGCAACTAGTGGTATCTGGGTCTAGAAAGCATAATGATGAAAGATGGTCGTTTATTCAATGCCAGAAAACCTAAAACTGCTTCTAAAGTAGATTGATAGGCTTTCAGATTTTCTGTGAAGGTGTGCGATTGAATGGTTATTAGTTTAACCGAAATGTCATAATTCTCTTTGTTTCAGCTTCTACCTTCCTTCTCCTTGTAGCGCAAGGTTCACCAAGTTCCATTAAAATGTCAAAGTTACCCACCTTTTCTCTTTACAGTCCTAGCAGCAGGAGTCATACTCTAGTCTTGCATTAGAAGTTCTGTTTCGTTAAAGTGCTAAGTTATAATGTGTCCATCCAATCAAGGATAAGAGCAATTAGTATATCTGTCTGTAAGTTCATCTGTTGATATGCTTGGCTTGAAAAATAATGATTAGGTCACTTTGAAGTCTCTAGCCCACTTTGTAATCAGTTATCCTTTAACCATGCTGTTTGACCACCCTTTAGGAGCCTGACGCTGCACTTGGTAACGGAGGTCTTGGGCGACTGGCATCCTGCTTTTTGGACTCTATGGCAACTTTAGACTACCCTGCATGGGGCTATGGGTTGAGGTACAAGTATGGCTTGTTTAAACAGCTGATCACAAAAGATGGCCAAGAAGAAGTAGCTGAAAATTGGCTTGAGGTGTGTTTTCTTCTTCATGGCCTTTGCCTCAATTTGATTAAATGAACTTTGGGTCATCAATTCTGATGATTTGTTGACATCCTCTATTCAGATGGGCAGTCCTTGGGAAATAGTCAGGAACGATGTCTCATATCCTGTGAAGTTCTATGGCAAGGTTGTTTGTGATGCAGATGGGAAAAGACACTGGATTGGCGGAGAAGATGTAACAGTTGTTGCCCATGATGTCCCGATTCCAGGATATAAGACAAAAACCACAAATAATTTACGACTTTGGTCAACTAAAGCTCCAGCAAATGATTTTGATTTGTCTGCTTTCAATGCTGGAGAACACATGCAAGCATATGAGGCCCTAGCAAATGCTGAGAAGGTGTTTAGTTAATATTCACTTTGGTACCGTAACTCCGATGTTCACTAAAAACATACATGTCAACTCAGTTTTGTCATTTATGCTGCATTGTTGCAACATGCAATCAAGATTTGTTTTTTACCCCCTTAGCAATTAGTTTTTAAACTATATATTTTTTTATATGTTAGTTTCAGTCTCATACTCCTTATCGAAGCTTTCTAAAAGATATAGAGCCTTCTATCTCTTATCCGTGTACCTTTGATTATTTATGTGAACTTAGATTATAGTTTCTATTAGCTTTAGTCTTCAATTCCTTATCCAAGCTTTCTGAAACATATAGTTTCATCTATATTTTATTCTTGACCTTTGATTATTCATATAATTACTTATGTTATAGTTTTGATGGTCACTTGACTGCAAGTGAAGTGTGACTTTATAAGAATTTAATGTTGTTTCATTATGCTTTCTGTCAATCGCAGATTTGCTATGTCCTCTACCCTGGAGATGACTCAGAGGAGGGCAAGGTCCTTCGACTGAAACAACAATATACATTGTGTTCAGCTTCACTCCAAGATATCATTGTACGATTTGAGAGAAGATCAGGCTCTAATATTAACTGGGGACAATTTGCTGAGAAAGTTGCAGTTCAGATGAATGATACTCATCCCACACTTTGCATCCCCGAGCTTATGAGAATTTTGATGGACTTGAAAGGTTTAAGCTGGAATGATGCATGGACCATCACCAAGAGGTATTCCAATAGGGATAGCTCCCTACCTTTCGTACTTTGTGTCTTGGGAATTTACATGCTATGAGAGTATGGGACTGCTGGCAGGTTTTTCAGTTCATTTACTTTAGGAATTGGTTTGGCGATGTCGAAGAATATGCTTAAACTGCTTTTAGACTTTGCTTCTAGAGTACTTTGAAACTTCTCAAAACTCTAAACATGTTATTAATCGTAAGTATGAGCTTTTTCATAATTGGTTGAGCGTTTTTTATTATGTTTTCCCACAACTTCTGATTTCTCTCCTTTTCTTCATATGCATGCCGTTTTGTGCAGTTTTTTTTCATTCTCCTGTTGTAGCTCATCATCTAATAGCTTGCAAGATTATATTCACCCCTTGATGCACCAGGACTGTGGCGTACACAAACCATACTGTTCTACCTGAAGCTTTGGAGAAGTGGAGTTTAGATCTTATGCAGAAACTGCTACCTCGGCATGTTGAGATCATAGAAACCATTGATGAGCAGGTAACACTAGTTACATCCATGATTAAATTTTATTTCTTATGGATCATGTATCTTATGTCCAATCTTGGTCCGTTCTTATCCTACAGCTTATAAATGAGATTGTGTCCGAGTATGGGAAAGAAGATACAGAAATGCTGGAGAAGAAACTGAAAGAAATGAGAGTACTGGAAAATGTTGATCTGCCTGAACAATTTGCTCATTTAATAGTTAAACCTCGAGAGATCGATGTTGCTATTTCCCTTCAAGAACTGGAAGAGTCTTCTGAAGAATATGAATCAGCTGAAGAGAAGGATGAATCGGAGGATGAAAGCACCGAGGAGGAAAAGGTCATGGCAGAACCACCACCAAAACCGCCAAAAATGGTCCGCATGGCTAACCTCTGTGTTGTTGGTGGTCATGCAGTAAATGGAGTTGCTGAAATACACAGTGAGATAGTGAAGGATGAAGTCTTCAATTCTTTTTACAAGGTGTTGTCGACCTTACTGGATTATCATATAATTCCTTGAGATGATTTATATCTGTTGACATCTTCTTTGGTTTGCTTTTAAATTATTGTGAATGCTTTTATCTTTAACATGGAATGCTATTACAGTTATGGCCCAAGAAATTCCAAAATAAGACCAATGGGGTTACACCAAGAAGATGGATCCGTTTCTGTAATCCTGCTTTGAGCAAAATAATTACTGAGTGGACTGGCTCTGAAGATTGGGTGCTGAACACTGAAAGACTGGGAGAATTAAGAAAGGTAATATATCTTCCAAAATTTTGAATTTCACAGATCCCGCACACTCAGTATAGTTGATTTGGCAATATCATAAGTTCTCTTAATGCTTGAATACCTAATGTTGGCCCATTAGCTGTAGTGGAGATGAAGCATCTGACCCATAGTAGTTTTAAACTTTGAAGCCAAAGAGTCTCATTGAAAAATTTCGGGGGATTTATGTATCGCAACTGATATAGCTTGTGACCAAGAACTCTCCTATTCAAAGTTTTTCATGTTGTGTAGATCCACAATAGGAGTTTCTGGAGATTATTTGCTCTTTGGGACACATTAACTCAGTGGCTATGTATTAAGATCTTATGTTGGTCTTTTCTTGCATGTTCGTTCAATTTGTCTTCTTCATTACAAGTGATCAAGTATTCAAAACTCAGGATGAGCTACCTCCATATGTTTTTTTTTATAAGAGAAGCAATTCTAAATGCTTTTTACATCGAAATTCAAAATGTAAGTGGGATTTAGGATGTATCGAGTTTTGCTATCTGGTTGTTGGCTAGTTATAGCTCTCAAGTAGTCAAGTCAGTTGTATGTCTAGACTAATGCTGACAGCTAATCTGTAATTTGAATGTAGTTCGCAGATAACAAGGGTCTCCAAAACCAGTGGAGGTCAGCTAAAAGGGAAAACAAGATGAAGGTTGTCTCATTCCTCAAAGAAAAAACAGGGTATACTGTGAGCCCCGATGCAATGTTTGATATCCAGGTAATTTTCTTCAGTTGAACAACACAGGCTTGTACAATTCAGCAGACTTGGCAAGGATTTAGGTGAACTTGCTGGATTGAATTAGAAAATCAGGTCATAGCTTGGTCAGTTAACTTGCTGGATTAGATAATCCCACGTGGATGCAAAGCATATAACCGTGCTAGCTTCGACCAAGGGGCTAAGCTCATCTATATACCAAAATTTTATTTTTTTATTGAATTAGATTGGTTCCTAGAATGTGGGACAAATTCTGAATGAAATCTACGAGAGAGGAGTGCAATAGAAGGCAGAAATCAGTAGAGGAATTTTGATGATGTGGTTCTACTCGTTTCATGGATTACCTTTTTAATATTTGCACTGACAGCTTATTGCTCATCCTAGTCTATGTTAACTGATGCTTCTAACGGGAGAACTATGCATAACAACCTGACTCTTCAAAACCAGCATGGACTAGTGTCATAGTAGACATAATAACACCTTTTCACTTCAGTTTGCAACTCCCCTAGCACATTACAAAACCATTACTGCCATTCGAAGTCACGGTATTCTCATTCTTATCCCATCTTCAGGTGAAGCGCATCCATGAGTACAAGCGCCAGTTGCTTAATATATTAGGCATTGTTTACCGATACAAGAAGATGAAAGAAAGTAGTGTAGAAGAAAGGAAAAACATGTATGCTCCACGAGTTTGTATATTTGGAGGGAAAGCATTTGCTACTTATGTGCAAGCCAAGAGAATAGTGAAGTTCATCACAGATGTTGGTATCACTGTTAATCATGACCCGGAGATAGGTGATTTACTGAAGGTATGTATGCCTCCAAGAATTCTGTAACTTGCTGATGTGTGATTAAGAAACAAATTAGTGCAAGGATCATTGGGCATATGCTGCAAGGGATAATTTTGGTTTCGAAATTTCAGTTTCTTTATTTATTAACAAACTTAAAGTGGCGTATTGTTATTATCTCTCTTTCTATATATCCTTTCATGTAGACAGTGGGATACGTGACCTGATAGCGTTTGAAACAACGAGGACCCTTTGCATGATTCTCAACATATTTAACTATGATAGGAGTTTCACTTTATCATCATCAGATAATTCAAGTACTTGGTTTTGCTTGTCTTATGTATCAGGTGATTTTTGTCCCTGATTACAATGTCAGTGTAGCTGAATTGCTTATTCCAGCAAGTGAGCTCTCTCAACATATCAGGTACTTGACTTCAAATGTGCTTTTCCTGACCATTCCTCTCGTTCCAATTCATTGGTCATCCAGACTTTAAAAACATGCTCAAAATACCAGAGAAGTTCAAATGTACATGCCATTTGTCTTGAAAATGCTCGATATGCCTGATTAATATCTAACCTTATTCCACTAATGAACTTGAAATTTGTTAACTCTCGTCTGTGCTTGGCTAAAAATTGCCTTTTGAGTGTTTACTGGGTTCTGCTGAGACATGGCTGGTACACAAGGGAAGTCAGTAAGCTCCGTGCATTTATTTTTGGATGATATAAGCATGGCATTTAGCTAGTCGAACGCTGTGGCTATCTAAACTGAAATTGCAGTATCAATAGCTCTGTCGCCCACTCATCATATTACATATACTTGATTTTGGTGTTGGGGTTGGGGTTGGCTTAGCAAAAAACTAGAACAATATTATATGCCATTCATGTGAGGGGACATTACAAAAGTGGCCAGTGGCCACGAGATCTAGTATCAGGAATTTAGGAACTACGTGCTCTATGTTTGGAAACCGACCTGATATTTCGGAGTTATGATTGTGTGTGCTTCATTTTTGTCTTCTCCCTGATCCATGAAATTAAACAACCACCAAAATATTTACCCCGAAAAAAAAAACATGAAAAATGATTGGTTGAGATGAGCACAATGAGATTTGCTTTCTCTGAGTTTCTTCTCCTACATATTGCAGTACTGCTGGTATGGAAGCAAGTGGAACCAGCAACATGAAGTTTGCAATGAATGGCTGTGTACAAATAGGGACCTTAGACGGGGCTAATGTCGAGATAAGGGAAGAGGTTGGTGAAGACAACTTCTTCCTGTTTGGTGCTCGAGCCGACGAGATCGTTGGGTTGAGGAAGGAAAGAGCTGAGGGGAAGGTAATTTTTCCTGCTTATTACCATTACATTCAAATGCAACATTATCCACCAGATTCGATTGAGCATAATGATCGCAGTGCTAACCATGGCTAAATGGATATTTCTAGTTCATCGCTGACCCACGGTTCGAAGAAGTGAAGGAGTTCGTGAGGAGTGGTGTGCTTGGGGGTAACAATTACGACGAATTGCTCGGATCACTAGAAGGCAACGAAGGCTATGGCCGTGGCGACTATTTCCTCGTTGGAAAGGATTTCCCCAGCTACATCGAGTGCCAGGAGGAGGTTGACAAAGCGTATCGAGACCAACAGGTGATATTTTGTTTAAGCTACACACACACACACACAGAGTAAGAGCAGCCTTCCAAAACCAAAGCACATTCCCTTAACACTCTTGAATTTGTCCATGGTTGATGGTTTGACAGAGATGGACGAGAATGTCGATCATGAACACAGCTGGCTCTTACAAGTTCAGCAGCGACAGGACAATCCACGAGTACGCCAGAGACATTTGGAACATTCAACCCGTTCGTGTAGAGTAGCCAGCTAACTAAATCCCAGCTGCAGCAGTGATTAGACCAGGTCAAGAATAAAGGTGGCAAACGGCCGCCATGGTAAGTTGAGCTTGAGTTAGTTATAGGCCCAGTCTTGTAAGAAATAAGTTAGGTAGTCGCTGCTGTGTACACGAAAAAGGCTCTGCTCTCTGATCAATAAGGAAACATTGAGCCAAGGAAGAAAAGATCCTTCTTTTCCGAGTGTCGGTGGTAACTGGTGTCGACTGTTTGGGGAAGGGACATCAATTAATACACACAGGGCACTGAGGGAAAAGGTTTTTCATGCATAGTCAGTACCAAAGTTACGTAAAAACTCCCAACCACCGATGATCCGCAACTCTCAAGTTTTTACTATCGCGGTAGCTTTACCGTTAGGCTAAAGTCTATATGTAGAATTATCCGCATGAATCTCTCTCTAATATTAATATATCATCAAATAGTGTGTCATGAGGAAAAATTGTTGAAGAAAACAACGGTAAGAAGTATAAATACAAAATAAATTTTCAGGAGGGTTAATGATATCACAACAACAAACACGATATGGTGCTAATTTGTGCATAGTACAAACTATTTCTCAATGAAAAAAAATTAGCTAGCACAAATATGTTTGTCTAACAATAGGTACACAAATTATACTTCAAACACGAATGATTTGATTTATTTCGTCCTACCACAGTGAACATTTCTACACTGGACCAACAATTACCCACCACCTTGCCAATCCCAACACCTAGGATCTGGTTGGTTTGGATCTGTTCTCGAACATAGTCATTAGAAAATTTTCCAGGTGGGTTTAGAGTACCTTTCCCCCCAAGAATATAATTATCATCAAACGATAGTGAAAGCTTCGGAAACACTCTTCAAATTGCAGGCTTTCCTTTCCTGTTTCCTGAAGCAAATAATTAGGTCTAATTAACTTTGTGGCTTAGTTCCCAAGTTTCCCTTTACCAGCCCCCCCCAAAAAAAATTGTATCTGCACATGGAACTCGTTCATCATTTCTTTTCTGTAAGAACGTCTCTCCATTCATCATCATAATGGTGAATGATGGGAAAATGTTTCGATGAAGAAGACTTACCATTCTCGTGTCTTGTGTAGGTGGAGGAACCCGCCAATGTTTGTTTGATTTGGATATCAGTAACTCTTTGATGGGAACTCCACATTCCATCATCATCGTCATGCTATTAAGTTTTGTTAACCAGATCAAGTTTTCTAGAAGGAGAATATGTTGGGGGGGGGGGGGGGGGGGGGGGGGGGGAATGGTTTGTTGGGCCTACAGAATACAGATCAAAGAGGACCAAGAATCATGCAAGACCTTTGGACTCAAAACTTATAGAATGGAGCCTATGCTTCTCAAAACTTAGCCTTACAAATGAGAATGAATTTAGTGGGGGAGTTGGCGTAGCCAAGATTTCGTTTAAGGTAGGTCCGATGTAAATTTTTTTTTTGTTAATTTCTGTTACTTTTTTGTAATACGATTTGTTTAATTTTCATGTTCTGAAATATTTTTAAATGATTTGATGATCGAAACTATAAAGAGTGTGACAACAATATACCATTGACAAATTCATTAATAGCTTCACCACTCATTTGACATTGGAACGTATTCTTCACGTACTTCATTGAGGAAAATATTTTCTCAAGAATTCTATTGATTGATAAAAACAACACTAATTTTAAAAGTTGACACGAAAGTGGTGTCAATGACCCACATTGACAAGAGGTGTGAATGTGTGATCAGAGTGCATTATAAAAATAATGTTCTTAATGAACGATAGTGTTATAACAAAAATATTCGTTGAAACCAAACTTAGGATCCAATTATCGTATTATTCTGATCCAATCTAGTCAAATGAAACATGATCATAATTTTATCTTACAAAACTTTTGAGTCGGTATATATCCATCACAATGTCTTTCGAGAGGTTGATAGCAGAGCGCGACATTTGGGTCCCGTCAGATTGCATTAGACCAAAACCACACTTGGACCGACCCAAACTAGATTGAATATAGTGCGATCCGATCCTCAATTCCTTCAAATTTTCTAAATATCAAAGAGAAAAGGGGGACCTATACACATTAAAAAGTATGTTGATTATTGAATCACCTATTATCAACTTATCATACCGTTGATCATGGTATCCAGAGATTTACCTAACCAGTTCACCTCAACTTCACCAAATACAAAAGGGTTATCGTCACATTTGGACAAAGTTCCGGTCCGTGCCGTGCTGTCAAAGGGAATCCTGCGCCACTCGTTGTTGGCTCGGCGGTGCCTGCCTACTGCCTGCTAGCTAGCTGCCGTGGGTGCGGCGCTGAAACCGCGACCTGGGTGGAAGGTCATTTCCGTCCATTCAACTTAAAGCCGGTACCGCCCTTTTGCCACCCTACTCATTTTCATGGTCCACGAATTCGTACTGAAAAAGTCAGCGGCATAATATTTTATGATAAAATTATAATTTAATAGTAGTTCAATCGTAAGTATCGTTAAAGATCGCCTACCAATTTAATCTACTGATATTTCGTTTTTAAACCATCGATACGATTTTATAAACCATGTTACTTTCTCCAATTCTACCCTTTTCTTCCTTTGCCGTTTTCTGCCTCATCAACTAACTTCCCACAATTCCACTCCACCACCACCTTCTGGCTTCTGCCAAGTGCCAACTGCAGGGTTAGCAAATAATATTCAAACGAAAGAAAGAAGATTGACGAGTCCACGTCAACTACCTCTCTGACTCTACACTCTAACGGAACCCCAACTACGAGTTGATTATAAATAGTAAGAGAAAAAACTATATCACAAATTAAATAGAGCGATCATTTAATACAATTTCAAACTTTGATTCTCCGGTCGTTTACTAATTAAACTTTTGATAATCGTTTTGTACAATGTTCAAAAGGTTTGAACGATTGATCACTGATACAATTTGTTCGAGTCGAGGTATGATGGCTTTGTTAATTTATATGAATGATATGATCAGAACAAAAGGATGACAATACTCGTAAAAAAAAAACAAGGGATGACAGCGAGGGAAATCAATGCATCGCAAACGGGTTACATGCTGCTTTTTAGTTGAAAAAACTAGTTCTTCTTTCTTACTTTCTTGTTATCGAAATTGAAATGTACACATAGAACATTCTTATTCGGCAAAGCAAGTATATCGATGAACACACGACCCGACATCTCATATATCGTTCGAGTGGTTAATATCATATACTTGACGAACACACGATCCGACTTCAAAACGGTCCACATACCACTTATTTGTAACGACTTGATAACAAACTCTTGCACTTAGTACACTGATTTGTAACGATATAATAATAAAAGTTTGAAAGTGTATGAAATGGTTACTTGTATTTAATTTGTGACTATTATATATTAAGGGCAAAATTTTGTGACAATTTATGCTAATTACCCTCGATTAGGGGAGGGGCCACACCATTTTATTTTTACACGCAGTGGCAGATCTCTTCTCCTCCCCGCCTCTTTCGTTGCTGAATTGCTGGCGCTCTTCTTCCATTCTCCTGTATATAAACCCTCCTCCCCTTCTCTCTCGTCCACCACCAACGCACCCATTTCCTTTCTTCTTCTCTCTCTCTAGATTCCCTCCACCGACTGCCAAGGTACGCGCAAGAATCCCGATCTCACTCTTTCCGCTTCCCATTTTGCTTCCGATTTCCATTGTCGTTTCTTCACTCTTCCTCCCGATTTCTGAAATTCTATGCGTAGATCCATTGACTGTATGCATTACCGATCTGCCCCCCCACGACTATATTGTTAGATTCTCTGTTATCTATCTTCCTCTATTCGAGCTCAGTCAGTTAGGCTCTTCGATCTAATGTTCCATACTCTAGCTGAATCGTTTGAATTGCGAGATCTGTGAGCTTGGTTTTGCCTGCCGATTTGTGAATTCGGTTCAGTTGCTTGCTTTCTCTCTTGACTATGGGAATCGCTAGATTTGAATTGATTTGGAACGAGATGTAGCTATAGACTATTAGGGACTGTTGTGGTGGATTCAGTTGTGATATGTGACCGTTTTGTTCGTGATTACTTCATACGCTCTTCCCCCCCTATTGGCTCAAACGTGCATATCAGCCTGTGATTTGCACTTTTAGGTTCCGAGATCCATGTGGCTTGGCAATGGCATGATGTACGCTCCCTAGATCTGTTTACATGATTTCTGGAAATTCATTTACTGGATCCGTAGGAAATGCTGAATTCGTTGCAAACAGTTGGCCTATCTCTATGCAAGTGATTAGATCTTAGGCACCAAAGCACCGTGCAACAAGTCTTGTGGTTTAAATTAATGGAGTATGTTACATTAATCTTTTGATTTCTTTGGGATCAGAAATTTGGGGGGGTTTGGGATCAGAAATTTGAGTTCTTTGCATGTGCCTTTTGATTTCGGTATTCTAATATGGCGTTGCTGTATTTCATCTCAGGAAAGACAAAATGGTGAAGATCTGTTGCATTGGTGCCGGCTACGTCGGTGGGCCAACCATGGCTGTGATTGCACTCAAGTGCCCCAAAATTGAGGTTGCAGTTGTCGACATCTCTGTCCCCAGGATCAATGCCTGGAACAGTGACCAGCTACCCATCTACGAGCCAGGCCTCGAGGATGTTGTCAAGGAGTGCAGAGGCAGAAACCTGTTCTTCAGCACCGATGTGGAGAAGCACGTCTTCGAGGCAGACATTGTTTTCGTCTCGGTCAACACCCCGACCAAGACTCGGGGTCTTGGTGCTGGGAAAGCAGCAGATCTCACTTACTGGGAGAGTGCAGCACGTATGATCGCTGATGTCTCCAAATCGGACAAAATTGTTGTGGAGAAGTCAACTGTTCCCGTGAAGACTGCAGAGGCAATTGAGAAGATCTTGACACACAACAGCAAGGGGATCAAGTTCCAGATCCTCTCAAACCCTGAGTTCCTTGCTGAAGGAACAGCCATCAAAGACTTGTTCAACCCTGATAGGGTGCTCATTGGAGGAAGGGAAACCCCCGAGGGGCAGAAGGCAATTCAGACATTGAAGGAGGTCTATGCTCACTGGGTCCCTGAAGATCAAATCTTGACCACCAACCTGTGGTCTGCTGAGCTCTCCAAGCTTGCTGCCAATGCCTTCCTGGCTCAGAGAATCTCTTCGGTGAATGCCATGTCAGCTTTGTGTGAGGCAACTGGTGCTGATGTCACTCAAGTGTCATTTGCTGTTGGCAAGGACTCGAGAATTGGCCCCAAGTTCTTGAACGCCAGTGTCGGCTTTGGTGGGTCCTGCTTCCAGAAGGATATTCTGAATCTGGTCTACATCTGTGAGTGCAATGGTCTCCCCGAGGTGGCTGAATACTGGAAGCAAGTCATCAAGATCAATGACTACCAGAAGAACAGATTCGTGAACCGTCTCGTTTCATCCATGTTCAACACCGTGGCGACCAAGAAGATTGCCATTTTGGGCTTTGCATTCAAGAAGGATACTGGTGATACTAGGGAGACCCCGGCGATTGATGTATGCAAGGGGCTTTTGGGCGATAAGGCCCGGTTGAGCATCTACGATCCCCAGGTGACCGAGGACCAGATTCAGAGGGACCTCTCCATGAAAAAGTTCGACTGGGACCACCCTCTCCACCTCCAGCCCATGAGCCCGACCACTGTGAAGCAAGTCGGCGTGGTCTGGGATGCCTATGAGGCAACCAAAGATGCTCATGGTCTCTGCATTTTGACCGAGTGGGACGAGTTCAAGAAGCTGGACTTCCAGAGGATCTACGACAACATGCAGAAGCCCGCTTTCGTGTTCGACGGGAGGAACATTGTGAATGTGGATAAGCTGAGGGAGATCGGTTTCATCGTCTACTCGATCGGTAAGCCTCTGGATGCGTGGTTGAAGGACTTGCCTGCTGTGGCTTAGAGAAGAACATTTGAGATGCTTTGGCAAGTTGGACCAGACAGATCATATTATGCTTTTATTTGAGACAGAAAATTTCGATGATTCTTTCTTTCTTACTTACCCGTTTAAGTATTATTGCCCCTTTGCTTCTTGCATTGTCATTGTATTGCGAACACAAGAGGCTGCTGTATCGTTTTTGGCTTACATTGTATTTTGACGTATATCTCTTTTGTGATATGGTACTCTTTTTTTACTGTCTTATTGTAATGTTGGGTTAGAACAGCTTATTCGTGTTCGGATAAACTTCGATATACTCCCGTATGTTGGGCGATGGAGTTCAACAGTCGTTTGTTTCTTGTTCTTTTCCTAAACCCCCTTAAGCCATTGTATCCTCGTCGATTACGTTGTTTTTGAAGTTGAAATATATCGTAACAAACATTTTTCGTAGTCACTATTTACATCGCAACAATTAGGATACCAGAATGTTCTAATCTCCGTAAGAACTTCCGTCATAAACTACATTAAAAAGTCGCCTCTGATACCATACTAGTAAATACATGCACCCATTTTTTCAGTTCTCTAATTACCAGTGTTAGTTTTATTTATTTTATCTGCAGAATTTTAAGTTTATATTTTCCCCCCCATGAATTTTAAGTTTATAAGGTCGTAGATATTCCAATGTGTAGCCCAATTTAGGACATACAAGATCCAACAATACAACATCAGTGGCCTAGAAACCGCTTGATGGGCTACTGGCAGCCAGATCGAAATATAGAAGGCCCGGCCCAAAGTAAATCATAAATACGTCCAATATATAAATTCAAAACATAATCACGAAACGAAAACCCTAGCCATTTTCTGCAACGACTTGTTCTCATTCCAGACCTCTCTCGCATCGCCCTCAACAGCGGCGGATAGATTCGCGGGCAAGGAAGGAAGGTAAGGAAGAATGGCGACTCCCGGCGAACTCATGAAGGCTTGCACTGTGAAGGATGTATCTCCTCACGAGTTCGTCAAGGCCTATGCCGCTCACCTAAAGCGGTCTGGCAAGGTACTCCCAAGCCCCTAGCAATTTACTTGCGTCGATGCACAGTCGTCGGTTCCATTGATGAACTGCCATTGATCCATGGCTAGTGTAGGCGTTTTTAGATGCATAGTGGTGGTGTTCATTGCGACCTGGGGAGCTTTCATATTTCATAATGGTGGTTCCTGTTGATCATTGAGCTGTGATTCGTGTCGAAAGGGATTAGCTTTAGGTTGGAGGTGTGTTGGTGTTTCTTAGGATGAATTTTTGGTTTAGTACTTGGGAGAGAATAATCCGATTCACCATTTTGTTGATTTTGCCATAGAATTGTGAAATCTATACATCAGCTTTCACTTGTATCATGTATGATACCTCAACAGTGAGCAACTTTTGTGTGGTTTGAGTGAGGGGTCTTACATTCTTTCCAATGGCTTCTGTGGATTGCAGATAGAGCTGCCCCCATGGACAGATATTGTCAAGACTGGTAAATTGAAGGAGCTTGCACCATATGATCCCGACTGGTATTACATTAGAGCTGGTAAGTACTAATTAAGCATCTAGCACTGAGTCTTGTTTTCTGCAATTTCACAGTGTGAGTTTACAGTCTTGATGCATGGATTGTTTGTTTATAACCTTGAGCTTGATCATGACTGCAGCCTCAATGGCAAGGAAGGTGTACCTGAGGGGAGGACTGGGCGTGGGAGCTTTCCGAAGAATCTACGGTGGAAGCAAAAGGAATGGAAGTCGACCGCCCCATTTCTGCAAAAGCAGTGGTGCTATTGCCAGACATATTCTTAGTGAACTGCAGAAGTTGAACATTGTTGAAGTTGTTCCCACTGGGTGAGTTTAGAGATTCTGTTCACCCTTTCCTAACATTGAACATGAATTTCTCATCGTTGGTTAACGTCCACTCTGCTGTCAAACCTGTATTGGGTTTCCTGTTCTTGCTAACGTAGCAAAGTTTCCTGATCTATTTTTTGTTCTTGACTGGCTTGCTAATGACGGTGGGAATTGATTGTTTTGTTCTCAGTGGAAGGAGAATCACCTCAAATGGACAGCGGGATCTCGACCAAGTTGCTGGACGGATTATTGTTGCCCCTTGATGAGTGAGTAGGTGCGAGGGCAAATCATGCCAAGGGTTTGCTGTGGGCAATTTTTGTTGGGATATATAGTGTAGGCCTTTACCTAGTGGTCATTGTCTTTCAAAGATGTGCACTGAATCCAGGTAACTATCAAGCATTAAGCAGGTTTTCACCAATTTCATCGGTTTATGTATTGTCGAGGCTGTACATTGTGTCCAATTTCTTCTATCTCCTTTTCTTGATGTTTTTCATATTATGTCCGATGTTTTGCCAGAGGAACTTTGTTGATTTGGATGAACTGGGTCTACCTCAATATAATTTTAGTGAGGGTGTGGAGTTGCCTTGCACCAACTTGCCGTAGCTTGATTGGACATGGATCTTGTTCTTAGATTCTCTGCTTCTAGAGAAGACGGGAGTAAGGACAATCTCAGCACATTCAAACTATAGCAATTTGCAAAAATCTATCCTTAATCTTGGTTTTTTTTATCCCGCTAAACTACCAAAAACATGTAACAACTCATTCAAAACATGTAATAAACATAACCATTTGTCCCTTCGGGGACATCTGAAACAAAGCATGGCTCGTTAAATTCTCGCAAAATCTAATCGAATACCTACGGATTATTATCGTTAAACTCTCGCAAAATCTAACCGAATACCTAATGATTTAATTGAAAACGGGTAACCATCATCAACATGTTTGGTAAATTTATACAAATGGTAATGCTTCCAACTCTCATCCCAGATATGTCTCCAAAATCATTTTCGAACTTTAAACGTTGTGAAGAGATTGCAAGTCCTGAAGATCAAGCCTAATGCCTATTCAGTAACCGGAGAAAGGTGGCTGAGCTCATATTTGATTCATTTTATTACTTCCTTCGATTATTTTCACACAAAACCAAACCCAGATCGCTGAATAACTAATTTGGAAATACCAAAAAGATCAAGCCACCTTCTCATCACACACAATCTATGTCACCCTCTCATCACACTCACACACAAATCTGTGCTCTATTGGCAAGAAACCCAATTCAAAGTTCAGCATGGGGACTTCATTAATCCACTCATCACTGTCATGAGACGATGACATTTCCAGAGGGCTTCACATCTTGAAGGGAGATCACAGTTTCGAAAGCACCCACCAGGGCCTTCACCTTACTCTTCCTCGTCTCCGCCAGTTTGCTCGCAGTTTCCTCAATCACATTGTTGAACAGCCCTCCTTGTCCAGCATCTTTCTTTCCATCCACTTCTTGATGTCTCAAAACAACTTTTTCCTCGCTCTTCTTTGCATCAACAACATCACCTTCTCCCCTGCTCTGATACCTCACACGACCATCAGCCTTCGGATTCTTGCCCTCACTTAATACTCTGCTTCTCCTGAACTTCAGCCTTCTTGGACCATCGTTCTCCGACTTTATCTCAATCACTTTCCCCCTCCTGAAACGTAGCTTCACGGGTTGTGGATCAATATCTCCAGAAGAGGAAACCATCGCCTTCCTTCTGTTCCATTTATTTCGTTCTTCAATTCCCATGGACTCTGTTTCATCGTCATATTCATATGAAGACTCATCTTCACCATCAGTCAAACTATACTCGGATCCCTCTTCTTCTTCATTGTTAGCCGATGATGCTGAAGAACATCCCAGGAGAGATAACTGGCTAGGGGATGAAACTGGAGGAGGTGAAGTATCGCCGTCGAGACGTTCGTTCAGGTCAGACTCCATATGTTTGTCCTCGGTTTCCATTTTGATGACATACAAAGTTTTTTCCTCCACCTTGTCATCGCCCTCTTCCTTCACTTTCTTTATCGTTCTCTGCTTGCTAGTCACCTCCTTCTTACTCTTGTCCTGAATCTTGGACTGCAAGTTACTTGCTGCTTTCCTAATTTTGTCCTCTTTCTTTGGTTGGTCATTCTTCATAGCAGATAAAACTTTTGCAGCCCGATTTCTCTTTGCATTTAGGCCTGCCACACCAGCAAGGGAAGACCTGGTAGACAAGGAAACCCTTGGGGAAGCCAAAGCTCTGGCTGATACAGCAAGTCTAGGGGATGACATGGGTTTTGGGGACACCTGCAATTTCCTTAGAGATATCTTGGGGAGGAGGCTAGATTTCTGTCCTGATCCAATGTCACTTTGTCGTCGAGCACTTAATCCTGCCCCAGAAAGTCTAGGGGACACCTGCAATTTCCTTAGAGCTACCTTGGGGAGGACGCTAGATTTCTGTCCTGTTCCAATTTCGCTTTTTCGTTGAGCACTTAACCCAGCTGCATCGTTATTAGGAGAGGGCGGTAATTTAGGCTTGAAAGAACTACCGAGTTTTTCCGACAGGGCAAGTCCTTTAGCCCTTGGTGAAGCTTGATTTGAAGGGTTCTTGAGCTTTGCTAGAGAGGATGATGGCATGCCTTTCTTGAGTGTCTTCGAGGCAAGATTGTTTTCTGGATCAGGTAAAGTTCTGAGAGCAGTTGGATGAGCAGTATTCTTCCTTTCCCGTGATGATGTCTCAATCAACCCGGAAAGTTTACCATCCAATGATCCAGTTAACCTTTCCGCCGGGGAGGTCTTGCTCTCATGAAACCTAGAAAGCTTCGAGTCAACTGACTGTCTTAACCGCTCTGGGACCGATGCCTTCCTGGCAGTGGATAGAGCAGCCTTTAGGCCACCATTATTGCTGTCCGCTGATTTAGAAAGCAAAAGCCCTTCTGTGTTTTTCTTTGTACGAGGTTTGCTAAAGACTTGAATTTGGATCTCGGGTGAGTGTTGATTACTATCAGTAGGTTTCTTGATCCCTCTTCTGGGAAATGGGCGCCTTTCCTTCTCCTCAGCAGCATGCTTCTTCCCATATTTGCAGAAATCATGACAGGAGCCAGTAGAAGCTCGCAGGTAATTGGGAACAATCTTTTCTCCGTCCTTGGAAGATGTCAACTTTCCAGTAGAGCTTCTTCTTGAATCAGTTGAGTCTGGAGTCACTGGCAGACTGATGCTCCGGTCAGCCATTGGATAGGACTAGATAACAGCAAATAGATGCTCAGCTGAAGAAACCATCAAATATCTGTGATTTGTATGACCAGAAGATGCAATACAAGATAATTAGCAAAATAATGATAACTTACCAAGTTATGCCGCGAGAAGCAATGAACTTTGAGAAGAGTCCTTTGATTCTGTAGAAGGGAATCTCAGGCTTGTCAAGAAATAATGTCCTTGTCATAATCTTAACAACCTCCATAGATAAATTTTCTAAAACACTCTACTAATCTTAACCTTCAGAGGAAATAAAAAGGAACAGGCAATTAATCAGAACTGATTTTCATAATTTGTTCTCAATATTGTTTATGAACCTACATTTGGAGTCTAAAACTGTACTATATCCAGACTAATCAAGAACAATGAAAAGGGTTCTCAATCTGCAGACTTATGAGAAAAAATGGATCGAGAAACCCAATGACAAAACCAGAAAGAGAACATACAATAATCATTTCACAGAAACCTGAATCAACCATCAATATCAAACACCATTACTTAGTCCATCCATTACACATCAAGGACAAGTAATAATTATGTAACAGGAAAAGTAAGTGAATCTGGAATTGCAGCAAACAGGTTGATCTTCCAAGAGAATCAGAAATGGCAGATTCAAATACTTAGTGTGGCACAATGCAATTAATCCGAAAGCCATGGATCAACATAATTACATACTATAAGGAACTCGAAACAGCAAATCTTCTAATCCCCTCACTGTCCATAACAACAAATTGGATAAACAACGGCGTCTCATTTGAGATAAAATAAAAAAAGAACAAGCAAAATAAGCCGTACCAAATGGGAAGATCACACACACCCAACTTCAACTAACATTCAACAACCAAAATGGCTCCGGAATCCCAAAGAGAAGAAAGCTAAAACCTACCCAGAAAAATCCAGAACCGAAATCAAACAGAGTCCGGCCCGTTAACCCAAAGCAAATGCCCAGAAAATTTTCGGCTAAAGATCGAAGCTTTAGGAGGAAGAAGGACGAGATAACCGAAAGTAGGATGTGGGGATTATCGAGGAGGAGCGTACCTTCCTTGGTTGTTGGTGTTACGGAAAAGGAAGTGCGGCACGAAAAAGCAGAGGATTGTGCGTAACCAGAAAGCGAAGGAAAAGGGGAAACAGGGGAAACTGAAAACTAATTCATAGGGAAGAAGAGTGAGAGATTTGATATGGAGTTGGATTTTGCCTTTGAGAAGACAGATTCCAAGATTATAATATGAATTAAGCTTCCGTATCGGTCGATTCTGCCGGAGAAAGATCGTGCAAGCAATCAAAATCAAGATCAATTCCCCCCAGGCTGAGTTTGGTGAGCTTTTCCTTTCTCTCCGCTGCAGAATTTACAAATCTCCTATTTATATACTCATTGCCCTCACATGCCAAATGATAAGTATGGAGTAATTATCAACAACAAAAAAAAAAAAGTAAGGAGTAATTTATCGAAAATGATTATATAAATTAAAAAAAGTGATTCTATAAATTTGGTATTTGTATAAAATGATTAATAATTAGTTTTTTTTTTTTTTGTTCTTAGGCGAGTTTGAAATTTTTTTGTACAAAGGTTTTTTTCCGTCAATCTTTATATGAGATCTCGTTCAATTTAAACCAATTACATTAATGAATAATTTACGTAAAGATGCATAGGTGCACTCCACAATTCAGGACCTATAAACAATTTATCAATGCCCAAAAAATAATGTATACACCAATTAGTGATAGTGTGAGTTTTCTTTTCAACTTTCCAGTTAGGTTAGATATACCACTATATAGGTTCAACTATAGCTCTAATGACTTTGGTTCTACTTTTGTTTTAGTAAAGAAGAAAAGCTTCACCAGTTTTGCAAATGTCAAAGTTATATGGTGATTTAGGATAGTTATAGAATTTTTTTTTTGGTAGAATGTTTTACACAAAATATAATTTTATAGTCTTTTTAATTTGGCCTAAAGGGAAACAAAATGTTGACTGGTGGCTGAATAGATGGGGAGACACTAATTTTGGTTGATTCAAAATTCAATTTTTGAAAGTTAATTTGGTGCATTTAATTCCTTAAATTTGTATTACTATTGTCACTTGGTCAATTATTTTCATTATTGTAATGGGGTCGGTGGACTTTCCATTTGTTGGGATCAATTGACCAAAAAATGAACTTCTCAAAGTTTTGAAAGGAACTCTTTGGAAAAGTAAATTTGTGACACTTGAATTTTGGAATTAAGATGCAATTGGTTATTTTCTAATAACTTGAGCTGGTTACTTATCAATTGCTATTTGACATTGATAACACAAATACTTTAGTTTCATTCATGTATGTAACTTTTCATGTAGATTGACCTATGATCCAGTTAATTTCAAAGTACGACGCAAATACCAAAAAATGTATGCTAAATATTCAAGATCGAGAATGATGAAACTCGTTGATCGACTTCCCAAGGGATACAATTGTGGAGCTTCATATTGTTGCCTTCCTCTAAGTCATAAAACAAATTACCATCGAACTCTACCTTGCTTAAACACGAGACAATAACCAACCGTAGCTATCTTTCCATGAAAAGCACATTGATCAACTTTCCAAGAAGCATTAATATGGATATTTCTGTTGTTACCCTCTTTTTAGTCATGAAGTAAATCTCGATTGCCCTCCTCTTTCTAGCCACCGATTCCAAATAATGAGAATCATCCATATTTCACCTCATCACTAATATTGGTCTTGACAAATTATTTGGTATTCTTTGCTTCTAGTTAGCACAATTCAAGTTTGAATAATTGACTACTCTATCATCGAAAGCACAATAGAAATAATATTTTTCATATAATTAGCATTCGAGCTATACTCAATTTCCTACTAAGTTTACCATATACCCATGTGTGGATATATACCTCTTTAGTTGGTGAGTAACTAGTCAAGTAATTACTCCAAAGGTAGGTAGGTTCATATCAACAATGGTGGATTGGTGGTCCAACAATCTCTTTTTAGGATAAAAATGTCAGCAAAGAACATGCCATTGTTGGATCAAGAAAAAGCTAAAGCAGGGGGGAAAGGTGAAATGAACGTTAATGGATTGGAACTACTCGAGATAGAAGTGAAAGCAGAAACCAACCCACCAAGAGTGAACGTGGAGAAGAAAGGATCCAAGACGATTCTCTCTCTCTCTCTCTCTCTCTCTCTCTCTCTCTCTCTCTCTCTCTCTCTCTCTACCTACTGTCACAAAATTGTCTTTTTTTTTTTTTTAATAACACATTTATTCATTCATTTCCAATTGAAGGGCCACGGATACAAGTTACAACCTATCAGATATAACATTCAGAACCTAAAGCCAATTATGATGGAGAGTGCCATGACGACAATTTCTCGCCACCCAATCAGCAGATTTGTTGTTACGACGACTAATGAAAGAGATTCTAAGTCTTTCTGCTTGCTGCAAAATTCTTGTTATAGCTATCAAAGATGCATAACATCTCCATGGCCACAATGACGGACATCCATTGATAGCATCCACAAGAACCTTGCAATCGGAGAAAATCATCGTTGGCGATCTCTCTTCAAAAGCCCACTCGCATGCTTCGAAAATCGCTCGTGCCTCAGCTTCAATTGGAGACGAACAAATAATCCTTCCAGCCTTTCCATCCCATATCTGTCCATCAGAGTTAGTAATAACTACTCCAAAAGCCGCCTCCTGCGTAGCAACATCAAATGAGCCATCACAGTAAATCCTCTGTTGAGGATGAAATGGCGGTGGACATGAGAGAGATGGAATTTCCCTAGGCTGATTGAAGGTTGAAGAAGAAATGGGGGTAAGATGAGGCTCCGCTGCTTCACGAAAAGCAAAAATCGAGGTCCTCGTCGGGGACGGGACAACTCCTTTGAAAACAAATTCATTGCGGGCCTTCCAAATATTCCACAGGCAGAAAATCTTCTGTCGACAAACTTCCCCATTTCCTTCTTCACGCAAGGAGAAGATCCATTGGGAGATATTCTGAGGGACGACATTGGACGGGAACAACGTCCTCCAAGTTGCTTCCGCATGCGAACACAAGAAAAGGCAATGGATTGGTGATTCCTCCTCTCCGTTACACAGTTGGCATGTCGTATTGGGAGAGCACTTCCGCCGGAATAAATTGAGCTTAGTTGCCAGAGCATTGCGAATGCACCTCCACATAAAAAATCTAATTTTCGGCGGTAGGTTCAACAACCACAACCATTTCCATTTATCGTCATCGGCCGGTAGATTCAGATCATTCGGCATGGGCTGGTTCACCTCTTTAAGATGATTCCGAAAACCATGATACGCCGTTCGCACCGAAAAACTCCCTGTTGAGTTAAACTTCCACGCCCATTTGTCGGGTGCTCCGTTCGGGCCAATCTGAATCCGTGAAATCGCATCCGCCTCTTCCGGGGAGCAGTGCCGATGGATGAGGTTCATGTTCCATCTTTTGCCATCTTGACACATCCAATCACGAACGCGGGAAGGGGGATCCAAAGGCGAAGAGATGGTATGCCCTTGAATAGGATGCACCCATGGATCCTTGTGAAACCACGTATCCTCCCCAGACCCAATCACCCGAATCGTTCCCAAGTCTAAAGCTTTCCTCGACTCCCACAAACTCGACCAGATCCACGATGATGTGCTCCCTTTCCTGGCCGTCAAAAAGTCTCCATTCGGGTAATAAAGCCCTTTCATCAGTCGAGCCCATAGAGCATTTGGATCTGTGATTAGGCGCCATCCCTGTTTTGCCACCAACGCCATATTGAACAGCTGAAAGTTCCGAAAACCCAGCCCACCTTCCCCTTTAGGATCGTTAAGAACATCTCCTTTCCGCCAAGGAATGGATCGTTTCTTCATCGAGCCCGACCAGAAAAACCGATGTATGAGTGAGTCCATCTTCTTTGTCAATGAAGTAGGAAGAAGGAAAACACTCATAATAAAAGTTGGGATAGCCTGAAGAACCGCCTTGATCAAAGTCTCTTTTCCCCCATGTGAGAGGGTGAGGCTCTTCCATGATTCCCCTTTCTTTTCCATCCTCTCAACAAGGAAAGCAAACGTTTCCTTTTTTGATCTGCCCCACTCGGTAGGAACCCCAAGATACTTATCATGACAGATAGCATCTGGAAAGCCAAGGAAAGAAGTAATAGATGCTTTCACTTCTCCTGGGGTGTTCTTGCTGAAGAAGACTGAGGACTTATCCATATTGACTTCTTGGCCCGTAATTGATTTGTACTTATCAATGATTTGTATTACCGCCTCAGCTTCATCCAGTGATGCTCTACCAAAAACAACAGTATCATCTGCAAACAAACAATGAGAAAGACAAGGGCAGTTAGGCTTAATCTTGAGACCCTGGATGCTTCCCTCCGCAATTCCTTTATCCAACAAGAAAGAAAGAGCATTGGACATTAAAATGAAAAGGAAAGGGGAAAGAGGGTCTCCCTGACGGATGCCACGAGAGGGGGAAAAGAACTCCGTAGGTCCTCCATTAACCAGCACAGCGAATCGAACAGTACTGATACATTCTTTCACCCAATCACGCCACATTCTATTGAAGCCATACGCCTCAAGAAGTGCACTCAAACAATCCCAATCCACCAGATCGTATGCCTTCCTCATATCCATCTTCAGCATCATGTCATGTTTTCTTCCTTTCCGGCGATTTTTAAATTGGTGAAGAACCTCATGAACAATGATGATGTTATCCTGAATCAACCTCCCTCCTGTGAAAGCTGCTTGCATCTCCGATACAAGATCAGGCATAAAACCCTTGACTCTGCTAGACATAATTTTCGATACCACCTTGTATTTGAAATTGCAGCAACTTATTGGTCGAAATTGCCCAATCGTTTCCGGTGTGGCCACCTTGGGGATAAGAGCAATATGAGTGTCATTCCATCCCTGTGGGAGCTTCGCCAAAGAGAAGAAAGACATCACCTCACTGCATAGCTCATCCCCAATCGTATTCCAATACTTCCTGAAGAAAATACCAGAAAAGCCGTCTGGCCCTGGGGATTTGTGAGCACCCAATGAGAACACAGCCTTCCGAACTTCCTCTCTAGTAACTGGTTTGCTTAGCTCAGCATTCATGGAGTCAGAAACCAAACGAGGGAAATCCTGCAACAAGCTAGCATCAAACCCAGTATCCTTGGCCGAAAAAAGATCAATATAGAAATCCCTAATGTGCATCGCAAGAACAGATGGTTGCTTGATCCAGTTTCCATCTTGTCCTTTAAGTCCCATGATCCGGTTGAAATGTCGGCGAAAGACTGTCGAATGATGGAAGAATTTAGTGTTCCTATCCCCCTCCGCCAACCATTGGATTCTAGAACGCTGACGCCACATTTTCTCTTCATCTTTCCAAAGAATATCCAGCTCATCCAGGAGCTTGGTTTCCTCTTCCAAAACCTCATCCGATCTAAACGCCTGAGTCAAGATCTCAAGTCGGCTCTTTATTTCCTGTTCTCTTTTCCGTTGGGCTTCCAACATTATTTTGGCCCATTCTTTCAGGTCTTCCTCACATCGTTTAAGTATTTGGTCATGGGATCCCCCCATTGACCATGCTCGAATCACAACTTGATCACATTCCTCCTTACCAATCCATCTATCATCAAAACGAAAAGGAGGTCGCTTCCACGGGCCCGGGGAATGAAATTCCAGCCGAACAGCCCTGTGATCTGAGCCAATAAAACCTTCATGATAAATCATACTTTCCTCAAAACATTCACGCCAAGCCGAGGTACAAAGGCCCCTATCAAGTCGGCTTTTGATAAGACTCTCTCCTCGTCGTCTATTTGTCCAAGTGAAGCTTAGTCCCTTAAAGCCCATGTCAATGAGTCCGTTCTCAAAAATGAAATTCTTGAAAGGTTGTGACGACTCACGACGAATCGGACCTCCTCCACTCTTCTCGTAGTCAAATAACACTGCATTGAGATCTCCGATAACAACCCAAGGGACACTACAATCACTTCTAAAACTAGAAACGAAATTCCAAAACGCTCCTCTCTCACTAGCAACGGAGGGAGCGTGTACAAAAGTCATAAAGAAACCACTACCATAGTTAATAAAAACATCAAAATAATTCCGACCACGATCCAAAATTTGAAGATCAAAACCAGCTGTCCACCAAAGTGCAAGACCACCCGCTGCACCTTCCGGATTAACATACTCCCCTCGATAGAAGTTGTTGCTGATTCTTAGCTCCTCCATAGTCTCCTCGGAGTTCTTTGTTTCCATAAGAAACACCAAGGATGGGCGAAACTTCCTCACCATTCTTTTGAGGTGATTTTCTCTCCGGGGTTGCCCAATCCCCTGACAATTCCAGCTTATGCAACTCATTTACCCCCGGGTGGCTTATAGCCGGCCACCGGCGCTTCAGACGTTTTACCTTGATAACCCTCTTCATCATCCCCATAATCTTCCTTCTCCTGGGTGTGCTGGACCTTCCTTCCTTTTACACGAATCCTCGCGTTACGTGGTTTGCTCGGTCCTTCCTCAGGTGAGAAGTAAGGACCCTCAAAGTCAAGCGGTTGACCATGCTTCCTTTTTTTAAATTCTGCTTGTCCCTCTTCCATCTGCTTCACATAATCTGTATATTCAAAGTCATTGGGCTTGAGATTCAAGTCCATCTTCCTGTTAAGATCCATCATCATTTGAGAGACAAGGCCCTGGCCCGAATTTGCTTGAGAGAAGAGGTGGGCCTGTTGGGCTGAAGTCCTTCCTTGTTCCATTTGGGCTTGACTAGGCCCACTTTGAGAGCCATTATGATAATGAGGGCCACTATTCCACTTTCCTGCTTCTTCCATCTCAGACGTGAGATTCCTTACCAAGGGAAGGGGGTTTCTTGTCGAAAGTGGATGGTTAGGAGAAGGGCATCTCGGGATTGATCCATATATGATCAGATTTTGGCCGTGAGTCAGATTTTGGAGCCGTTGTTCATCGATTCCTGGGGACATCCTTGGGCTGAGCGAAGAGATACCCGTTGGGAACGGGTGAGGCGTGAATCCCGGGGGGCCTCGAATTTCCATCCCTCGGCTTCCCTCTGATGGAGTTGCCGGCAGCCCCAAACTGATTGATCCGGTCATCGGAGAATCTCGCCCAGATACCCAGATCTGGTGTTGCACAAATCCTGGAGATTCGGAGCTCGACCCTGCATCTCCTGGTGATTGTTGGATAACTCTTCCTCTCGGCGGCGGTGGAGGTCTTTCCGCCCTTGTTCCAGCTTTCATCCATGGTGTGAACCGCCCTTCCGGTGGAGCTGCAGTCCCTGCCTCAAGATCTTCTTTCTTCTTCTGGCACACTTGTTTCACATGGCCTTGGCGACCACAGTAGTAGCACAGAATGTATAGTTTTTCATACCTGAACCCAAGCCAATCCCTCACCCCATCAGTAGTGCAATAGGATCCAGGGGGAAGTGGTCGGTTGAGATCAGTTTGGACAAACACCCGGACAAACTCCATATATCTATCCGGATTAAGTCCCCTCAAATCGATGCTGTGAATCTTCGGAAACATTGCCACTGCAGATTCGATGTTGTTGACCGACCTTTTATGATCTGGAATTCCATGTACCTGCACCCAGTAATCCGCCAAATTGAAGTTGATATTTTGGGGTCGGATGCGCTCGTCCCATGGTTTCAATTCTCTTAGCTTATCCCCATTTCCTTTGACGAAGAAAGAAAGTCAGAAAGCATAATATGATGATTCCCATGCAATCCCAAATCCCTAAACCCCATCTCTTTTCTTCTTTCCTCGCTCTTGAATTCAATGATGGAATTGGAAAGTAAGCAAGCAAGCTTTGCTTCCCCTGCAGGTAAGGCTTTTCCCTCCTTGATCAATCAAGGAAGTGGCTGCTTCACAAGGTTGTCAAACCGGTTTATGCCGGTGTGCCGGTTTTGTAAGTGAAATGGTCTGACCGTGGTACAACCAGTATTCATGCCGGTTGTGCCAGTTTTAATAAAATACATGAGGAAAATGGAAATCCTCAATTCCAAATAAATTAGTCATAAAAAAGCAATTTAAGAATTATTTCACACAAAATAATTTATAGCTAAGGATTGGTAACTAATACTAAACAATTAGATGCTTAAAAATAAAATTTTATTAAATAAATTTTATTAATGTTTATAATGATTTGTGTAAAATTTAGTATTAGATATATAACATATAAGGTTAATATAGACAACAAAATTGCTTGTCGCCTACTGGTGTATAAGTTAAACTAAAATGAACAAGAGGTCCTTGGTTCAAATCCTATGGAAGATGTTTATTTTTGGATATAATGTGTGTAAAATTAAATTTCGGTTTCTGGTCTAACCGGCCGGAATTTCTGGATTTGACCGGATCTGACCGGCATTGACCGGATTTGACCACAGTTAAATACCGGCCCCTTTCCAGCCAATTTGCTGACCCGTACCGGTTGAACCGGCCGGCATGAAACCGGTTTGACAACCATGCTGCTTCACCTTTTTCATAAGTGAGAGGTGGGGGATACTATCTAGCATCTACCAAGCTAAGTAACAACTATAGAACAAATCGCATTGGTATATATATTATTATTAGGATTTTGTGAGGATGATGATTGATCATGATATATGATCAAGATAATCGCAATTCATCATTCCTTCTTTTGAGGTGTGTTTAATTCTAACAAGTTCATGTATATGTTGTATGGATAATAATTAGTGTTTTGGTTTGGTCAAACAACTTTCGATTGGGTTGGGAATATGAATAATTGGCCCTGAATTATTAAAGTTCTCATTTGTTTTGATTTTCTTGAATATAGAGAGGTAGTGGTAGTCTCGGTCTGCACTCGGATAATCAAGTCAATATATATATCGATATAGGAATACAAATATACAATGAATGTTTTAGAAAGAGTATAGAGAAACATATGCAAATTGTTGACGGTAAGGAAGAAAAGGTATAACCATTTGTTAGACTCTGGTAAGATTTTAAGAACTCCACTTGAGGAATTTATACTCAAGTATATCAATGGAACATAACCTCACGGTCTTAAACCTTCATGCTCACATAACAACAATCGTATGTGAATTCACGATGAAAAATTCTTTCATCTTTAAGGACGTATGTACTTATATAAAAGAATAACTACGATCGTTTTTAAATTCTCGATAAACCAATATAATCGTTTTTAAACTCTCGCTAGACCTCAGCACGATACATGGTATTGGCTAATTTTCTCCCTCTCTTGGATATATTGTATCCTACTACTTACCAGGTGAGCACTGCAGATTCCCCTAAATCTTATTATATATTCAACTAGACTAGCAGTGTACATAGAAAATGTTCAACCGAATTGTTGGTGATTAGTAGATTGCTTTATGATGTTTTTTTTTAATTGGGAATGGGACGCCGGCCAATTTTCCATTATGAAACTAGTTATATGGATGAATGTTGCTTTGGCGGGTACCACAGTTATGGCCAACCGATAGCCCAGCAACAGATTTCATCAAACATATGATAAACAATGTTCCAACAACAATCACATCATAACAACAAGCAACACATATCCCTTCATCAGACTCCTAACGTTAATCATGACAAATTCGTCCACATGATCCATGACCACAAAGGACACAAGAAACACACTGCAATTGCAACTTGTTCTGCAAAACTATTCGCAATCCGAGGAAACGAAGAAAATGTGGGTCGAAACCATTTATGCGTGCTTAAATCGACGGTATTACATATATATTCAACTTTGTGGAATTTGGATTCAGTATGAAGACTAAACTGTGGCACAAGTACTTGTGTAGTATCACCAAGTACTAGAGACTGATGATGCTTACATTGCAGTTCTAGAATGCTGTTTTTCTCTTCCGACGGCCCGAGACAGTCTTCTTGACTGCACCAACAGAAACCAAGAACTGATCAAGGGATGATAGAGTCTTCATGTCATCTGGAGGAAAGTAAGTTGCAGCTTTCCCCATGATGGATGCGAAGAGGAGAGATAGTGATGGCCTAGTAACATATCGTTCCCCCAGTAGATCGTCCAGAAATGCAAATGCAGCCATGAAATCTGACCTACTGGCATTCACTGGAGCAGCGAAATGAGCTGGGATGATCCTCTTGAATCTCCAGTCCTTCCCAATCCTATCTATCCAGTCTCTTACCTGTGTAGTGTTCAAGGGACACACCGAGAACCGATATTATCAAGCCAAGGACAAAAGTGGAACTAGTTACCCTGAAAGAATTGGATATTGAAGTTTTCCCATTACCTTTTCTGGGACTTTACTGAACACTAGTGTCTTTATAATGGGTGAGACTATCAACTTCTGCGACATCTGAGCAAAACTGGTATTGGGTTCTAACAGATTTGATGGTCCGAGGAACAGGATTTGGAGAACCATTCTTTCCCACCCTGCACAAATTAAGGAATCCAATTAGTTGATCCAACACTTTAAATGGTCCGACCCTTAAGAATACAATTACATAGTCACCCTTTGATATGTACAGGTAACACTGTCCTTAGTTTTGGGATGTTGGATATGGAACAAAAGAAAGACTAACCCTTTTGACGGGTCATCGGATTATCAACAACAGGCTCCTCAGGTACTTCCTTCCCTTTACTAAGGATTTTCACTGCTAATCCATTCTTTGCAGAAGCTAACAGTGAATCCTTACCAATACAATCAGGTGGCTTTCTTGGGACAAAAATCACTGCATCAGTCACCAGAAGTGATCTCGAGCGCTTGTGATAGAAAGCAACCTCCACATAAGGTCCAAGTCCTGAAAAAAAGCTCCAAATGTTCCATGAAAACTTATTAGGCAGCCCAAACATGAATCAGCTTGGTTAAAATGTGGGGGGAATTAAGGTGTATTACCAACTTCTGGTGCGCTAAGAACCTTTTGCTCAATGTCATCTGTCCATGGGGTTGACAAATCCTCGTCTTTCAAAGTTTTGGCACCAAAGATCCCAAAGAACTCAAGAGGCAAATTCAATGGCCAACTCCACTGCCTTGGTGCAACCCAAATTTTGGCCTTGGGGAACTTTCTAGAGAAAGGACCAACAAAAATTTTGTGCTCATAAGCGAATGTAGGCAGAATGATATACTCCACAGGGGCATCCAACTCCTTCAGAAGCTGCGACAAATATAAACCAAGATCTTTTAATAAGCAAAGCCAGGAGTTGTACTTAATATACAGATGAAGGACGAGAAACACTGCAGAATTTTGAGTTCGTCAGTCCATAGTACTGTAAACACAAATTCATCTCAATATCTCTTGATTTGACTTAAGAGACTCAAGCATGGAACTTTAATCATATACTACAAGTTGTGAGGATTCAAACCCGAGAGTTCCCGGTTCTCGGTCAGAGTCTCTGAAATTTATGTCTCATCTTCATTACTTCAGTTGCTAAGAGGCTCAATTATCAATCTTATATAATTTCCTTGCAATAGGATATCAAAAGTTAAAGGTGAAGAACCTGAATGCACTCCTTTGTAGGGGCAATGGGAGCATGCACCCACAAGCCTCCAGATTTGAGCTTGATGACTGTCATTCTGATGTTTGTGGAGACACTGCTGAACCCTAATGCTTGTTCTTGTTCAAACAGCCATATGGATCCTTTCACAGCCTATACCAACATACACAAACCAAACCCACTTAACAAAGAAAATTACTTTGCTAGCCGCAACTGTTAAAAGAAGGAGATGGGAAGAGGGACCGACCTCAGTTCTAATAGTGCGCCTGTTGAGAAAAGGGCCAAGAGGAAAAGGAAAGCCAGTGAAGTTGAAGTAAAATCTGCCATCAGAGCTTCCCTTTGAGATGGTTTCTTCTTCTACAGCAGCAACTACAAGCCCCAGTCTTTTTGCTCTTCTACTGCTGGAGAATCTGAGTTTGGATTCCCAACAGAGATCCTTGAACTTCAACGATGACCCACCAAGGAATCCATGATTTGTGTCCTTGAAAGACACTGCTAGATTCTGTAATGCGGCTGACTTAGAACCGCAAAGGTTAATGGCTCCCGCCATTCCTTCTGCGACAATACTTCTGGTTTGGCTGGCGGGTTGGATGGAAGATCCTGAAAGTTGAATTCTTTTGCCTACCAAATATTGAGTGGCTAAGTTTCGAAGCTATGTTTGCGACACGTGGCGATATGCCTGCAATGAAGTATTCCCGGCAGCTTCATATTTCTTCCTTTCTGTGGATGGGAAATGAACGGTCTCGTTTCACATGAGGAGAATTGAGTAACCGCTTTCCTAAACCATCAATTTGAAACATATCCTCATTGTAAAATGAAATTTGTAGGCGATTACGGATCGCCAAGCGTAATCCACAATCTCAATCATTCATTTATAACGAAGTCAATGGACATCCACCAGCTGAATTTATGCAGTTGTTATCATCTATAGAGAAGTTATAGGACATCCAGTCCACAGCCTGAAATCGTAGCGTTAGGCTATTCGAGAGCATCAGCCTACGTTAACACTTGCTCATTGATGGTGACAAAGGACGAAGGGCAAGTAATGACGAGCATAACACAGAAACCACTGATTCTGAAGCTGACTGCACTAGCATTTAGCAATTAATAACACATATTAGAAACCAATTTACCTAATGCACTATCACCAAAAACTTGTCTTACATAAAGAGATCTCTCTAGATGACCAGAAACCAGAAAGTACAGTGCAGAAGATGGCTTCTGCCTCCAGTACCTCTGCTGCCAACATAGACCCTAAACCAATGGGGAGCAGCCAGAAGAGATTCATTACAATAGGTAATATATAATCTACATAGATACACAAGGCCGTTCAAGCTCTGAGGCTCGTGAAATCGTCCAATTATGAAGTAGCTGACAAATACAATGATATCAAGTGATGATTTCTCTAACAAGCCAATCCAAACTGGGATAAGCAAAATAGAGTATGAGAAACGACGGTATGGCAAACAGAACAGTGATGAGAACGTACAGCGCCAGAATGGCTGCACTGGCAGGTACGGCGTATAAGATTATGAGAAGGAATATGATGACCAGAGGGAACTTTGCAGTAAGGTGAACAAAGAAAACCAACGACTTCTGTAGCGACGATTTTATCCTCCCCACACTGAGGAAACGAGGAGTGTTGTTGCCATGAACAGCATCATGGTTTGACCTAGATTGCCGCAGGTGGTGATGGTGATGGTGATTATTATGTTGACTTCCAGGACCAGCCAAGCTGGAATTCACCGCCCAGACATTTGGATGATCCTCAAAGGTAGATGATGCACGAGTCTTGACTCTATCATCATTCTTGCTTTCAACCATCCACAGTAGGAAGTAGTTCTTGCGTGGAAACTTGAGGTTTCCACCATAGACCAGGCGAAATGACAAGAGATTGCACCATGGACAGGAGATGAAGAGCGGGAGTTGAACTGGTAAAGTTGGGAACTTCACAACAGCCCACTGGAGAGCCAGTATGCAGTTTTTGCAAAGGGTATGCCCACACCAGAGGACGTAGGGCACGTTTTCCACAATGTTGAAGGATTCCCAGCATATTGGGCACTCCAGGCCTTCTTCTCTGCTCACAACTGAAGATGCTTCATCGTCCGAGTATTCAGAAGATGGGGTGACTTGATTTGGCTTTGAACTTGATGAGCTTTTTAAACTGACACTTCCAGCAAGACAGTTCGATGCAAAGTTCCACATCTAGTGCTGTCTCTTTAACCCTTCCGCTGTACAAAACTCAACATTCGCTTTGAGAAGTCAGCCTAAAAGAAAAGAAAGAAGCGAGGAACTGAGAGACATTCTTGCGAGCAACTATTAACCAAGTTTTGGTACAATAACTTAAAAAGACACAAGACGGATGAGATGAGACAATAAATCTGTAATCCTCAGAAATAAACAAGATTATAAAAAATTCACACAACACAAGCACTCTATTAATTTGGAAACATTTAGATTGCAGAAAGTATCAGCAAGAAACAAGTCCTGTAGCATAAGCACACCAAAGAATTGCTGAAACCGCTCCATAATATATCGATCTTAAATCAAAGACCTAACTTTCCCCCTTCCAATAACTTCTGCGAGCTTTCTTTATTCGACTGACTTTCCCATACTAATTATGGTTTCCCCTGAATTTAAATCATCCCCTCAATCGAGAATTTGAGAACCAGTTAAATATATAATTCGACAAATCTCATGCCTCAACTATACTTCTATTGCAGCATACTGATTGATGCCTTGGCAAATAACCAGGGATCAGTATTACTCAAACAGCAATTGTAACAAACACATTGGTAGGTAGGGAAGCACAGCACACGTGTGGTTTCTTTGGACTTCCTCAGAGTAGCCTAGAAAATATCAAAGCGAGCTGACTTCACAGAGGTTTCCAGCTTCTGGCTCCATCTTATCAGCAGAACAATCAATATTATCCAAGCAGAGTCGCCCAGATTTCCCTCCACCATCCACCAGCACCCTGAGACCAGCTTTCATCTCAGGCAACCCTTCTTCCAGAACAGCACATACTGGGTAAATGGGAACACCCTGCACCCTTCTTTTCAATTCTTCAAACACTAGTTCCGCCCCAGCCTCGTCTATCTTGTTAGCCACAACTATTGAAGGCCGATCAGACAACCCTTCCTGATGGTGCTCCAGCTCCAACACTAAATCTCTCAGTTGTTCCCATGGTGGAAGTCCTTTCCTACCATCATCCAATCCACTGGCCAAATCTACCACATAAGCAAACCTTTGTTCTCTCAATGTGCCGGAGGAAGGAATGGCCAAGTCCACGGTTCACATGAGCGCCCTTTATAAGTCCAGGGATATCAGCCACTGTGACTGAGAAGTCTTCAAAATTCACTTTCCCTAAGTTTGGCCGCAGTGTTGTAAAGGCATAGTGGCCGACTGTGGGCTTCGCTCTGGATAAAGCACCCAGAAGAGTGCTCTTACCAGCATTTGGCATACCCACAAGGCCTACGTCTGCAATGCTCTTGAGTTCTAGTATGCAGACAGCTTCAGAACCAGGTGAACCAGCTCGGAGGGAGGGGTGATCATCAGGATCAGTAGAGTTTCCCTTATTCAATATCCCTGGCTTTCCAGTCTTGGCATTGTTCGGAACATTTGAAGTAGAAACATTACCTAAACCACCTTCCCCTCCATGAGCAACGATCACTCTCTGACCTGGTTTAGTCAATTCTGCAACATTGTATTGTACATCTTCACTTTCTGCAGCTGTCAGCTTATTCTGGTCAACATCTACGTTCGGTGATTCTTCATAAGTTGATTCGGACCTCTCAGTAGCCAATGCCTCCTGCTGAAAATTTGTAGTTGGATCAGTATCTAACGTACCAGGAAGATCCCAGGGATCCAAAGCAGCTTCAGTCGATCTGGCCTGAACTAAAGACGGAAGCTCACCCCTAACAAGATGAATCACAGTGCCAACGGGTACTCGGACAACCTTATCGTCTCCTCGAGTGCCTATCATATTCTTGGAGGCTCCATGACCCCCTCTGGCTGCATTAACATGATGCTGCAAACCACTAAAGTCCCAAACTGCAGGGGAACATTCCAGGATCACATCACCACCTCTTCCACCATTCCCACCATCGGCTCTCCCACGGCGAACAACCCTGCTTCTGTGGAAGCTGCAGCACCCACCCCCACCATCACCACCTTTGACATGCAGATTCATTCTGTCCCTCATTCTAGTCTCCTGCAAAGGCGCAGCCTTTGCTTTCTTTTGAGGAGTTTCTGAGTAAGAAAACAGCGACGAAAACATCCATGGAGGTCTGGTTGGCTTCCCCACCGCTGCCTCTAACTGGAACAGGGATTTCACTGAGGTGGGTAACCTCATAATCGAAGGGAAGAGATACCCCCAAAGGGATTTGAAGGGGAGAGATCCGTGTAACCCTAATCTAAGCAGAGAGTATATAGATTCACGAGTAGGGAAGCGCAAATTGAAAAAACACGACACAAACAAGAAATCAGCAATAAGATCGGAAGATAATTTACCAGAGCAACTGTCGGTATCGCAGATGGGTGGGGAAGAAAGAGGATATAGAACTCTACTACATGGCGATCGATGACTACAGAAGAGGAATTGGAAAACCCTATTTGCTTGCTTCCACCGTGCAGCTAAGCGACTAGCTGCTGTCAAATTTTCACGAAACGGCTCCGGTTTCTGGGGAGGGTTTCTGGAAGAAGGACTGTTCCATAAAATGAGGTGTAGAGAAATGTGGGGTGATTTTTTTAGTGGACCAATTTAAATTTTTTTATTTTTCCCTTCATAATACATCAATAATTAGAATAATTTTTAGTGGCCAAAAAACATAATAATTTTTCATCTAAGACAATGATTAACTAATTTAGAAAGGTGTGAAACTACAAATCATTCTTAAATGATTTTATACTATCTTTAAGAAATATATAATATTTACGTTTACCCCTACACCAAAAAGAAAGGGAAAAGAACAAATGAGAATTCATAGTTTACAATTGACATTAATTTATTTTATATTCTATATTATTGATATTTGAATCATTGACTTTTAATCTCTAGCTAAATGTGGATCACCATGAAAGTAACCCTCTTGAACATTCCTACATAATAACCTTCGTCATATGTTAGTATTCACTGTTCTATTAATTCTCGTATATTAATCAAAATTCATCAAGTGGTCAATAGAAATATAGCTACTAAGTATTTTTACTATTTTACCATTTTGCATGGGTATAATAGTGAGTATGATGATGAAATGTATGATCACATCCGATACTCAAGGAAATGATTATGGAGAGTATGATGATGAAATGTATGATCACATCCGATACTCAAGGAAATGATCACATCCGATACTCAAGTTGTGATTTAGAGTGACAAAGACATAATAAGTGAAGTTGTAAAGCAAAATAAACGTTAAAGTAGTCGATGTAACTTTTGGTTTAAATTTACACCTACATACATGGGGGAAAAATCCAAAACTACTACCGTTTAAAAAAAATTACAAAAATACCACCCAGACCAAATAATTTCCAAAAATACCATCATTTATTAAAACCGCTAATCAAGGCGGCGGTTACAGCGAAAAACGCGCCCCCAAGGCGCGGTTTGACCTTGCATGGCTGTCAAACCGTGTTACCACGTGGCGGTGCATCAAACCGCCAATCAGAGGAGCGTTTAGACGGATAAAACGTGTGCCAAGTCAGCAGTCCGTGTCTTCCACAAAAACCGCCTGCCCGAGACGCGGTTTGACCGTTGGGAAAATGAAACCGCGTGTCTGATGCGCGGTTTGACTGTCGGGAATCTAAAACCGCGTGCTGGGGGCGCGGTTTGTGGTGGCGAGAAATTACTCAACCGACCCTCCCCCACGCGGTTTGAACCCTATAAACCCCCCCCCCCCCCCTTCTTTTTTCTGCACACCATCCACCTCTCTCCCTCTCTCCCTCTAACTTCTCTCTACCCAACCCCTTCCCACCCAACCTTAGAATTAGTTTTTTTGTTGGTTGCGGCTAAGTCCGATCTGCCTCCAAAATACTTTTTCTTTGGTTTTCACTAAAAAAACGTCGAACCTCTGTCCGGATTCCGAGAGAATGGCCGATTTCGCTCAAGAAGAGGGTCTTTTTTATGATGATTATCAAACGGTACGTACTCATTTTTCCCAATTGTTGTTGTTGTTATAATGATTTATTTAATTTATATACTAATGATTTATGTTATTGTTATGCTATCGTAGGTTGGGCCGAATGTTGATATTTTCAATCAACGATATTATGTTGATCAAGGACCGATTGATCCGACAGTTTTATACGATCAAGCAAATCATCGTTCAAGAGACGTTTGGAACGACCACAAGGTACATATTATTTATCATCATTTGTAATTTGTATTTTGTTAAAGTAATTTATTTGTTGTACAATAATTTACTTAATTGTTAATCGTATTGATTATTTTCAATAATTTAAATCAATACAATACAACACTTATTGAGACTCTGTTATAAAGAAATGCATGTCTAAGGAAATGGGGACTTAAGCGATCATCATGATCCCCCCATGACCTGGGAAAATCGGGTTCTAAGCGATCCTCGGATCCCCCCTTTTTCTGTCAAAAAGACTGTGTTTCTAAGGAGATGTATACCTCTCCTAAGAGTCTTACGAGTGTACTTGTATTGCTTTAAATTATTGAAAATAATCAATACGATTAACAAAATAATATATTTGATTTTATGTGTACCAAAAATATTTATACTTAAATTTCGAATATTACTTTAGTTATGTTAATATTAATATTTATTAGATAATGTATATTAATATTTGCATCTTTTAATATTATTTATTTATGCTAATATTAATGTTTATTATATAATGTATATTTCTCTAAATGAACCTTGATTTAATTAATATTGCATCTTATAATATTATTTAGTTATGTTAAAATTAATATTTAATTAGATAATGTATATTTCTCTAAAACAACCTTCATTTAATTAATATTGCATCTTAGAAAATTATTTTAGTTATGTTAAAATAAATGTTTATTAGATAATGTATATTTCTCTAAAACAACCTTGATTTATATATAAATTGTATCTTATAATATATTTATATATGTATAAATCATCAACTTATAATGAAATTTAAAATTTTTTCTAGGATGCATACCATATAGTCCGCTATAGGGGCACAACGAATGTGCTTGAATGGAACGACGTCATCTTGCCCTTTCTAAAAAGGGCAAGATTGGATTCGATTCGGCATTTCAATGGGATCAAGATCGACCGCCAACTCATCACGGCGATGGTAGAGAGATGGCGAAAGGAGACACACTGCTTCAATTTTTGTGAAGGCGAGTGCACCATCACACTTAAGGACATCGCCATCTTAACCGATCTCCCCATCGATGGTGATGTTGTTTGTGTGGATTCTACGCCACCACCTAAAGTTGTTGCCAATATGAGTGGTTGGCAACATTTTATATGGATGGTCACCGGGTTGTGTCCGCCAGAGAAGGGAGATCACGATGCGGATGGTCTTCCACCATTGTCCAAGGGCCAAGTATCCATCACTTGGTTGACAGCGGAGATCAGGCGTAAGCACAACCCTGAGTTCGGAGGCATTCCCCTCACGGAGGAAAGTTCGGAACGTGATAAAGAAATTTATGCACGTATCTACATCCTCGGCATGATCGGAGGAGTCTTCTTCCCCAAGAAATCCAACAACCTAATCAGCAATTCATGGTTGAAGATCATACTTGGTGATTGGGATGACATGGGAAACCTGAGTTGGGCATCTGCTTGCTTAGCTCATCTCTACCGATCTCTATGTAATGCTAGTGCGAGAGCGGTGAAGGAGATTGATGGGGCTATGTTCATCGTCCAATTTTGGGCTTGGGTCAGGTTCGTCCGCCTAGTGACATGGAGCTGAATTTGTCTGAAGAACCAGCCATAGCTATCGGTATTCTCTCCCTCCACAATGGCAAAGGCTAATGGATATACTAATCTATTTGCATCTGCTCCGCTGGCAATCAGTAGAGTACCCTTGTACTTGCCGGTAAGGAATGTTCCATCAACTTGAATCACAGGAACACAGTATGGAAAACCATCAATACATGGCTTGAAGGCCCAGAAAAGACGCTTGAATTGGCGATTGTTACCAGGCGCCGGCGATTGAATTTCTTCATCTTGGTAGCGAGGCGAGAAAATGGTGCCAGGGTTAGACACCTCCAACGCCAAAATCAATTTGGGAAGGAATGCATATGATTCTTCCCAGTCACCAAACACGGCAGCCATTGCTTTCTGTTTCCCATGCCATGCTTTCTTGTAGTTAATGATATAACCATAACGACTAGAAATGTGGGCGATGATGGTTTTGACCTTAAGGTCGGGCTGCTCCTCAATTAGATGTTTGATAGCCGCGGCAACCACCCTTGATTTCAACTGTCGATGGCCTTGGGATGTTATTGATGACACACATGTGTGTGTGTTCACCGCACGGGATATGACCCAATGGCCGACTCTCTTGCTCTTGATAGCCCGAACCCTAGCTTTGCATCCCTCATTTTCATTTCTGCATCGAACCAGCAGCCTCTTTGTGTCGGAATGGGTTGTTTGCCATTCAAAACTCCGAGTCATTGCTTCAGTGGAAATAGCGTGCCGGACCTCATTCTTCGTTGCAAATTGTTGGCCCTTCGTAAAGCCAGTTAGTGGACCCCATACTGGCACATCTGGCGGGTCCATGTCGGCATCAACATACCAATCTTCACTTTGAATGTGATTGTAGTATGAAATAGGTACACGGTCGTGAGCTACCTCATCACCATCTGCGTCTGAATCTGGGCCGGAATCATCAGCACCCTCCAACGGATCGTCGCTGTCTGCACTAACTTCGCCTTCCTCTTCTTCATCCTCAGGGTCACTAACTGGACTTGGATTGACCTCTTCTTCCATCTGACTACCAGCATGAAAGGCACCTTCACCTTCACTAGCTCCGTAATGGTAGTTGTGGTAACTAACACCGCTTTGATAGAAGTTGTAGTCGGGTGGGTACTGGTAGCCTGCTTGTTGGTTGTAATCCGCCTGTTGAGCTTCTTCTTCATATGAAGGGAAGGATTGATGACTTCCTCCAGTACCATGATGATACTCCTGCCTCCAGCTCGACTCTTGGAAATCCTGGTGGGGATGATTTTCGTATAATACACTCCCACCGTGGATACCAGATGTTTGGCCATCTCCAGAATGACCTACACTGCCTTCGACGACCTCGGTGTAAACGAACATCTCCGCTTGCTTAATTTTATTGGTGGTCAAAAATTGGACCATGGCATCAACGTCCTCCTGAGTGGTAAGGAGGAATTCCTCATGCCACAGCGACCCGTCATGTCTGTTTGGATATCGATACACCATTCGATCAACTCTTCTAGTGCCATCCATGCAGGTAATCTGAGTGCACATTTGATGGAGCTCTTCAAGCATCGGTCTCGTACGGACCTTCATTTTATAAAAATTGCCACCGACGTAACTTACACCCTTTTCTGTCTCTTCCGTGTAACCATTCCACCGCAACCCAAGCGTGAACCTTTGGAATGCCATCTGCAATGAAAAGTAATTAAGTTACTAACATAAAATCACAAATGACAATGAAGAGTAATTAAGTTACTAACATAAATTCACAAATGACAATGAAAAGTAATTAAGTTACTAACATAAAATCACAAATCTGCAATGAAAAGTAATTAAGTTACTAACATAAAATCACAAATGACAATGGAAAGTAATTAAGTTACTAACATAAAATCACAAAGGACAATGAAGAGTAATTAAGTTACTAACATAAATTCACAAATGACAATGGAAAGTAATTAAGTTACTAACATAAAATCACAAACGACAATGGAAAGTAATTAAGTTACTAACATAAAATCACAAAGGGCAATGAAAAGTAATTAAGTTACTAACATAAAATAACAAAGGACAATGAAAAGTAATTACGAAACAAACTTACGAATAAACGTTAATCGCAAAAACTAAATAATTTAAAGCTGAAATTTTAAGAAGGAAGAGGAGGAGGTGTGAAGAATTGAGTTCTCTGAAACCGCCTTTTATAGGCAAAATTTTGCACCAAAATCGATGGGCGGGGGAGCGGTTTCGGTCTGCCATGAAGCCCTACGTGCCCTACCCCCTGCATGCCGACATGTCCGACATGTTGGCTGTCGGGTGACCAGGCACAAACCGCTCCTTGGGGCAGCGGTTTGTGTCCTGACACTATAAAACGCCGCTTGGAGGAGCGGTTTGTGTCCTGACACTATAAACCGCCCTTTGGGTAGGCGGTTTGTAATGCCGACACATAAACGCTCTTTCCTAAAGCGTTTTGTGGTAGGGTTAGCCTATAACCGCTCCTTCCAAGAGCGTTTTGTTCTGGAAATTAAAAACGCTTTACCGAGGTGCGGTTATTATCTAAAACGCTTCCTGGAAGCGCGGTTTAAGTAAAAACCGCTACATAGAGGCGCGGTTTTAAATAAAGGATGGTATTTTTGGAAATTATTTGGAGTGGGTGGTATTTTTGTAAATTTTTTTTAAACGGTGGTAGTTTTGGATTTTTTTCCCATATATGGTTGAGTTATTAATCCTAAAGATTTCTCCTTAAATTGAATTGTTTTTGTACCTTATTTAATAATTAAGCAACAAGGCCTTCTTGATTCCACAAATTAATCACTACAGGATATCATGATCAAGCAAGCATGGGGAGCTCAACTTGGTGCTTCTTGGCGATTGAGGCTTCCTTCTTGACTCTTGTTCTTGTACAAGGAAGGATTCGTAACTCCATCCTCGCCGTCTCCACCTATCCCCCTTGCTCCTCTTCTCCTTATACACAAACGCCCCAATCCCCAGAAGACAAGCGCTCGTTGGAAAAGCACGTACTGGTGGAGGCAAATATAATGTAACACCTTAATTAGCCAAATTATACATGGATAAAATATGAGAGATTTATGATTTATAAGGACCATTCAACTTTAAACGACAAGACGAGTTCGTAAAACAACCGCAAAAGTTTTTGTATGAACTCTGAAATTAAATATGTTCAGTATAGAGGAGTACTAATATGGGTCACTTCTCGAAAAGTCACCATGATACACTCCAAAAAGGCAAAAAAACAAAATCTTGTGTCAATAGACATAAAACATACAGTATGCTTTATCAGAAAAAATTGGAATGTTACATATACACCTAACTAAACACCTTTTCTTTTCCCAACTCATCCAAATTAAGAACAAATCATTGCAATATAACACGAAATCAAGCCAATTAACATAGAAACTTCATAGATGTAGCCAATTCCAAATACATAAAATCAATTATCGGGGGGAAATGTAGAAGATATCGATCAATATTTTTGGCCCTACTCTTAACTTTGCAATTTGGAACCAAAATGAATCAAATCAACCATTCATTTCATTTGGTAGTGAAAATGGGGGAAATAAAACTAGAGATCCAGGAAACAAAGAATAAATAGTGAAAATGAAGTTTGATGGAACTCCACGATCGACATGGCTGGCACCAATATATACAAACAAAACTGATTGGTGATGGGTGGTCCATCGATACGAGCCGGCCGGTCGGGCAACTTGAGGAGGGATCGAGCTGGCGGAAGAGAAGAATATGTAGGATACGAAGCAGCTGCTATTTCTGTGTGTGGGGGGTGATTGATTCAATCTGTGGAGCCCCATCGAAGCTCCTCCATCTCTGCTTGCAATGGCATACTTGGTTCGTGCTTGCTGCATCATACCACGTTTCGGGTTCGGTTTTTCGGGTTTACCCGAAACTGACCCGATTATATACATTTCCGGTTTTTCGGGTTTAGGTTCGTTTTTTGTTTCGGATTCGGTGTTGCTTATCGGTTTTTCGGGTTCCGGCTAAAAACATTTAATGAATAGAACTCAGCCTATATTCTTAGACGTTCGGGTTTTTCGGGTTTCGATTTTCCTTTAACCAAACCCGAACCCGATAAGAAATTTTCGGGTTTCGGGTAATCGGAACCCGCAAGTCCTTATCGGGTTCGGGTTCGGTTTCAATAATTTTCGATTTCGAGTTTTTTAGGTTTCGATTTGAGTAACCGAACCCGACCCGAACTGACACCTCTACGTACCAGACAGAGACAGAGGGAGGAGAGAGAGAGAGAGAGTGGCCACACTTGCTGCTTGGTTCAATTCTTGTTGTGAGTGTAACAGTGTTTGATGAGATCCTAACAATCAAACAAGCTAGGCAAGCCTTATTTCTTTGGTTGTGTCCACATCTTCTCCATGTTAACACGTACCCACCCCAACTCAGCTGGACCCCGCCCGCCCTCGATCATATCATTTCAAATTCTCTCAATCAACCATGAAATGGCACCTCATCTCTCATGCTGCTAATTAATATGTTTGGTATTCGAGTGGATAATTAACGAGGTTTCTGATTTCCTTAGTGCCAATATAACTAGTTTTAAATCTCGAGGTTCAGGTTTAAATCCTTTCAATAATACCTTATCATAAAATCTAACTAGTTTTATTAAAAAAATGTTGTTAAACCTCATACTAACTATAGGATACTGTTTAGTGTAGCATAGTGCAAACCATTGTTATAAGAACCGCATCGGATCAACGGCTAGGCTAGTAGAATTGCCAAACCAATTACGATAGCGTTCAGTTCATTGCTTGGACGGTTATTGATGGACTAAACGGTTTTTCCAAGTACATTCCGAAATTATGTCTATGATAAAAAAAAAAGAACTTGGAGATCTTGGAGATACCAAGTATGTCTAGTGGTTCGGTTCTAAAAACATATGAGCATCAAACAAGGGCTTGGTCTAGTGGTAATACCACTAATCTAGAACTTGGAGATCCCAAGTATGAATCACTTAAATAGTACCTTAATAACAAAAAAAAAAAAAAAAGTTAAACCTATATCACCTTTATAAAACAATAAAAAAAAAATGGCACAACTAGTGACATGGTGGACAACTAAACCAAGAGGTATTGAGAATTTCACTAATTAATATGTAACTTGCATCATAATAAACAAACAAAAAGAGGAAACCATAGTACTTATGATCCTTCTTGGAAGTAATAACCCCCTTCCTTCCTAGCTCTTACCAAAGCCAAGTATCTCCCTCCTCTTTTCCCCTTTCACCAATATGAGAGTAGGATGACAATTTTGACCTGATCCATTTTACCCGATCTGTTTGACCTGTTTTGGGACGGGTCCTTTTCCCCCTTCACCAATATGAGAGTAGGATGACAATTTTGACCTGATCCGTTTTACCCGATCTGTTTGACCTGTTTTGGGACGGGTCCGACCCGTCCCGTAGGCGGGGCGGGCATGGATACTCTCATCGACCCGACCTGCCTTGACCCGCCCCATTCTCGACCCGCTCTTGCCTAAATTACATGTAATCTTAGTTAAATTGCTTAGGATTTTTCATTTATTACATGATAATTTAGCTATAATAAAGTTATAATTTAGTGAAAATCCCAATTTCTCTAATAATTTAACTACATTTATCATAATATTGTTTGTTTTCTTGGTCTTATAATAAAAATAACGAATATTTCTAATGTTTTTCATATAAATTGCATACCCATTGGGTCGACCTGCCTCGACCTGCGATCCATGATAAATTACCCGACCTGCCTCATTGCCATTCCTAGATGGGAGTGACACTGGTTCGTATATGTTTAACTGCTTTAAACTATGATATAATTCAACATGATACACATTTAATGTCTGATGTTGAAGGTAGAAATAAATGTAATTTAGCATTTGTGTATGCAATATAACACGAACAATAACAAAACTCCAGTAATACAAATATGTTAACACTAACATAAAATAGAAAAATATCTCACAGAAAAATATCTCATCGATTATTCTCATAAAAGAAAAAAAAAATCTTCACCATTACTTCCCAACTATTTCAGTACTAATCAACTCATAATCATAAGGATAATGACATTACTCTCCTCTCTTTGCCTTGTAATCAAATCCTACCTTGATTAATTAAGTTCATCTTCTAGAAACCAACATCGTCCCCCACCCCTTCACTACCCCATATAGCAATTCCCCTCACTCTCTCTCTCTCTTGTCTTGGCCCTATCAACAAAGTGTTCTTGTTCAATTTCGCCCTCTTCCTCTTCCTCTTCCCCCCTCCCTAAACAAATTTCTCCAATTCTCTCCCATGGTGGTTCCATCACTGTTCATACTTCTCCCCTTCCAGTCCCCACCATGCCCAACTTTCGTTTCCCCTTCATCTCCGGCCACCGCCGGCCACGACTCCCAGAACCATACACCACCACCGCTGACATCAGCAACGGCGGCGACGACGTCGTAGAATGCTACGCGTGCACGCAGGTCGGCGTCCCGGTCTTCCACTCCACAACCTGCGACGCCGCCCACCAGCCCCTCTGGGAAGCCTCCGCCGGCTCCTCCTTGGTCCCCATCCACTCCAACTCAACAACTCCACTCCCGGCCCCACGCCCGCGCCCTCGCCGCCGCCCCAGCGGCGCTTTCGGGACGGTGGTGGACCCGCGGAGCAAGCGCGTGCAGCGGCTGAACCGGGCGTTCCTCCTCGCCCGGGCCATGGCGCTGGCGGTGGACCCGCTGTTCTTCTACGCGCTGTCGATCGGGCGAGGGGGCTCGCCGTGCCTGTACATGGACGGCGGGCTGGCGGCGATCGTGACGGTGCTCCGGACGTGCCTGGACGGCGTCCACGTGGTGCACGTGTGGCTGCAGCTGCGGGTGGCGTACGTGTCGCGGGAGTCGATGGTGGTTGGGTGCGGGAAGCTGGTGTGGGACCCGCAAGCAATCGCGGCCCACTACCTCCGGTCGCTGAAGGGGTTCTGGTTCGACGCCTTCGTCATCCTCCCCGTTCCCCAGGTACGTCTATACGTATACCGACCCCACGCCATTTTTTCCCCCGGTAATTTTCTGGTGATTTTCGGACGTGTTATGTTACGTGTTGTTGTTGTGGTTGTGCGGCCGATGAGTCGCCTGCATCATACGGCCGCAAGAGGACAACCGTAATACCCATGTGATGCGTGGGTACAAGCTTCAATTGATCTTTGTCATGGCATGGCGGGGGCCGCCGGAGAACTGGTTTCGGATGATTGTGGCGCGAGAGAATATGCAAAGAGATTATTGTTGTGGGTATTATTGCTGTTGGATGCCAGGACCATTTGAATGTGTAGGCCGGGTTGAAAATGCGAGTAACATAAAAAAGGATTGCATTGATTTGTTTCTCAAATATCCGATAGGTAGGTAGTGTGGGTGACTTAATATTTCGTAAGTGATATGTGTAAAACACATGGTTTAGGTTAGGATGGCAATTTCTATCTAACTCGTTTTACCCGACCTGTTTGATCTGTCTTGGGGTGAGGCGGGCATGACTACTTTCATTGACCCGACATGTCCTAACCCGCCCAATTTTCGGCCCGTTCTTGCCTAAATTACATGTAATCTTAGTCAAATTACTTAGGATTTTTCTTTTATTACATCATAATTTAGCTATAATAAAGTTGTAAATAAGTAAAAATCTCAATTTCTCTAATAATTTAACTACATTTATCATAATATTGTTTGTTTTCTTGGTCTTATAATAAAGATGACGAATATTTCTAATGTTTTTCATATAAATTACATACCCATTGTGCCGATCTGCCCCGACCTGCGACCCATGATAAATTACAAGACCTGCCACGGGGCGGGTCTAGGTACCAAGAAACCCGCCCCGGACATATCCCTATTGTCATTCCTAGTTTAGTTACTATATTTATTTTACTTGAAGATTGATCTGACTTGTTTTGATATGCAATTTGAGTAGAATAAACGAACGTTGACAAGATATAATTACATGAATAATGAAGTCAAGTTATTTGAGAAAAAGGACACTCGCTCTTAATCATAAACATAATAGAGTTAAAATAGTTAGTGATGGTAAATGGTGAGTGGATTTTAACCGGCAACTAAACCAATAATGACAGTTAGTGATTAATTGATAAAAGATAATTTTTTAATGATTCGATTCGGTAAGTTTTATCCTTATAAACTTGACCAATCGGCTAAAACATTAACTTCTCTATCATAATGTTTTTTTTTCCCCAAGTAATATGAAAACACAAAAGTTAAACCTCTACCCAAAATCCCAAAAAACATTAATGAAGCCACCCTACAAAATCAAAGGACACTATCTCTACAGGGGACAACAGCAAGGCTTGTCTTGCTACTCTATAGGCAGCCCACTCTGTCATAATGTTTTATGACAACATTGTAACATCAAATTAAATAAGTAAAAAAACCAATGCTCTCGTATGGGTTGTTTAAGTGGTAAGACATGTAGCTGACACTACTACGTAATATAAAGTTTTGTTCCAACAACTTATACATATGAGAAAATTATTAAGGTGACCATCGATAATATAATCCTTAAGCACTCACATCCATAATTGTTCCTAAGTGTTTGGATGTTGTAAACGATAAAATCTTGAATTGAGATTTTACCTTAATAATACCTCTGGATCGAAAACCAACTATTGGATAGTTCGATCATTCACTTACTCACCAACAAATATTTATCTTAGTAGTGTTCATGCACATGGACTGAAACTAGGACATTAGCATGATAGCATCACTAATATTTTCTGTAATACTAATTTTTTGAAGTCATGACTACAAATATGATTGTTAAGTGTTGGCTCAAAATCTGAACCCGAGTGTGGTAATTACCCAACTATTTAAATCTTTCGTGGAGTTTTGTGGAGCTATTTTTTTTTACATCAATTAGACCAGTGAATATCATTTTGTTTTTACTATACACCTCCTACTTCTTAATGCTACAGGCTGTGTTTTGGCTGGTGGTGCCAAGATTGATCAGAGACGAGCAGATCAAGCTGATAATGACAATCATGCTCTTAATCTTCCTGTTCCAATTCCTGCCCAAAGTCTACCACAGCCTCACCCTAATGAGGAGAATGCAGAAGGTCACCGGCTACATCTTCGGCACCATCTGGTGGGGTTTCGGCCTCAACCTCATCGCCTACTTCATCGCCTCCCACGTCGCCGGCGGATGCTGGTATGTCCTCGCCATCCAGCGCGCCTCTTCCTGCATAAAGCAGCAGTGCAACTTGTCCTCCAACTGCGACCTTTCCTTGTCTTGCTCCGAAGAGCTCTGTTTCCGCCTTGTCCTGCCTGATGCATTGGCTGCCGGCAGCGGCTCTTGTGGTGGTTATAGTAACTCGAGTAGTACCAGGACTCCGATGTGCTTGGACATGGATGGCAGTTTCAAGTATGGGATCTATAAGTGGGCTCTTCCTGTCATTTCCAGTGATTCCTTGGCTGTCAAGATTCTTTACCCCATTTTCTGGGGATTAATGACCCTCAGGTAATTAAGGTTGATTGCCTAGTTAGTCATGATTGTCTGCCCATTTTAATTAACTACGAAATTAGTGGCGGAGCCAGAAATATGAATGACGGGACTGATTTGAACTGTGGTGATCTGAAAGAGGGCTAATTGAACCAAACCAATTACTCTGTATCCTCAATTTGCTACGAATTTTACATCTAATTTACCTTGATGGGGGCTATACCCCTCCTGACTTCAACCCAGCTCTGCCACTGTATTGCAAAATCGTGTTGAGATTGGTTTGATTGACTGACTATGGGGTTTGTGCATGAATATTGCAGCACATTTGGGAATGATCTTGAACCAACTAGTAACTGGTTGGAAGTGATGTTCAGCATATGCCTAGTACTGAGTGGGTTGATGCTCTTCACTTTGTTGATTGGTAACATTCAGGTGTGTGAATTTTTACAAACATGAATGGATTTCCATCTACATTGCTGGAGTATCAAGATTTCCTGTGTGTGGTATGGGGATGTTGCAGGTGTTCTTGCACGCGGTGATGGCGACGAAGAGAAAGATGCAGCTGAGGTGCAGAGACATGGAGTGGTGGATGAGAAGAAGACAGCTGCCTTCCCGCTTGAGGCAGAGAGTTCGGCACTACGAGCGCCAGAGATGGACGACCATGGGAGGCGAGGATGAGATGGAAATGATCAAAGACTTGCCCGAAGGGCTACGGCGAGACATCAAACGATACCTCTGCCTCGACCTCATCAAGAAGGTACAGATTAAATTGAGTCCGGTAAATCAATCAATTTAGGATCTAGTTTAGTTCGTTTGATTTGGCATCATGAATAACAATGAAACTTGATTTGATTGTTTTGAGGTGTGATCTAGGTGCCGTTGTTTCATAACTTGGACGATTTGATTCTCGACAACATATGTGACAGAGTCAAGCCAATCGTGTTCTCCAAGGATGAGAAGGTAATTCGTATAAAGTTTTCATCTAATTAATAATGCTTGTTCGGTTTAGTGCAGCAAATGTAACTCTCAAATACACCAACGCAATCATACAGAGGATTTGACTATGTTTCCTCTTATGCCTCAATTGTTATTTATTTTGTGTAAACAGATAATCAGAGAAGGCGATCCAGTATCAAGAATGGTGTTCTTAGTCCGCGGGAAGATAAAAAGTTCACAGAGGCTAAGCAAAGGAGTTGTAGCAACAAACGTGCTTGAAGCTGGAGGCTTCCTCGGCGACGAACTTTTGTCATGGTGTCTACGCCGGCCATTCAACGAGCGGCTTCCAGCTTCGTCGGCGACGTTCGTGTGCATAGAAGCCGCGGAGGCATTTGCTCTCGACGCCAACCACTTGAAGTACATTACGGATCATTTCCGGTACAAGTTTGCGAACGAGAGGCTAAAGAGGACGGCGAGGTATTACTCTTCGAACTGGCGGACGTGGGCGGCCGTGAACATTCAGTTTGCGTGGCGGCGGTACAGGCGGAGGACCAGAGGTGGCGGTGGTGCTGGTCCGATGAACCCTGTCGTGGAGAGTGGTGGGGATGTGGAAAATAAGTTATTGAGGTATGCTGCCATGTTCATGTCGATTCGACCACATGACCACCTTGAATGAATGAAGTCGGATAGAAGGGTGAATTAGAGTGCAATGTTTTTGGGAGAATCTTGCTTTTTTTTTTTTCTTGTGTTTGTTCATTTGTTGTCAGATGATGAACAAAGCATATCCTCCAGTATGTTCATGTTATATGATCATGTTGGAGGGTATTCTCATTGATACCTCCATGAATAAAGAAAATAAATTAGTTGGTTCTTTTTGGAGTAGGGTTCTTGATACCATGACAGGCAAACACTAAATGTAATGTAATGGTAGGCAAACTTCTATAAGAGGCCTCAATAAACTAAACAGGGGATAACCCGAACCCTTGTTTTCAGAAAACAAGTATTTATTGTTTTCCCAAAGCTTTATCATTCGTAACAAATGATTTTTTTAAACGAAAACGAAATGGCAGGTGAACACGTTTTTTGTCATTTGTTTCTTGATTTTTATTTTTTAAACAAAAAAACAGAAAACGAAATGGGAAGTGAACATGACATAAATGTAATGTAATGGTAGGCAAACTTCTACAAGAGGCCTCAATAAACTTATGTGCAATGGGATTGAGGAACTTGGAAGATTTATAGTTACAAAAGTGAAGGAGAAAATCCTGATTTTGAAGCATTCAATAGAAGTTTACCCTGAACGAATTGTCCTTCCTTCCTAGTTCCTATCAATCAATCAATCAACATGTCCCCGGCAGTGGTTTGCATGGATGCTTTGCTGCTCTGCATGCTGAAGTCGTCGCTACTATGCCGCTTAAGGTGTTGAGATCTGATGAACTCTTCGATTCTTGCCTTCAACTCCACGTCCGGTATCAGCATATCAGATGTAAGATGCGAACGGTTGAAGGGGTCCGTCTGCATTTACAACCCAAATACCAAGAACCCCCACAGAAATCAGAGAATGATCAGACTATATTGTTTGAACTTACTTGAGAGGCAAGGAAGTAGAAGAATTACGCTGTCGCTAAGGAGATGTCTTTGGATGACAGGCCTGTCCACGGTAATTCTTGAAGAAGGTAGTATAACTGGGTCTTTCATCAGTGTGTACTGTGAAAGGGATGAAATTTTTCAGGCATAAAATTCCTGCACTAAGCCTTCATACAGATTAACAGATTATGAAACGTTTTAACCTAAAATTACCTGGATGGGGTCAAGGAACTCGTCCGGTACCTCCCCAAGAGCAGCTTCACTATCCATTTCCTCGATGGCAGCAACTTTTGCTTTTGCACCAAGTTCAACAAACTCATGTATGATTCTCCCATCTTCACCAATTCTTCGAAGAACATCAGCAGCAGCACTAAATAACTGCAGCAGTAAATATAACCTAAGATTGTTCCTTCACCCATCAATAGAACAGCATAAAGCAACTCAATTTTGCCATTCCCATTGAAATGGAACTGCATGCATGCCCTATTTTACCTGTTCATTGTATGACCTTCCATCCTTTGAAATGGCAGTTGGGAATATGTTTTCTTTATCACCTCTAGCTAGATGAACGTATATTTGGACAATCTTTCAAACAAGAAAACCACGAATGTAAGGCCATTATCAGATTACAACATATGCAATATTCACAAATTCCATATTTAAGCTAACCTGCTTCAGGAGCTGTTTTGGACGAAATTCATACTTCTCAGGGTCTTTCAGAGTAAGAGATTTCCTCTGTGGACCCACAAGTTGTAATAAGAAGTAATTCAGCATGCTGGCCACTCGTTCCACCTGCAAATAGTGCACGTTAAGAATAAGATCTTATGGGACAAGAAAAAATAATCTCATCCCACTAATTTGAGTTGCTAGGAAACCCTACTGATTTACAAGTTTGCAAAATCCATGGTAACTCACAACTAAGTGACTAACTACTACTATTAAGGATGACAAGGATTTCAAACATGAGAACTTTCAAACATCGACACTCTGGCGTCATGCAAGAGAATCGTGTCATTTTAATAGATAAAAGAAGTCGGAAAGGTCTGTAACTGGATTTTGCAGAATATTAAATCAAGTTCTGAACTACAAGTAACATTCGAGTTACAAGTTGTAAGAGATAATGAAGTTGATCCAAATAGGAACTTACCATCTCAGGGAGTAAGAAAGGTACTGTTATCTGCTCAGATGTGAAGGCCAGCATACTCACATCCTCGTTTGCCAGCTTCATATCAATCCGGATGATCTGCACAAAGATAGAGCTATCCATCTGAGAAAAAACTCTCTCATATATGTGACAATTTTAAGTCAGAAAGACACCGACATTCTCTTGGGAGTGAAATAGCCGGGCTCTTTCCTGCCTCTCCTGAGCTGGTCTCCGTTCCCATTCCACCGTGTTCGACATTTCAGCTTCCAGTTCTTTCAGTTCAAGAATCTTGTTCAGACTTTCATCCAAAAGATATATACTATCGTTGATCAAGAAGTTCAAGAAATTCAAGTAAACTCCCTTTTCCTCTTCCTTTGCTATCTGCAAATGGTGACACAAATTCGAGTTTGACACTTTAAATAATCAAAGGATATCGAAAACTAAATGGTCTATACTCGGTATTCTACCTGTCTCCAGGCGTTACGATGACTAGGGACCTGCCACAGATACTCTAGGAGCTCAGCAATATTATGTCGGATATTGAACTTGTCATAGAACTGCAGAAGCCAAAACACATGAAGAGCCATCATTAACGAGTTACATAGCACATACAAACAAACAGACAAAGAAGCTAAAATACCAACTATAATTTCACACATGCACCCATACACAAAGTACTACCACATCTATTCTAGTTCATGAATGCAGTAAGTGCTTGCTTCCAACAATAAACAAGGACACTGAAAAACAAAGCCATTTAGCACAGACAAAACTAGAAAACTCATGTTTATTATAAAAACAAACAATCATTAACTGCTTAAAACACAAATGAAAATGTTCACATTCAGAAGTGGTTTTCAGACATAACCTGAGTGTGCGAACCAGTGAATTCAATGTCAACATAAAGCTTCAATAGATTCCTCACGAGATACTTGAGAGCTAATTGGTGTCCCTCAAACAGACTAGTTGTAGCAGATGAACCACTGCAGATACAACAGCACAAGTTATTTACTACAATTCACATTTAAGAGGAGAAACCGATATCTAAAACACCAATAATCACCTCCCACGGGGCATCCAGCAGTTCAACACTTCAACCATCTTTGCTCTGAGATATGGGTTCCTAATGTGTGTTGGACTTCCCATAAACATGATTATGAAGTTCATAAAATCATCCTGCCAGCAATCCCAATGAAGGAAAGAGATGAGAGCAGTTACAGATGCAGTATTTTATTCAACAAGGAAAGCAAACATCATAAAAAAGCCTTTGTGAAGTCAACTATACCAGAATGACTCCATCTAAAGCTTTTGGGACTCGAGAAGCAAATATAAGTAACTCCATCGCATCTTCCGCAAAATGCTCAGGCATCGATGAAAATTCCATGGGGCAAGTAGATGAAAGAGGCATTTTAAATCCACCAACCAGGCTGACCAACCAAACCACCATCAATCGGTAGAACGAGAGCCCTTGCTTAATAAGAGTAGGGTCCTTCAAACAATAGCTTAGGCTTAGGAGCGTGAGGATAATAATAAATTCAGCAAAGTTCCAGCTAGAATATGCAATCTACAAGGTGTTACGAAAGAGAAACACTAGCCTGGGACTAGATATGAAAGGAAAGAAGACAGGGAAGAGAATAATGGATAAAAGCAATGAATCTCAAGACAAATGACGAGAACTTTATCTAAATTATTCTAAAGCCCAATGAAAAGATTGAGACTTTAGCTTTACCATTCGGGAATTCATCATGTTCAACAACTGATCAAATGCCCATACATCTAAACAGGCAGTTGGATAGAGAGAGAAAAGAGCAGAAGCAACAGCAGAAAAGACCATGTACCCTCAGTAATTGTGCCTCATAGCAAAGTTTTTCCTGAGAATATAATTCTAATTCCTTCTCGAGGCGAGCAATATCCATTTGCATTTGCGGTGAAGGTGACTGTTCTTGCAATGCTTTTAATGTCGATAGAGTGTCCTCAGATCTTGAAATGTCCTTGAATGGCCAAGAAAAGTGTAATAACCAATCAATAGCTACATTATTTTGAGCAGTCTTGTGGAAATTATTAGGATTATCAAAATAAATGAATGTATTACCTGAACCAAGTGCTTAAAGTCGGAAAATGCTTTTAGCATGCCCAAGTTGAGCACCCTTGCCGTCATAAAGAAGCATTCACTTATAAATGCGTATGAAGCCTTACCACCAGTTGATGCAGGCTTGGAACCAGAACTACTGGCTCCCTGTGATTGGACCACACGGTTTTCTATATCATCAGATCCAGAATTTATATCAGCTTTCCCAGAACTATCATTTTTAATCCACTCAGCAACTTCTTCTGATGATGCATGTAAGGCTGTTAACCCTCTGATTAAGACGGTACCAAACATAAAAAAAAGGAAATTAAAGATATTGACCAAGAGATTCTGCTAACAATAAAGAAGTGCAAAGGATCCAACCTTAAGTCCAATCGGTTACAGTAGAACACATATCCTGGATCAATTTTATCAATCTTTGAGCAATGTGGATCTAAAAAGGGTTCACAGAGTCGAAGCATAACAGCGCTGAGACTGACAAACATGCCCGAGCTTGCACAAGATATGGGATCAACCTGAACAAAACAGATAACATCAAGTATGATGATACAAAAGCCATAGTATGGCAACTTCATGCTGACATATGTCAAAAAAGATGTTAACTTCATCCCTTTCCCAGACAGAAAAAACAACAACGAGAAACCCTCACTTAGTTTATATATGATGTAATGACCAAGAGATTCTTGAATGATCATTTCAGCCCACCGCCTACCTGGATATGTGCTCTGGAGGCATTTCTGTTGATCACCTCTGCGAGATACTGCAAGACATGCTCACGAATGTCGGCATGCTTAAGTAGAGTAAGAAGAACTTCGGAGAGACCCTCATATAAGTTATTCATAACTGTCTTGATAGTAGTAAATGAAGACAATAAGTCAGCAGGCCTACGAGTTGATGCTTCCGAGAAGCAATGCTGTCTGTAGAAAATTTCAGGTGACTTATCAATAAAACCAGACACGGCGAAGCATGTTGAACAAAAGAACCAAATTCCACTAGTTTCTAACTCACCCAACATCAGGCTCGCTCTTGAATATGGTATGATCAGGCAACGCACTGACATGGAAAAAGGGTCCAAGTATACTAGTCATTTCAATCACTCTTCCATTCAAGTAAGCCCCTTTTGGAATCCACCAAGGATGATTCACTAGCGACTTAGCTCCAGCCGGCAACTTAACTAAATACAACAGTGCAGCCAATGGCTGCTGAAAGTTCCCCAAAGCTGATAACTTTATGACATGACCTCTCAAATCCTCATAAAGCCCTTTGAATATAGGGTCCAAGCTATCAAAATCAGCCTCTGAAAACAACTCATCAAGAAACCCAGGAGGCGGTGGCTGACTCCCTCCACCACCGCCAAACCCACTTCTATCAACCGCTCCAAAAATCAAAGGCGTGAGGCTGCAAATAGTGGATTTACCAGCGAGAGATGGTGAACTCGAAGGAAACAACTCCGGATTTCCCAAATGAATTCTAACATAATTAACAAAGAGCTTCTTAGCCTGCTTGATAGAAGCCTCCACCAGAGATTTGACGGTTTTATCCTTCATATTGGCGACCTTCTTCAGTTCATCAACAGCCCGGCGATAACATCCGAGTAGGTAAGCAAACGGAGCTTCGGCGTCAGGGAACTCGCCGGACAAGCGATCAATTAGTACCCTTTCTACGACATCGCGATTAAGCCTCAAGTCTTTACCTTCGCTGAGGATCTCGGCAGCGGTCATCTCCAAGTAATTGATTCTTGGATCGGCGCCATGGGCAGGAGGAGCGAGCGTGACTAGAAGGATTTTGCGGAGGATTATGTCCTCAATTTCTTCGGGGGACCTCTGGGGTTTCGGCGTCGCCATTACTGATGGGAGTAAACAGCACGAAAGAGAAAGACTGTTCGAACAAGGGATGGATGGAGAGAGAAATGGGTAGAAGAAATGGAAGCCGGCGAAGGAAGGGAAGGGGGATTCTTCTATTCCATTACCATTTGTCAAACGGATCGCTAGACTGAGCTTTATCTGTTAAATTTTAGGAGACTCCTACGATACGAGGAGAAGTGGGAATGCGTTTGATTTCTTAATTTGTTAAATTTTTTGCCACTCCAAAATGAAAGATAGAATCTTCTGATCTTATAAAAAGATTTGGTATGCGTTTTCTTTACATGATAAACATGGTAAAAAAAAACAAAGATGATCTTATAAAGTTAATGGAAAATGAATTATTTGTTACTATCAAAAATATAATTAATGAGATGGTGAATAGTGAGTTTAATAGTAAATTGTGAATGAAATGTGCGAAATAATTATCAAGAATGCAACTTCAAGAATATATTTTTTTCTTAAAGGACAAAGTTGGCTAGTGAAATTTTTTTGCGAGATAAAATTTTAGATATAATTAATTTGTAAGTTTTAGAGTGATTAATGATATGTAATGAAAGTTGAGAATAATGTGTAAATGTATGCTTGTTTTTACTAAAACTTACATTTGATGAAATTATTTAGAAAGTGAATATGAAAAGAAAAACACTTGGTTGGTGAATCTAGTCTTACTGTTTTAGTCATCTAGTCAGTCTCTCTAGTACAAGAACTTCTAGAACATTTTTTATTTCATCTCTGTCGTCACTCCCCTCATCATGAAAAGACTAGATTGACCCTTTCATTTGATCTGACTTTTTTTCATCTTTTTAAGAAAACAATGAATCATTGAATTCATATTTATATGTCATTTGATATTTTGATGTCCATTTCATTTTTCATACAACCAAAGACTGCAATTGAAATTCACCCATACAACCAAAGATTAATGTGTAAAGGAGGATAAATGTGTTTCCGAGTACAAAGCAATTACTTTATATAGGCATAAGATATGACATCTCATATAGATGAAAAATGCCCGATCAAATACCCAAGAAATGAATTTCTGCAAACATTAATCTTTTTCTTCTATATCTTCTGAAGTAAAGATAAATGATTTTCCTCATATCTCAATGCTCATTGCAGTTTTGAGTATGGATATAGAAACTATGGCTATGCAACAACAAGAAGTTGTGATACATATTAATGTTCTTTTACAAGGGCGAAAACCACATTACAAGGAGGATCACATTGCTCTTCTCATTTCTTGATCACATTTCTTATAGTCCATCACTAAAATCAACATTGCTAACAAAGGGCAACTCTGAACACTTTGAGTTTGCAGGGCCAAACGTAAGCTCCAAGCAAAATGAAGGGCCACACATTGACCTTCCTCTCTTCCCAAGTTTATCAAGATCTCCAGGTGTAAACTACAACAACATCACAAGACAAAAAATGACTATTGTATTTCACAGAATCTTGAATTTTTTATATAACAGAAGAGGGAAATAGGATTCTCTATCAGCAGTACTTGTAACAAGCTGTTCTTTATGAAAGCTGTGTTGAAGCAGACGTAGAAGAGCCTTCCTCCTATCATCTTCTTGTAGAATATAATTCGTACATCTCCACTTAACTGTGTAGTTGGGCATGATTTCATATACAATAAAGAAAAACTCTCTGGTTTGTCTTTGATCATTAATACTTTGGTTCAAGAAATGTTCGCAACTTACCTCTACTGGCTTCTCAAAGTAATGATCAAGACATGTCTTTTGGTAGATGATGGAACTCTCAGTATCCATCTGGACAACAACATGAGGTTCCTGATGTTCTGAATCTGATGTCTTCCCATCTTCATCATCTTCCACAAAAGAAATGTAATACCTCGGACTATAAGTCCTATGATATCCTTGTCTAACTTGCCTACAACTACCTTTGGCAACCTCTACCGATGGACGATACAATTGACCAGGAATCTGTGGATATATCTAAATGGGATCAACACAACTACTCTCGAGATTCAGCCTGCGAGAAACAAGCTTCAGAACTGGGAATTACTTACCTCCTGCAACTCTGAGACCACAAAGAAGACAGAGTATGTGTTAACAATGTCGTAGAGCCGGATTCGTCGCAGTTCTCTGCTACATGGTGGAGGCAAATTCACGTCCGGAGGGCCATTGTTGATTCCCCTAGGAAAAGTAAGTGCACTAGCCCAGTACTGAACATAACGTCGTTGACTTGGTATAGACACCTGCAACAATTGGAAACACAGAAAAACTTTGGTAACCCTGCTAATTCTGGGTTTTGACTCGATAAAAAATTTATGTATCGAATTCGTCACATAAAGAAAGTTCAATGGTCGAATTAATCTTCTCTGTTCTTAAAACTTACACCTTGATTGTTGGTAGTCCTTTTACTCGCATACAACTGGAGAGCATCTTCTGCTGTCATGCCGCAATAGACTAGGTAAACACAGACCATTAATCCAGTTCGACCTTTGCCAGCCTATAAAAACGAGTGATCAAGACAATTGAATCCACGCTTTATTCACAGTCTTCAGAAAACAGAATACGAAAGGGAAAATCGTTCTAGCAACCAAAATTTACCATGCAATGTATAACAGCAAGGTTCTTAGGATCTTGAGATAACCAGGAATCAACGTTTTCACAGAACAGCTTGATCATGGGCAGAGCTGGGACGTGATTATCGTCGATAGGAAACGTCTCGACCCGAGAGTGAAAGTGTGATGGATCATACGATTGCTCAATGCATAAATTATACACCTGCAATGTACAAAGTACGGATAACAGAGTTATCAAAGGCCAACATAACTCCAATAATTCGGCTATGGTGTTGATAGGATTGGATAGATGCGCGACTCAATACCGATCGATCGCTCACCTAAGTGTGCTTTTATCTAGAAAAAATTTTATAGGTGTGTTTACAAAAATGTCATTATGGATAGACAATGAGATCAGACAAAATCAACGTGTGCATCCGTTGAATATGTCAAAATTTCTACCCAAAGGTAAGATGATGTTGGGAATCAAAGTACCTTGTAGTGCCCACCATGCCGCATATCCAACACCGATTTGACTTGCCAAAGTGGGTTACGATACATGGCCCTCATACGTTCGGCTGGAAACGACATCGCGAGTACACGATCCGTGATATACGACATATCGAGATCGTAACCAGCGATGAGCATTCGGCGCCGATGCTTGGACACCAAGTTACGTAAAATGTTACTTGTGGTGAGATAGCTAATCAATGAATCATGAGTGCTACTTTGCAAGGTTGCATTTGCAACTCTCAATGACCCTTGCTTTGATATCTTCGAACCCATTTGGCTAACGCAGTGATCAGCTCCTTGCCAAATGGTGACAGGCTTATCCTAACGAAAGAGAACAAAAAGAAAACACATTTGTAAGTCAAAGCTAATTGTGAATTACTGATTTTCATTTAAAATAAATTTTTTTCTCCCTTTTATCGATAACTCGTTTTGAGATTATCAATAAGCTCATGATATCATAAGTATTCGACAAATTCATAGAAGTGGCGGGCGATTTAGCCGCTGGAAGGAGAACTCCCATAAAATCCAAAAACCATTATGAACAGGAAAACCAAAGGTATGATCCTAAATTACAATTACCCAATACAATAATTTTGAACCAAATTATTATCATGAACAAACCCAAACAAGAGCATTGCAAGCATGTATGTGTACGTACCTGGATTGACCATTAATCTATAGTAGACTAAGTTATGTTAATCAATAACCAAAGCAATTTCTAGGGCAAACTCAGAGAAAAAATCCCAAGATCTTTAATCTGGGAAAACCCTAGAAAAGGCTTTTCCCTTCAAAGGAGGGAAAACTGAAAAGAGATTAAAAAAAAAAGTTGTAAGAGGATAGGAGAAAGATGATCTGATTTTGATTTTTATGTTGATTTCTATTGAAATTTTCTCTGTGAAAATGGATGCTAAATTTGGAGATATCAAATTTGGGGTAACCTCTTTTGAGCCCTTGATTTTGAGGTCATTGGCAGCTCTCTAAAGAAACCGGATCAAAAATCAAACCAAATGCAGATCAAGCAATTGATTTGTGGTGGTTAGTTTAAAATGAGTTTTACGAACGATTGCAGACTCTGGTCAAGCAAAGTTTAATAGTTTATGCATCTGGTTATCTACAAAATTCTGTTCAATGGGATATATATACTAGGAGATTCTAAAGAGAAACGGATTTTCCACTATCAAAATGATGCGGCATGTAACAATAGAACATTCATGGGTCACAAGAATTCTAACTTCTAAGATATCACTTATCATTATGTATAACTAGATTCAATTTTCTCCAATATCTCAAACTAATAACACTCATTGATGACCATATATTTTATGTGTTCAATTCATGCAAATGGTAACAGAAATTGATCATGACCATACAAAGTTTTTTTTTTTGTCACGTCAAACATGCATGCCATATGTCATGGTGTGAATTATCATTGCACTAACATGAAATATGCATATACCATCGGTCATGGTGTGAATTATGAATTACATATAACATAAATTGAACATGAAATATGCATGCAGTTCGTCATGGTGTGAATGATCAACAAGTTAACATAATGTTAGGAATGAACGACAATGATTGTTCCCAAACATTTACTCATCCAATTCCATCACTTTCACTCCATTGATTCTCAACCCTGTAAGCATGTCGAGCATACATACAAACGGCAAGCCGTCACCAGAGTACTTCATCGGAGTCAAATCGATCAAGATCAATGGCAAAGCAATTCTATCGAATAAAAGCTATGTTATCCATAAACAAAAATGGTCATGGACGAACTAAAATTAACACAAGTTATTACCCATACACAGCTCTGCACACTTCAATATACAATTCCTTGGTCAAGGAGTTCACGAAATGGATATGATCACAGGGCACGAAAAGGGTCGGAGTCGTGGTACCGTTTGAGCCTTGAGGCATGATTTAACTCCACGGGCATTTTCAGCACCCGGGTCGGGGCAAGTGTCCCTGTGATCACCCTTGCGTTGAAGGACAGTAAGCTTTTTGGAGCATGTTTGGATCGAACTCGACGGTTGAAGTGAAGAAGAGTGTACCAGTTGGAGAATGTCCTGTTGCAGTTTAATGTTGCTGGGAAAAGGTTAGGGTCCGGTCCTACACTTTTGGGTGATCGCACTAGTTGTGCCCACTTCTTCAACTTTACCTCCAAAGCGTAGTGACTAAAGGGTACTATATGTTATCCCCGCGCCATGGCTTGATAGACATCCACCGCATCTCCAGTTAAAGGGATAAATAAGAATCAAATAAAAGATATGCGTAGCTTGATGAGCATGGTCAATCTTTTCTATAAATTTAGAGGATTGTATTATGTTTTGCTGTATTTGTACAGGCAGAGCCACGGGTTGGGAGCAGGGGATGCCATTCTCGGAAATCCCCTGTTTTTTAGTCTTATTAGTTACGGACAGATTCTTAACTCTATAGACACAGCCAGCCAGCCAAAATGGTGTCGTGTGGCCTATCAGGCTGCCATTGCCATACCTCAACTTGCAAACTGATCCAGCAACCCTATGCAGGAATGATTTGATTCTCTCTGACCCTTCCGCATTGAACATGATTCCCAATGTTTCCAGCTGTTGACCACATGATCCCAAGTCTCAATAACCCAAAGTGGTTGTTAACGGGAATAAAACATGTGGAAAAAGTAGTAATGCATATTGTTTAGTATCAACTTGGTATATCTTAATGGTTGAGATGTGTGCCTACAAGCTGGCATCTCCATGGAAACCCCAATATAAATACACACTAGTTCGGAAAGCCCGTGCTGCGCGGCGGGTTGCAAAATGAACATCTTGCGATCTGAATAAATAACCAATAACAATTTGGAGAGAATTCAGTATAGCATCTGACTGTGGAAGGGCAAAATGCACTAATAAATGGAACAGAAGGGTTGTTTTTAACCTGCTAATAAAGTAATAACTAAAATACTCATATCTTATACATACAGGAAGCATCCACTCGTAGCAAGACCCAACTAAATTCACAACCCGAGAAAATTATCCCAAGAACTGAAAAAATAAAAAGATTTACATCAGTATTTAACACATACCCAAAATGTACAATTATCATGTGAAGGAAATTTTATCAGTAAGGAATTGAAAGAAGAGCATATAGATAGCCTGCACTGAAGAACATTTGAAAGAACTTTAGTAGATAGCGACAGAGCAAACAACTGCTGAATTTTTTTATAGCTCTAATAGGAAGTAGAGAAGGGGGAGAGATCTCAATGAATCTGCCTTTGATATGCACCTTCAAATCCCTCAATATAACCCGTTTACTCAATAGGCTCATATCTATAAAAAATCTGGAGGGCGACAAAACCTGAACCGCGATATCAATGAAGGAATCATCTAATTCAATGAATAAGGAAAACAAAGTCAATGAAAAATGGTTAGGCCATTCATCTTATGAACCCAGAAACACATGATTTCTGGGCTGTGAAGTGCGAACAACTACAGTCAGAAAAACTTGATAGAATTTTTAAAAAGATAGTAAAACAAAATAAAACACCCAAAAGCATTAAAAGGAGTACAAATACTTGTATTTTCTCTTTCTCACAACCAAAGAACATAATGAAACTCAAAATTAGAGGCAACTAAACAGAAAGTAAACAAATAGATGAAACCAAGAGATTGATAGTGTCCCAATGATTGTGTTACACAATAGTTTGAGAAATAAGATCTCAAAAGGGATGGAAATTAAGAGAGATTGGAGTGACTCTTAACCTGATACCAAACACTGAATTAATTAACTGGGAGGAAGGTAGGATTAGATGTTGAGCTAAGCGACTCAGTTCATTACCAAGAAAATGAATTGGGTTGTAATTCATGACACAAGTTAACTCAATTTCAAAACAGAACATGAGATTAGTATTGAGTTGTAGAAAACCTTAGTGTTCCTTCTTATTTCATACCTAGCAATGGTCGAGGGTGAATCTGGGAGATACATCCTTCCACAAGCTACTGAAATATCACAGAAGAAAGGGATAGCAGTAAAGAAAAAGGAAAGCAAATCAAATAACTTATGTTTGTAAGAGTATCACACCAATTACATATAAAGTTACTCAGTTTCACTATGATAGGTTACAGTCAAGGTCTCAGACACCATGGTGTGGAAGTGTTCTTCCCTAAAATCATGAAAAAGCGTAGATTTCAGCTATGAGCATTGAATCCTCTACCCTTCAATAAAAAATCAAACCATACATTGTTCATAAGGCATGAAAGGACTTTGAAAGTGTAGCTTTTACAGGAACAACGGTAAGAATATTCTAAAGAACTCTGTAATCAAATCCTCTGTGACATTTCCAGACTTCTTGCGAAGAAGACTTCATCTATGAGCATGGAAAAGAACATAATTGAATCCAAACATTTAAAATAAGAACACCGCAATGAGAACACAAAACTATAAGTCTGATTTGCATACCGAACATAAAGATTTGTTCTTGATGATACATCAATGATCCTTGTTTTGGAGAAGAGAACCCGAGAGCAAAAAAAAAAGGTAGAAAGGACGTGCAGATTCAGCAGCGAACACATACATTAAGAATGACGGTAATGGGTCGCCAACAACATCAGTAAGTTTCCAAAATGGCTATATTCATCCATTCAATAACAGTTTGTAGGCTATCAAATTCAATCAATTAATAGGATTACTTTTCTGTTTGTTTACATGCAGATAAAATGGGGTGGATGACTTCTACTCAACACAGTAAAAGCAAAGAAGGCTATTTGGAAAGTAGGGGCACCCTTTGTTCTAAAAAAGGATACAAAACCACCATTGAAGCTTCAGAAAAAGTGAACAAACCATTTTGAGGAAGGAAGGAAGAGAAAGAACTTAGCTACTGAAAATACGAAAGTAAACTAAACGGGAAGAGATAACAATAACCTCGATCGAAAATGCAGTTTGGTGGGTCTGCTTGTTCTCATTACTCACTCTAAACTCTGAAATATAGAAAACAACTTAACTCGCCGATGTGGAACTCGTGGACCTGGGTCCTCTCAGAATCCTCTATGTTAGGTTGCAGCACCCGACACCTGTTCGCTTGGAGCTCCTCTTACCTCCTAAACCAAGATTGAAGAAACCAACACAGACAGGAGTTAGAGGGAAAAGCCAAATGAATTGAGTGAAATGAAAAAACAATGGAGACCATATACTTCAGTTCCACGGCTCACATCTATTACCCAAGATGGCTATGGGTGTGCTTAGTAGAAAGAGGCAGCATGAATATAAACTTTACTACTCTAACAACTTTGTAAACCGAAGCAAGATTAAATGGACTGGAAATCAACCAGAAGGTCATTGCAGTAAAGTGTAGAAATGGTTTTGACAGATTATGACAATGATGTAGACCAATTCAGTTTCCCGTATCCAACCAAATCAATCAAAAAAATCACAGACCGAGACACAATTCCAACATGATCTTTGATAGGCATGTAAATCCAAGCAAGGAGACATAAATGATCTATAAAATAGTAATGAATCACCAAAGATGCAATTCACTAAGAGATTGACATCAAAACGAATCTACCTATATTGCTTCAATGTGATCCTCACTTTCACTCTAGCCCAAGTAATGAATTGCCTCATCACCAGATTCCTGAAACGCAAAGAAATAGAGGTCCTTAACCTTATCCTCTGTCTCGACAACCATTCCACAAGGCACATCAATCTAAGTATCCATCACAAAGTTAAGGGCTTTATCAACTTCAGAATAACAAAGAAAGACAAAATAGAAGACCCATCTTTATTGAAGGTTGAAGAAAGCAGAGGAATATCGGCAAGGAAAAACTCCTCATTATCAACCTGAATGACATCCCCAACTTTGAGATGGTTACATCTAGTTCCTGTGAATGTAAGACTCTGACCAAACTCCTTCACCTTCTTGTTGTTAGCTTCTATACCTGAAACCAATTAGAATTTCAGACCATCAATGGCTCGTTGCATGGTTTATGCTTAAGAGCTCAAACACAGGACATACAAAACCCATAACATACATCCATGAAAAATACAAAACCCATAGGTGCAATCTGAGGTTTGGAGCTTCTGAATGGTCAAAGAGATTACATCGACAAACCTATATCTACAATGAGGAGTTTGATAAAAGAAGCTGGCCAGCGCACAATGAATTGGAAAAACAAGCATCCATCTCTAAAACTGCATCCCTTCTACAATCTTCTCCAGTGTGTAATCTAAAATCATAAAAGGTGAGTAGAAGATAAACCCTGAAGCAGTTATTATATCTTTACTGCAAAATAGATGGAGGAGAGAGCTGGAACACAACTTACAGCAACAGTTTCTATAGGCGAAGGTAGTTTCGGTCATTCAACAAAAGCAAGTACTATAGGAACAAAGAAAGAAACGAAAATTAGAATTGTGGCCAACCATATATGATAACAACCACTATTTGGGCAACATACCGGCTGGGGAGCTAACTGAGGGTTGTTTTTTTGTTGCATTCCTGCAAGGCTTCCCATCGAACTCAGAATCCTAACCTGGAACTAACAAATACAGATCCAATTATAAGGGATGAACAATTGATTCACCATTGTAATCATCATAAGCTAGATAAGATAAATTATATAAACTCTGAAAACAAAGAATGAAAATCAAGAAGAGATCAGAAACCGCCTTTAGACCCATACCTGTTCGAGATTCTCAGAAAGGGAAAAAATCTTCTTGTTCCATCGCCTACTGTTCAAGCACCACTTCCGCCATTGCCGGCACCTACAAAAGACGATTCCAATCATAATCAACAAAAACCCAGGAATATCCCCGCCACCCACGGCCGCCGAAGACCACACACAGATCCAATTATAAGGGATGAACAATTGATTCACCATTGTAATCATCATAAGCTAGATAGGATAAATTATATAAACTCTGAAAACGAAGAATGAAAATCAAGAAGAGATCAGAAACCGCCTTTAGACCCATACCTGTTCGAGATTCTCAGAAAAGGAAAAAAATCTTCTTGTTCCGTCACCTAGTGTTCAAGCACCACTTCTGCCGTTGCCAGCACCTACAAAAGACGATTCCAATCATAACCAACAAAAACCCAGGAATATCCCCACCACCCACGGCCGCCAAAGACCACACCCTGGTTCCTCTACTCACTCTTCTTCTTCTTCCTCCTCCTGCTTCGTCCTATTCCAATGAAGAAAATGGAGAGATTGAGATGGAGTGGTGGATGGGTGGGTACAGTAAAGAGATGAATATGAGTGAATGGGAGCAAAAGTAGGAGAGAGAAGCAGAAAAAAGTTCCATTTAGGTCATCAAAATTTTGTGATGTCACCAACAAGTCACCCTTTGGATGGGACACTAAGAAACAGTAAACTTTTGACATGTCTTATGATAGATAGAACTTGCTTCCGTTCTCTCTTTACTTCGTCAAGAAGAACCAAACAAAGAGTTAGAGAGGCTGCACTAGCTAAGCACATCACCTCCAGTTGTTCCCAAGCAAACGCCAACTGACCGGTGATTTTTCCTTTGCCTCCGATGCATCGAAGCAGAGCAAATTGCTCATTGCAGATGTTTTTCTCCAATTCTTCTCTGTTTACATCGGGAGGGGGATTTGCAGACTGCACAGACATTTGGTAGTGGAAGCTTTTTCTGATACATCTCCATCACAGCTTTGGCACAGGCGTGGAAGCCTTACTCCTCTTTGCATATTCATGTGCGATGCTTATCGCACTCTTGCTATGACGCAGTGAGAACTCAGCCAGCAGTATCTTGCTTTCTTCTGCTGTTAAATCCCCATGCCGCCCCTGCATTTTACAAATTATCAGGGGTTTATCGTAACCCCTTCCACCAATATTGATTGTCATAAACTACCAGCCATAAGAAAAAGGTACCAGACGGGAAGTTCTGTCACAAACAGCATGGTGCATGAGAATGCCAGCAGCAACTGATACATTGAAAGAGTCGACCATGCCATTCATTGGAATACTGCAATGCAGATCTGAAAGTCCGAGGGCCTCATCACTTATCCCCCTGCAAACACTAGCCTCTGTCAGCAATTAGTTCTACAATAACAAAAGACAGTGATAACTAATATCTAGATGTTTGTGGGGATATCAAATATAGGTGGTGCTATTGGAAGGTAAGCCTCCTAGTGAGAAGTCATAATCTCATCTTAGTTCTAAAACACCTTCTCAACATCAGAAGCATTAACCGGGGCTCTCATCACACAAGACTATCTTTGGCAGTTCCAACCTTTTCTCCACATCCAAAGGGAATAATTAAAATCAAAACTTGTGATTAGAAATGGCAATGCTTGAGAGACACTTACCTATGTTCGTTGCCAACAACAATTGCAGTAGGGCAAGACCAATCCATGTCATAAATCGATACCTGTCATAGCACAGGAATCCCAACAACAGTTCAAATCTGTTCTTGAAAATTGCATAATGTGATTCATAAATATAATAACTCAAGTGTTAGGCATTCGCATAATCATTCGCAAAAAAGAACAGTAACCCAAAATGCAGAGGTAACGATTCATTACCGCATCTGTTCCAACATGTGTTGTAGCAATTCGATAACTACGAGACTTGAGAACTTGGAAGCACTCTACAGTAGAGTCCCACAATTCAATGTCCAACCATTTCTCAGCTCCCATGCTAACATGGCGGTTATCTCTATACCTGCAAAGTAGGCGGAGGTGGTGAAATAGTTCTGTCAATTCACTATTCCATACCTCATTCCAGCCCTCCAAACAAGAGATTCTACAAAGAAAACTAGAACGCGTAATTTAACACAGCCAAAGATTCACATGTACTTCAGATGAAGAAAAAAGAAACGATTTTTAATCCGGTTCACCTCAACCCACGAAGCACCTTTTCGAGCTATCCGGGTTGATGACATGAACAGACTGAAACCCAAGCGCATCAGCAGAACGAAACGTAGCAGAAACGTTCCCGAAATCGTTCAATCCTTCGACCACCAGACAAACCGAGTAACTCCGGTTCTTCACGGCGGTCCTGAACCTCTCTTTCCTCTCTTCCATCATATACGGCGCCATTGCTTCCAACACTTGGCCGCTACTCAAGCTCGCGCCATTCCCACATTTGAACGCATCCAAGTAAGGGAACCATCGCTTCTCATAGTCGCCCTGCTGCCGCCTCTCCATCTTCATCAGCCTGGAAATGTCGTCCGGGTTGGTGAGCAAGTGCTCCACGGTGTCCCTCTTCGGGTCGTCTTGGGGTTCATCTTCGGCCGATTCCGAAGAGATTGCTACTCCTAGTGCTGCCGAAGAAGTGGAATTAGAAGGGGTAGAGTGGATATGGAAGGTGTGGGGAAGTTTGGCTCTGGGAGTCGAGGAATTGAAGGAGAAGCCAGGGAGAGCGCGGGGGAGGAAAGGGAAGACATGGCTGGAATTGGAGAGGTAGTAGGGTTTCGAGTTGTGGAGGGAAGGGAGGGAACTCTGGATTAGGGTTTTGCAGCAACCCCTCATGCTTGGAGCTTTTCTGGTTTCGATTGTCTTTCTACGGAGAGTGGCTTTGAAACCGAATCAGGCTACGGAAGAATCTATATTTACCGTAAACACCATAGCCTAATTTATTTCACATTAGTTAGACCACATATGACTTGGTTAATCAAAAATCACATTTCGATGTCAAAAAAAAAAATCACATTTCGAGTGTTGTGATTAGATGACAAATGACAATTGATCAAATGGGTAATTTTGCCCAAATAAGTAAAGCCAGTTGAAAAGGATAGCGCGTGAAATGTATATGAGTTCGTGTAGGGTATGTATTCGTATTCTAATTGGGCATAAGTTGAGTATAGTTTTGTCCATTTTCTTTCCATAGTCCACATACAATTGGATTTATTTGTAAACTTTAAGTATATGTGGTAAATTGTACAGCAAAAAAATTAGATAGTATAAAGTAATTTTCATTTTTCGGAAGTTATTTTCAACTCCTCCCCTGAACATCTTCTACACTATTCATCGAGAGGGTTTGTCCACCAGGATTTTCCAATTCCAAAGTATGTAAGAAAATGGTCTTGAATTGTGAGAGTTTACATGTAACCTGATAGTTATGTATAAATAAGGTATGTGTGCAATATTATTAGTTTATTACAATCATAATGGAGGAGCAAAATTTGGATGTTTTTTTCTTCTTCGTTTCATTATAAAATAATTCAATTTAATCTTTTAATATTCATATTTTTTTCTAAATCCTTTATCTTCGAACTATCAATTAAGTTATTAAATATATTTATACATTCACAATTTTTAGAATATATTTTTTACATACTTGATTACTTTACCTTTTGTCAGACACTACAAATGATGGACATTCATTTTTCAGTTATCAAAATATAAAAAAAAAACATGCTACCTTTTGAAATGCATTAATATTCTATTACCCAATAACCTTAGTAGAACCTTTAATTCATATTCTAATTTTATTGATTTTATTTATCATTTTTTTGTGATTTTAATTATTTCAACCAACCACAACAAAAAAAAAATGATTGAGGACAACAAAATTCGTTCCCAAAAATAGACAAAATCGTCTCTCCGAAAATTTGGCCTTCTTACAAAAAATATGTAAGAAGTTCTTACTTCGATTGTAGGTCTCTTTTTTTTTTTGTTGACAATGAAACATCTTCTATTATACCAAACCAGACCAGCAGAAACAAACGTTTACAACAGGGGCGAAATCAAATTTGCAATGACAATCCAATCCTGTGGTAAGTGATCAAGTCGCGCATTCCTAGCGACCCAACCGCAAGAGAATTAAATCGCCGAGGAACGAAGGATAACTTGATCCAAGGAGCCCCCTGAAGAAGAGACACAATCCGGACCAAGGTCACACGACATTGCCAAGGCCAATCGCAGGGGTCTTGATTAAGAGCCACAATCAAACGTTGGCAGTCGCTTTTGATACATGTCGGACAGGACTCTTGGGCCGCCAACACCACAGCACCCAGAATAGCAAATGCTTCTGCCTGAATCGGGTAGGAAAATAGAATCTCTCAGCCTTGCCGTCAATCACCTGATCGTGGGCATCAGCAATGGTAATCCCTAGGGATGGCAACTTTGCCCATACCCATGGGTTTCTTACTATCCAACCCAATTGGGTTGGGTATGAAATCCAAATAGATGGATATGGGTAGAGTTTGCTGGGTTTGTACCCATACCCATTTACTTTGGGTTGAGTTGGGTATCAAATGGATTTGGGTTTGTACCCATGCCCAAATACAAATTACAGTTTGGTACCCAAACTTAAAAGACAAGCATATTTAGTACCTAAATTTAATTTTTTTTTGCATATAAGTCCTCAAAATATCGATGGAAAATTACGTTTTGGTACCTAAATTTTTTTGGTCTTACATTTTGGTACCTAACTTTTCAAGTTTTGCAAATAGGTCCAATTTTGCATGTGTAGTTAAAACACCCTCAAGTAAATGGATATCCATATCCAACCCATACCCATTTAGATTATGGAAGCCCCAAACCCAAACCCATCTATAAACCCCCAAATCCATATGCACTTCACCCATACCCAACCCATTATCAATGGGTCTACTTGGGTTTGGGTATAATTACCCATGGGTGGGTAATTTGCCATCCCTAGTAATCCCACAAGCCGCCAACTGAGACAAAGGAGCCGTCACAGTGCACAATTCGATCGAAAGGGCCAAGCGGTGGTGAGGGGTTTCGACGGGATCCCCTAGGCTGAGAAGGACAACTAGCTTATCTCAGGATTGAGGACTGTGAGGTTGTGTCTCGAGCTTCGTTGATGTTCATGAATTCACGATTAGCTAAAGTCGCTGAGTTGGGGTGGGGAAATAGCACTGCTCTCAAAGATTGTAGGTCTCCTATGTGGGAACCAGAAATTAAAAACGAGATGGAAAGAGGTTGTCAAATACTCCAACCAACAAATAATTACCTAGCCAGGGAATAATTATCATTTGCCGGCAGTAGGAGTTCTTAGTTGGGTCTGTGTGGGAAGTAGGGGTTAAAAATGAGAAGGCGGACGAGATTGTCAACTACTTGAACCAATTATATATATAATAATAATATTGAGGGGGATCATTATCATTTATCATATGCCTGAATGAAGAAGGAAGAGGTATCGTCGATCGGAAGGATAATGCCGGCCGACCTAAACAGACATCTACCAAGAGCACATAAGATAGAATTGAGAGAATATGGCTAACAAAACTGCCTTCTTCATTTTATTATTGAAATTTTCCTATGCTCAAATTTCTAGGCTCATGCCTCTCTGCCCGATCGGGGACTATAAATAAGTCCGCCTGGATTGAATCATTAATCAAACAGAGAAAAAAAAAAGACATAATTTATTAAGCAAATCCGACCAACATATATTTATATATATATAGAATGATGATGATGATGATGAAGTCTGGAAGCATGTTGGGAAGAAGAATCTCCCCATTTCTTCTTCTTCTTCTGGTGATGGTTGTCGCAGTAGTCTTTCTCCATGGCCGATCTCCAATCTTTGCAGGTGATCATATATATACATGTCTAATTAATGAACTTTCATTCATCTTCCTCCATGCAATATGCACGAATATCCCAGCTCTATCTACTGTTATTTGTTAATTAGCACGTTACTGATGTTGAATTGAACTTGGGTTTTCGGCCGATGTTACGTACGTAGCTGCGCATGTGGAGGATTGTACCGGCTTGACAGTGGTGGCTTCAACAGACACGTGCTGCGATGTGGTGAGAAAATCCAGCATCACAATGAAGAAGCTCTTCTCTTTAAACCCGAATCTGGATTGCGATAATCTCCCAATAACACTCTGCACCAGGGATTAATTAATATATATTAACCATGATATATACTTAATTACAAGCGCGCAGCTTCACAGATGGCATGCATGCTCTACATATATAGATCCATCGATGTGCTTGTAATTAATGTAAACTGAATACCGTTTGCTAGTTACTGCATGCATTGCTTACCTACCTTCCTATGTAACCATTCCTCCTGCTGGTTTAACGACATCGTATAGTTGGAGCAAATAAACAACAACACAGCCACGGAGATCGATCTGAATAAATAAAATTTATATTTTATATGAGTACTTGTGTTTCCATCGAAATCTTATGAATGAGTTCCATGGAAATGAAATCTGGTTTAATTAATTAATTACAAAAGGATATAATATGTACAGTGGCGGACCCAGAAATTTTTCATAGGGGTGTCCTCTTTTAAAAATAAATTAAATAAAAATAATTAATAAAAATAAAATCGTAAATTTGAAAATACTTTACTTGTACAGGTTAAAAAAGTTTCATATTCGAAAATAATTGTAGAATACACTTGGTGTCTATAGTGTTAAAATTTTTTGTCTCTATATACCCTACTAGACAATCATTCACGAACTTATCGCATATTCGATTTGTAAACTTGTTCTCACCCAAAGCTGAAAGACTCTTTCAACACTTGTCGTATTAAGACTAGCTTGAAATTGGTTTAATTGTTAGGTTTTTAAAATAATTAGAGATAGGAAATGACATTTTACTATTACATTTTTCAAAATCGAACAACAAATGAGTTGTAGGTCAACGAAAATTAAGTTTATTAATAAGAATAGTATTCTAGATTTGAATTACCCAATCTACCACTTATATTCCTATACACAAATGACAGTAGGATAATCATGTTTTCAAATTTCAGCGGTGTCCCTCACTATCAATTTTTTTTTTTTGTTCATATGTAAACTACCACCGGGGGTTGGATAATCGTATTCCCAAAACCCCCTGGGTTCGCCCCTGAATATGTAAAAGGGCTAGAGCGGTTAAGAAAGTGTCATTTGTGTTTCGAACTATTCAATATTCTATTTATGTCCCAATTTATGATAGTTGTGTGTCATCTATGTTTTGACGATTTTGTTGACTGTAATAGGTAATGGTTACCAGACGGAAGTCAACTTTAGCATTGACTTTTGTTGACATGGCAGCCACGCAGATGCAACATCATTGACCCCTCATATTTTTTTTTAAATTTAAAATTTTAATTTAAATATTTTTTAAGTTGGATCATATTGAAAGGTTAGTTGGATCATCCCAACTTCTTGATCACTTGGGTAAAAATGATGCATTGGTAGACGCCACTTATTGTTTATGATTGTAAATGTTAATGTCATTGCCAATGTGACAAGAACCATAAGGTCGCACACAAATATTTTTGTTCGGATCAATTAAAGAGTCAAAGCTTGTTGGCTAGGGACTGACGTGTATAGTCTAATGCTTTGAGCATTAAACTAAAGAGCTAGAATTGTATTGGTGGTTAATTAAAATAAATTGGCATTTCAATCACGAGGTGTTAATTAGCACGAGGTGGCCATTAGCACGAGGTGTTAACAAACACGAAGTGTAAACAAGCACGAGATGATAATAAGAATGACGTGGATTATAATTATCATTATCTTCCACATTATTACGTAGATTCATTTGAGAATGAGTCATCACCACATTAAATGAGTCATTTTGATGACTCGTATATTTAACCATGAGGTGCAGACTTTTGGTTCATTTGAGAATGAATCATCATCACATTAGATGAGTCATTTTGATTACTAATATGATTAACCATGAGGTGCTGAATTTAGGTGCATTCGGAGACGATTCATCTCCATATTTGACGAGTCATTTGATGACTCAATTGTGAAAGGATGAGTTGCAGATTTTTGGGTTCACATAAGATGAATCATCACCATTTCATGAGCCTAGAAATGGGGGCTGAAATGAGTGACGAAAATAAGTACTTCACTTGCCATCTCTAGCTTTCTTAGTCATCTTGAAAAGTTCATAAACACTAAAATTCTTTAATCCTCCAAATTTCATGGCTAGCATCATTCCATGGAGGCCGTTGGTGGTAGCTAAGGCTCCTATATGGGAACTAGCTAGGAGTTAAAAATGAGGTTGACGAATAATGTATAATTAGCTAGGGAATAATTATCATATGCCGGCAGTACGTCTTCTTGCGCGCGGGTCTATGTGGGAAGTAGCCAGTAGGAAGGTATCGCCGGAAATATAATGCCGGCCGGCCTAAACATCTACAAAGCGCACCAAAGACAGAACTGGAAGAAAAGAGAATATCGCTAACAAAACTGTGTTCTAATTCCTTTTTAATATTGAATTTCCTAGCTAGGGCTGCAATTCTCCTCCACACGGCTCAAATTTTTGGGCTCATGCCTGATCGAGCACTATAAATAAGGCCGGCTGGAATAGACGATCATTTGTCAAACAGAGGGGGAAAACATAATTTCCACACACACAAAAAAGAAAAAACATAATTTCTTTAAAAAAAAAAATACAACATATAGAACGATGATGAAGTCTGGAAGCATGTTGGGAAGAAGAATCTCCCCATTTCTTCTTCTTCTGGCGATGGTAATTGCCGCAGTACTCTGTCTCCACGCGGATGTTGGCCGATCTCCAATATTTGCAGGTGATTATATATATATATATTTTAAGATGAAATTCATTCATCAGGATCCCTAGCTCTCTCTACTGTTATATGTTAATCAGTAATTAAGTTACTGATGATACTGAAGTTGGTTTTCGTACGTGTAGCTGCGCATGTGAAGCATTGTACAGGCTTAACAGTGGTGGCATCAACAGACACGTGCTGCGATGTGGTGAGAAAAGACGGCATCACAATGAAGCAGCTCTTCCATTTAAACCCGCATCTGGATTGCGATAAAATCCGCTTCGGGATGACACTCTGCACCAGGGGTTAAAATTAATAATGAACCATATATTATATAATAATGTTAACGTAAATGTACGTTACTGCATGCATGCAGACATTATATTATTGCGTTGCCTGCCTAAGCCTACCAGTTTCCGGTTTAAAGATGACGACGTAAGGCTAGCTCAAGAAAGAAGACACTATAATGCCGGCTGGCAGCTGCCACTACTAGATCTCCTAGTGTCGTAGTCACCATATATAGTTTGAGAAAAATAAACAGCACTACTGTTGTAGCCATGGAGTTCTTCTATCTCAAGAAATAAAAATTAACATTTTATGACTACTTGTTTCTGTTGATAATCTGGAAACGAATTCGAAAGCAGTAAATAATACAGACGGATTTATGTGGTATCCCCGATTTCCCAGGACTACGCACCAACTTCCACCCCGAACTTAAACAACGCAGGGTAACACACAACCTCGCAACTCGCAAGGACAAAAATATATAATGATGAGTCAAGCGTTTATAATATAATAACATATTGTATATCATTATTGTCAATTCATTGCGTTTTGGTCTCAGTTCAAAGAAAAATTCCAAAACTTTATCACAAATGTGATTGCTATATATATCCCTAATATAAAATTTTATATTTGTTATAACAAATATGCAACCAAAAATATTGCGAAGACTGAATTAGAGGACTTGAAAAAGTGAAAAAATGGAGGTAGTATAGTTTTGGGAAAACGTTCAACACATGCTCCCTTCTCTGTTCCCACCTACCCAATTTCTTTTTCCCTCGACCCCATTAAATGGCAGATGGAAGAATGCCACAAAACAAGGAAACAAGACCTGGCGCGGGAGCCATGGAGGATTGATTGGTGGTGGAGCTAGCGATATGACACAACTTTAATGCCACAGCCACAGGAACCAGCATTGTCCAGAAATTTGAGCTTGGAATCTGACAATCCATCTCCACCCTACGATCTCACAATCCTAGGAGCATCCGGATTCACCGGCAAATACGTCTGTCGTAAGAGAAGCTCTCAAGTTCCTCAACTCCCCGGCTGTGACTACTTGGATATCTGCGGGGAGCCGGAGTTTATGGAGCGGATGGAGAACAGTTACCACGACCAAGCGGTTGAGAAGGGTTGTTTCAGCTTGTGGGTTCGATTCGGTTCCGGCTGAATTGGGTTGGATGTTTAACTCGAAGCAGTGGTGCCAAACCGGATCGAGCTGTGGCTTACTTGAGCTTCGAATCTGACAAGAATATTGTTGGCAACTTCGGGACTTACGAGTCGGCGGTTCTGGGTGTTGCCCAACGTGGACAAATTGATGGAGTTGAGGAGATCCAAACCCAGAAGGTCTAAGCCGGAGGTGAGCAAGTCACTTTAGGTACTTTACGTTGCATTACTATGCTTTTTCCATGACATTTTCCTAATATATTACCATACTCGGATACGGTTCTAGCATGTTCAAGATGGGTGCATAATACTTGTACAAATAGATATGTACTCTTGATTTTTAAGTGAGAGTAAAAAATTTAATGGGTGATCTTGTAAGGCTTTCATATTTTTCATATTTTAATCGGCTTTTTTTTTAATTTGAATTTCAAAGAATTTTGCATAGATGGAATGAGCTTCTTGTGATATAAAAATGATATCAAATTTCAATATATTTCGAGAATTTTTGTCTTCGTACCACATGTTACCACTTTGCTACTACTATGTACCAGTTTTGTTTTTTACTTGAATTTTGAAAATTTTTGCGTAAAAGAAACAAGTTCATTATGATCTATTTGAAATTTTCGACTATCTCCACCAGTTTGTCCCATTTGATTTCTAGAAATTATCAAAATATGAAAACATTACTGTTCATGAAGTTCATTCTGTGCATTTAATTTTTACGTTGTATCCATGCTAAGTAAAATCCTAACCACATCAATGAGTGATTTTTTCTAGATGGTCAATTTAAGATTTCAGAACAAATATTTAAAGTATGGAGACCGTAACAAGTTTTATTCAAATTGGACCATATTAATGCTTCATCATTGTTGTAGATTCCTAGGCCTTATCCTCATAAAGTACCACTCATAGATTACCAAAAGGAGTTTGATCTTTGGGTCATAAAGCTTCCATCAGCGGATACTGCAGTTGTAAGTAGAACGCTTGCAACGTTAAGAAATGCTGAAGATGGGCTCTGAGTGCTTGATAGTCGTCTTTCGATTCATTGTTCTAGGCTTGTTCGTTGCGCTCTTGGGTAGAAGTTCTATTGGAAGGTGGCTATTCCTAAACTTTTCATCATTTTCCAGCCTTGGATGGTTCAGTAAGAATGGTCCTTCCGAGGATGAGGTCGCGAGCGCTTCGTTCAATATGTGGTTCGTTGGACGTGGATACAGTGACTCGAGGATGTCGGCAAATGCTGGAGACAAGGAGGTCGATGCAGAGATCATAACAAGAATTATGGATCCCGATGCGGGCTATTTGACGACTCCTATTATCTTGCTACAATGTGCTTTGATCGTTCTAGGTCAACGTGACAGTCTGCCTAAAGGAGTTCTCACTCCTAGGATTGTGTTTGGCTCGATGGATCTCCAAGAACGACTCCAGCAAAATGTGATTTTTTAATGTCATTTCAAGGAGAATTGGCTCTACTAAATGATGGGTGCTCTAATTGAACCTTTGGTCATGTGAGAAATTGGTTTATCTCTAAGTTTGGTCTTTTCCACTTTTAGTAATCTGAATAGGTTGACAAGAGTGTAACGTGTTGGAGTTTGTTTTAGATTTGTATTTCATGAATTATTCCATCTTGAACAATCACGAGGGTCGGTATGGAGTCCATCTCCATTTGTCGTTAATGGTGTTAATAAGACCTCTGATTCTGTTAAGAAAATGAACAAAAATGAGTATAGTGGTCCATCAGACATTCTAATTATAGCTAGAGTTGTCATTATAAACCAAAGTGCATATACCTATCACAAGGGTCAAAGTTTTAGCTATACAGATATACTTTGTCTGGTTAAAGATTAAATGTCTTGGATTCCACGTGTTGGCTAATGAGAGGAAGCATCCCGAGAAAAGATAGTATAATAACACCTATAGTGTTTAACTAGCAATTTGCCCGGCCAGTTGGCCAGGTTTGGGTATTCTATACTACACGGCTAAGCGTCAGTCTGAATTAACCATAATCAACTTAATTTTAATAATGAGATACCCTACACGTGATTTTTCATTTGAAACCCTAATAAAACATGAAGTCCGTTTACCTCCTCCCCTTTGAACGTCAAGCTACTTTGACATGCATTCCATTCATTCTCCAATCGCCCACATGGATCAAAGTGTAATTTGTACCGTGTTGAACTCATTGGTTGATTGGGTAGCCCGTAATGCTAGGTTGAATTTTAAACCTTGTAATGAATTGTTGTTATTGATAATGATTTTGTAAAATATCATAAAATGTTGTAGAAAACGTTGTTAATAATGATGACTGTACATTGCTAATATTATACATCGGATAAATGTTGATAATTCTTAACTTTTAGATTAATTAAGGATCTGAACCCCGCCCTTGAACAATACGTGCTCACTCCTCTGTTTCCGCCTGACCACCATGTCCGTTGTCCCCCCAACTCAATTGATAAATTTCAAGAATATGGAAGAAAGCTGCCAAAAACTAGGGGTGGCAGTTGATTATTTCGATTATAACCGGTAATCGATCGGCCGGTTATCGGTTAATCAAAATAACCACTTTCTTTATCGAAAATTGACCGAAATAGTCTTCGGTTTCTCGATTATCACGGTTGTCGGTTAACCAAACCACTTTTAAGACCAAAAACCATTTGTCCAGCCTCCGATAACTGACCGAAGTTCGATTATTTCGGTTATTTAACCTGGCCGGTTAACCGAAAACTGGTAACCGAACGGCCACCCCAACCAAAAACATAAAACATTGAGAACAGGAACACGAGCCATGCAGAAATCTAATGGTGGCGCGGATCTAGAGATCAAATCAAAACAATTAGCAGGGGCATAGTGGTGGCCAGTAAAGTGATCTGTTAGGAATAGGAAGGCTTTCAGTACGAGTCTTCCAAAACGACGAACAACTCACTGTCACTGATCACTCTGTTTCCGCCCAATTAATAAATGTACTGCCGTACTGGTTGAAGAAAGCACAACCAGCAGGAGCGGCCACTAGGATGCAATGGTTGAAAATGGTACAAATTCATTAATATACAAATTCTAGCATGTGAATGTGATATCACTTACTAATTAGTTTACTAGCTTTGAGCTCTGTCAGTTGGTCGGAAAGTGATTTTTCTTTAACACGCATGAAATTGTTGTGCATTGCTATTATAATAGTACAAAACTAAACATTGATATAGTTTAATAAGTACTCATCAGTAAAAGAAACTTGTCCCATCCCATGAACTTTGGTAGTACATGAGTACTTCATGAAGATATAATTGAATGATATTTCAACCAAACAAAAAAAGAATTGAATGATTTTGATATAGTTTAGGGGTCGTTTGGAGAACGAAATTTATGGCTTGGATTCATTGAATTCGCAGAATTTGTAAAAAGTTAAGTTTTTTTTTGTTACTTTTTGTATTGTGGATTTTAGTTTTATAGATTTCAAATCTCTAGAATCTATCGATATCAAATCTCTCATAATCAGAGAGATTATATATCTTGATTCGTGAAATTTATTTCCTCATACTCTTTCTCTTTTTTAATCATTTATCATATTAAATATATTTATTAACAATTTTTTAAATATTTCGTGAACCACTCTTATTTTTTTATTAAGGATAAATATGTTATTTAATATAAAATTAAAAATAAACTACTCTTTTAATATAGACCATTAGATCTACGAAGGAAAGATAATAAAGAAAAATGAAAAGAAAAAAATTAATAAAAAATCTGATTGGTGGGAGGGCTATAGATGCGTAGGAACTAGGAAGGCTAGAATTTCGAAATGGTGAAAGTATAAATGGAGAAATTTTTTATTATATTCTATAGATAGATAGATAGATAGATATCAATAGGGTTAGAGGTATAATATGCTCTATACTATGACGTTTTATCAACCATGCCCCTCTACTATTTTTTACATCAAACATGCTTCTGTATTTTGAAAAAATTATCAAACATGCTCTTATGTTTAAATTTCCATTGAAAAAAATCGGCAATCATGGTTGAACCGAGATTTAGACGACTCGACATTGGCAAATAGGAGGGAAAATGTCAGTTTTGTTCCCCGTTTTATTTCTACGGGTCTCTTCAAAGTCAAATTATTTGAATTATTTGGCTATACTAAAGAACAAAAAAAAATCTAAAGTGGAATTATTAGGGATATTTTAAACATTTGTGCCACCCAAAGCAAAGTTCGACCTTGGTTAACGGGTTTTTGATGAAAAGTTTAACAAAAGGGCATGTTTGATAATTTTCACAAAGTACAAGGACATATTTGACGTAAAAAATAATAAAAAGACATGTTTAATAAAACGTTATAGTAGATATAGATAGATGACTATACAAAGCCGCCTGAGAAATGGCATGCCGTTCTAACTCCAGACTCCAGAGCTATATATATGAACCATCTCTAGAGCCTCATTCTCCAAATCATTTCCCAAAAATGGAGAACGACAGCAACCCATCTCCAGTCCTCTACGACATCATAATCCTAGGAGCATCCGGATTCACGGGCAAATACGTCGTAAGAGAAGCACTCAAGTTCCACAACTCCCCATCTTCCCCTCTCAAATCCTTCGCCATTGCGGGCCGAAACCATTCTAAGCTCACCCAAACCCTGAAATGGGCCGCCGAGCCCAACTCTCCACCTCCGTCCATCCCAATCCTCACCGCCGACACCGCCGACCCTGCTTCCCTGAGCCTGCTCTGCTCTCAAACCAGGCTCATTCTCAACTGCGTCGGCCCCTTCCGCCTCCACGGCGACCCTGTCGTTGCCGCCTGCGTCAAGGCCGGCTGCGACTACTTGGATATCTGCGGGGAGCCGGAGTTTATGGAGCGGATGGAATACAGTTACCACGACCAAGCGGTTGAGAAGGGTTCGTTGGTTGTTTCGGCTTGTGGGTTCGATTCGGTCCCGGCTGAGTTGGGTTGGATGTTTAACTCGAAGCAGTGGGTTTACCCGGCTGTGCCTAACCAGATTGAGGCTTACTTGAGCTTGGAATCGGATAGAGACATTGTTCTCAATTTCGGGACTTATGAATCGGCGGTTCTTGGTGTTGCCAACATGGACAAATTGCTAGAGTTGAGGAGATCCAGACCCAGAAGGTCCAAGCCCAAGGTGAGCAAGTAACTTTTGTTAGTATTTTTTGGTGTGACACTTTCGTTCCATTGTGAATATTTTTTTCATTAACATCTTCTTCTTTTTTGTTACATTTTCATTCTCAATACATTATAAAATAATGCAATCCGGGCTACGCAGAGTTCTAACGCCTATTGATGTTAGGTTGCGGTAGTGTGATTTATACTCGTTGGATCACTTGTTTCGTGTTCTATTGTCATTGAATGTAAACAACGTGGACCATATTAATGATTCACTGTTATTGCAGATTCCGGGGCCATATCCTAATAAAGGACCAACAATAGAGTACCAAAATGAGTTTGGTCTTTGGGTGATAAAGCTTCCATCGGCGGATACTGCAGTTGTAAGTAGAACGCTTGCAACACTAACAAAACATCCTCATGGTGTTCCAGGGGCTAAAGAGAGTGATGAAGGAACTGAGAAGAGGAAGAAATTTTGGTCGGCCACGAAGCCTGCTTATTTTGGACTGAAGTTGGGGTCTAACTGTCTGTTGGGTCTCTTCCAGTTTATTACTCTTGGTGTCTCTATTGGCTTCTTGGGCAGAAGTTCTATTGGAAGGTGGTTACTCCTAAACTTCCCATCAATTTTCAGCCTCGGATGGTTCAGCAAAAAGGGTCCTTCCGAGGACGAGGTTGCGAGTGCTTCGTTCAAGATGTGGTTCGTCGGACGAGGATACAGTGACTTGAATCGAAGGACGTCGACAGAAGTTGGGGAAAAGAAGCAGGAGCCCGATGCGGAGATCATAACAAGGGTCATGGGTCCTGATGCGGGCTATTCGACAACCCCTATCATCTTGCTACAATGTGCTCTGATTGTTCTCGATCAACGTGAGAATTTGCCCAAAGGAGGAGTTCTCACTCCAGGGATTGTGTTTGGTCCGACGAATCTTCGAGAGCGTCTCCAGCATAATGGGATTTCTTTTGATGTCATTTCGAGGAGAATTGTATCTACCAAGTGACGAGGGCTCTAATTCATCCTTTGATTGAGTGAGAAACTATTTATCTCCAAGTTTGGTCTTGTCCATTTTAAGTTACTCGAATAGGTTGATAGTTTTTGGGCTTTGTAGTTTGTGAACTATTCTATCTTTAAAAACTAGCTTTGTACTTGGCCGATTGAGTTTTGGTTATTTAGGTTAATCAAATAATCTTGCGACTTTAATTGTTTTAATTCACTCTTTGAAAAATATATGTGATCTCTTGCATGCAAATTGAATGAAACATTGACTTGAAAATATATAATTTCTCAACAAAACACGGAGCACTAAGTCAATGAGTTTTGTTGATGTAAGCAATACATGTTTTGTGTAAAAAACACACTTAGTCAATAAAAATATTGACTCTTTTTCAAATTAATCATAAAATTGTGTTAAAAGTTCCCAACATTTATCATACCAACTAATGATGGATCAATTATCTAATGTTGGCACAATATCCTACAGACCATCCTTGAGGACATTGTGTCAAAGATTCATGAACCAAGATGCTCGGTTTGTTACCTTATATAATATGCATCAATTATCTCTTACAATGCTTCATCTAACCCTAAACAAATGATGGTTGTTAATTTCATTTAAAACATTCAGAGAGTTTCTAGTCAAGATACAATATCACTGTGTAATTCTATACCCTAATTCTGTAATCTTCAACCCAAATCCTTGAAATAGTGAGTACCTAAACCTAAACTCACATAAGTAAATTCATACCCTAATTCTATAAACTTTAAACCCTATGATCAAATATTATAAAAATAATGTTCGGTGATTCTCATTTGTCGAGATATATCCAACGTCCCATATCCACAATATTAGAGTTTAGAGAAACAAGGTATAGGATTTAGATACTCAAATCAGGGTATAGTACACTGAATTATTATTTAATCATGCTCTAGATCCCATTACTTTACTGGTATAGTTAATAAGGGTACCCGATAACCTCAAATTCATCGAGGGTACCATAGTATTCTTTGCATATATACCATTGATTGTTAAATTCAAATATTAGCAAATGATGTTTGATTCATTGGCCAATGATATTTAGTTTTCTAACTCTATGCTTATGATTCTCAACCATTAGTGCAATTATAAGTAAGTAATTTTCATTCACTTCTAACATTGAAAAATTTTCCTTACAAACTATCGCATTCTCTTATACTCATAGAATCCATTCGAGATCGTAGTTAGACCACTAAATGTCAAATTTTGTGTTTTAAAATATGAATATTTACACCTCTGTTGAAGCTAATCTTTGTATTTCCACAAATCATGTAACGTAATCAATTTAGCAATTCTCATTAACATTTAAACTCAAAATTTGTGATGAATATCTTTGTGATTAGATAAAATCACTTTGTCGAGTTTATTAGTCAAGTATATCAAGATGAAGCGTTTTGTAGAACATAAAGTTATTGGTTACTTGAAATGCTACCTATTGATATAGATAAGTCCTCCAAGTTTTGAGATACTTAATTACTTTATCACTGTAATTGAAAAAATATAGCAAATTTTGAAATGAATTTGTTACTTGATATGCTAACTATTGCTATAGATAAGTAGTCTAAGTTTTTAGATGTTTAATTACTCTATCACTTTAATTGAAAAAATATTGCAAATTTTGAAATGAACAAAAGTAGATAAAAAAAAAACTATCGTATATTATTGAAGGATTTGGACTATGATCATCCAAAACCAATATGTTAAAATCCAAATTGGACCGATTCAACATAACTCTATGAACCAAATACCATGATTTGTCTTGACCACTAACTTGACACGATTCAACATATGTTGACCCCTGACTCGTTATGATCTACCATGAGATTAGGGTTGAGACTTGAACCAGCCACTTTGGAGTTAGGACAGATTAAGTTGGGCTCGAATTGATAGGTCGGGTCAGCTTTCTCCACCTTCTAATCCATGAATCATGAAAGTGGTATCAAAGTTAATACAAACAGAGCTGGAAATCGGGAACAGAGATGAACACTAAAACACTCCTAATATTGCAATCTCTCTCAACCTGGAATTGGAAAACCCTGGATCAATCTTCGGCCCCTTTGTTGACTCAATACTCAAGCGGTTAGCTTCACAATTATTGGTGATAGATCATCATGTCTTACTTCGATATGATTGGGAGCCTCCAGCCACTAAGTAGGAACATTTTTCCTCGAAATGACATCAAATGAAATCCCATTTTGCTGGAGCCGTTCTTGAAGATCCGTCGAACCAAACACAATCCCGGGAGTGAGAACTCCTCCTTTGGGGAGACTGTCACGTTGACCCAGAACAATAAGAGCACATTGGAGCAACACAATAGGCGTCGTCAAGTAGCCAATCTCAGGTCCCATCACCCTCGTTATGATCTCTGCATCGGGCTTCTTCTTCTTGTCCCCAGCTGAGGCTTGACTCAGGTCGCTGTAACCGCGTCCAACAAACCACATCTTGAATGAAGCACTCTCAACTTCATCCTCTGAAGGACCCTTCTTCTTGAACCATCCAAGGCTGAAGAATGACGGGAACTTTAGGAGCAGCCACCTACCAATGGAGCTTCTACACAAGAGCCCCATGAACACGCCTAGAGCGATGACTCGAAAGATGCCCAACAGGCTCTTGGATCCCAGCTTCACCCCAAAATGAGCTGGCTTCATTGCATACCAGAATTTCTCCCTTTTTTCGATCTGCTCGCCGGTCTCATTGACTCCTAGAAGACCGTGGGGATGTTGTGCTAGCGTTGAGAGCGTTCTTCTTACCACAATAGAGTCAGCTGACGGCAACTTTATAGCCCAAAGACCGAACTCCTTTTGGTGATCTATGATTGGCCCTTTAGGAGGATAGGGTCCAGGAATCTGCAAAACATTGCAATGGAGCAACTATGATCTCTCTTAACTCTCAACACTGTGGTAATGGTGATCTATGATAGGTCCTTGGGAGTAGCTATTATCAATTTATCAGCATGAAAAGAGATAAAGTAATACAGCAGCAATACATTACTCTCACGCCATCAAGACTTCAAGTTCAAGAGCATGACTGGCATCCAGTTAGACAAACATATCTAGACATCTGGCATGAATCAGCATGGATTTCAATCTAGACTGCTACCACCAACATTCTGATTTTCCTAGTGATTGACGTAAATTTCCACTCATCAAATGTTATAGTCATAGCTGAAACCATTTTACCCAGCCAAGTCAATGCATTAGTCAGCACAAGTCTATTACTGAGCAGTGTCAATGACTCTGCCTACCAAAGGGGTTAGACCGTTCTAAGTTCTAACAGTCAGCTAAATGATCAGCAAATTCCACTCTCACAGTTCACTTCAGCAAGCTAACTACACAGTGATGAAAAAGCAGTACAATGTAACAAAGAGAAGTTGTTTCCTCACCGTTGGCCTAGGCCTTTTGGGTCTGGATCTTCTCAGCTCTTGCAATTTGTCCATGTTGGCAACACCCAGGACCGCCGATTCATAAGTTCCGAAATTGCCCACAATGGTTTTGTCCGACTCCAAGCTCAAGTAAGCCTCAATCTGGTTCGGAACAGCAGCGGAAGGCCACTGCTTGGAGTTAAACATCCACCCCAATTCAGCCGGAATCGAATCGAACCCACAAGCCGAAACGATCAGAGAGCCCTTCTCGACCGCCTGGTCATGGTAATTGACTTCCATTCTCTCCATAAACTCCGGCTCCCCGCAGATATCCAAGTAATCGCAGCCGGTCTGGCTGCAGGCGGCAACGACAGGGTCGCCGTAGAGACGAAATGGACCGACGCAGTTGAGGAGCAGCCTGGTTTGGGAGCAGAGCAGGCGAAGGGAAGCAGGGTCGGTGGTGTCGGCGGAGAGGATCGGGATGGAGGGAGGTGGAGAGTTGGGATGGGCGGCCCATTTGAGGGCTTCGGAGAGCTTGGAAGGATTTCGGCCGGCGATGGCGAAGGATTTGAGAGGGGAAGATGGGGAATTGAGGAACTTGAGCGCTTCTCTTACAACGTACTTGCCGGTGAATCCGGACGCTCCGAGGATTATGAGATCGTACGGAGGAGGAGGAGATTGGTGGGTGTTGTAGTCTTCCATGGCCGGAGAATGAACTGCAGATTTGGATTGGAATTCGCCGGGCGGTTGGAACAAAGGCTTTAGAGAAGGTTTCTTCTTTCTCTATGCCTTCGAAGTTTGAAGCCGTTCACCAACTTGAATTGCGTGCCATTAGTGTGCTGCTCTGTTTCTTCACTTTCTTGTTTCCGGCCTTCAATTATTGAAATGGTGAGGTAACTTTTGTGTTCTTTCAAAATGACTACTTTCTTTCATTTTCTTCTAAAATTTCGTTGTTTGCATAGGAGGGACTAGGGAGAGACCAATAACAATTTGAAATCCGCTTGAGGATAAGTAAGGGGTCATTCGGAAGTTGTGATTTCAAATGGTGTATGGAGCTAATTCATATATTTGTGAGATTAAGTCGTTTTTTTAGGTTATATTGAACTAGAATACATGCATTCACTTTTTGGAGGCCCCACCACAATCACTCAAAATTGAGGGATTGTGAATCTCTACTTTTTGTAGAGATTGTTCACAATCACTCAAATTAACTTTTATGCCTTTACAACAAAAACACAATCTAAACCTCCAAACAAAGTATTTGTCTAATACATCAATTGATTCAATACATCAAATGATAATACACTAATTGACCCAATACATCAATTTGAAGAATCACAACTTCCAAACAACCCCTAAGTTTTCTTTACCAAGTCAAGTATGAATAAGATATACAGATATACACTAAAAACATTAGTTTGAATGCAGATTCTAACCTCTTCTTAATTAATTTGTTGATAAGAGGGAATGTTGTCATTGGAACACTTCTACTATGCTATATAGTATTGGTGTTTTAATGTACAACTTAAAGTTGTACCATAATATTAAATGTATAAGTTTAGGTTATACCATAAAATAATTTGTACCATTATGTTATGTTACAATTTTACAACTTGAAGTTGTACCATCACATAATGGTACAAGTTCAAGTTGTACCATAAAAGAATTTGTACAAAAAATATAGGTACAATCTGAAGTTGTACCATAACATAAATGTACAATTTTAAATTGTACCATAAAGACAAAAACCTATAGTACCAATACTATATAGCATTGTAAAATTTCTAGTTGTCATTGACGAGAAAAACTGAAAATTAGAAAGTATTCAGATGAAATTGAAAAGTTGGTGATCATTTTGTACGAATAGTATACTTACACCATCATTGTGGATAATGTACTCAACTTGTACAGTTTTCAATTGGAGAATGGTATTATGGTAATAAAGACATATGATCATGTCGACAATACCCTAGGGAGCACCCCAGCTAATAATTCCCCATAATGACGCCACCACCCCCAAAAAAGATACCAAATAGCTAAATTGCCCGCTCAATTTTTCTTTTCCCCTTTTGGGGAAAGCTTTTTAGTTTCAGTTTAAGTCACTGCCCCAACTTTCTTCTTTGCAGAGCAAAAAATCTCACTTCCTTCCTTACTACCTGTCGTCGTCTCTGCAGTTTCCTTCCCTTCCTTCCACTCTGCTCCGCAACAACCTACTTCTGTAATCTCAACTCCTCCTTCCACTTGGAAGTAAAGAAACGAAGCGAGAGGGAAATGATTCTCTCGGCTTTGCTTACTTCAGTTGGAATCAATCTCGGCCTCTGTTTCTTGTTCTTCACTCTCTACTCCGTGCTCCGTAAGCAGCCATGGAACAGCGCTGTCTACGCTCCACGCCAGCTCGCTAAGCAAAGACGAAAATCTCAGAACGGCGGCGGCGACGAGGAGGAGGATGATTTCTTCAACTTCGACATGCTGTTGCCTTCCGCTGGCTGGGTGCGACGCGCCTGGCAGGTCTCCGAGGACGAGTTGCTCTGCCGCTCCGGCCTCGATGCTGTTGTTTTCATACGCATTTTCGTCTTCAGGTTCTTTTTTTTTTTTTTCTTACTTCAGTTGCTCTCTTCGTTCCCTTTTCGCTATTTACTCATTCGTCCGTGTTGCTGGTTAAAAAATTGCAGCTCGAGAGTGTTCGCGATCGGCGGAGCGATTGGGATTTTCGTTCTCCTTCCGGTAAACTACTTAGGGAATCAATTGAGTATCGACTTCTATGATTTGCCGAACAAGAATCTGGAAACTTTCAGTATATCGAATGTTAATGATGGATCAAACTGGTGAGTTCCTCCTCCTCCTTCTCCTTCTCTCACTTCTAGACTCTAGTCATACTTTGTAATCAATCCATGAGTTTTCTGGTGAGAAAAGAACCTGTAGGTTGAGTAATTTAGCTTCAATTGCAGAATCTGGATTTTGAAGGAACTGTTAAGTGTACTAATTCCCAGTCCATGGCGGCAATAAGATACCTGATGATAGTGTTTCGCTTTATCTAGGTTATGGGTTCACTTTTCGGCTGCCTACATCTTTACTGGAGTTGTCTGCTACCTTCTTTATTATGTAAGTGACAATGTAAATCTTTGTCCTGCTCTTCTGTTGTCATTCTCCCGTCTATGAGGCTGAGTTGTTGTGTCGATGGAATGACTCGAATACTTGTACTATTTGCAGGAGTATAACCACATCTCCTTGAGAAGAATTGCTTCTTTTCACTCCTCTCCGCCTCATCCTCGTCACTATACGATTGTAGTCCGTGGTATACCATCTTCGGGAGGAAGAAGCTTTAGTGAAACTGTCCAGGCGTTTCTTACTGATAATCATCCTTCTACATATCTCTCGCACATGGTGGTTCATCGTACGAGCAAAATTCGAAGTCTCATTGTAAGCTTTTTGGGGGTGGAGTGCAGATTGATTCATTAGAAATGAGGTTACGGTGATTGTGTTTTCCTTTTGCTTGGTTAAATTAAGAACCTTTTTGTCTGTTCGATTGTACTTGCAATGAGTCAGCTTGCTCTATGAATCTTTTTCCATCTGCTTGTCCTTGCACCTTGAAATGAGCTTATGCCTTATATTGTTATTGCTAAAGATGTTGTGAACCACTTCTTCAAAGCTTATGATAGGTGTTGCACAATTAAGGTTGTAGCTAATGAGAACAAGCCAGGGAAGTTTCAAGGCAAATGGCTAATACTTTGTGGAACAAAACTGTCTCACAACTTCCATGTCTCGTGCGTTACTATGATACAACAAAGTGTGGCAGATAATTTGTACAAGCATTCCATAATGCAGTAATTGGGGAGCATTTCCCTTATAAATCATTTCTAGAGAGTAGAGATGCATTCCTTATTTTTTAATTTTAAACATCGATTATTTTTCATATATCGTGCAATGCCGTTGATTATTAAGCTCTTCTGTGATGCAGAAAGATGCAGAGAAACTATACAGAACGCTTGCGCGGGTGAAATCACAGAGTTCGCAGCAAATAAATAAAAGAGATAGGTTATTGGGCCTCTTCCGGGGCAGGGATACTGATGTCAGCCATTATGAGCAAAAGTTGGAAGATTTGGAGAGAAATGTGAGAACAGAACAGCATTCTTTGACTGGGGAGTTGCCTAACACCAGCGTTGTAAGACAATTTCTACCTTGATTTCGCAATTGTAACAGTCATTAATCTCCTGGTTGATCTGCTAAACTGCTTTCACTGGGAAATTTAAACACTAGAGGACAAACTAGACAATGTTATACAGAAAATGGCTCATGGAATGAGAGACGTGTATGTGCTGCCCTCAGTAATTATATTCAGTACTAGTTTAGTGCTTTACAACTTGACTAATGAGTTATATATCGTGAAAAATGGTCTATAGCTCTTTTCCCACTGAAATTCTCCAGTAGATACCAGTCAAACCTCTTTTCAGAAATGCTTGTATACTGTCAGCCAGAGCCTCCAGTGCTATTTCATTGTGACAATGATCACAGAACAAACCACAAGATGGTCAAGTCTGCACATCTTAGTTCGTCTAGAATTGAAGGCTGGCTTGTTACCACGTTTACCCATGTGCTCATTCCATCTGTTCACATGTATATGCATATTAGACATTTCGTGAAGAAGTCGCCTTTGACCGTTAAAGAGGGTAGAATCTAAATCTCTACTTTTGCATGATTTGAAATTCATCAGGAAGTTCCAGCTGCTTTTGTGTCATTCAAGTCACGATTTGGTGCTGCAGTAGCTCTTCATATGCAACAAGGTGTCGATCCCACAGAGTGGCTCACAGAGGAAGCTCCTGAGCCTCGTGACATCCATTGGTCGTCCTTTTCTTCTTCATTCATGAAAAGATGGATTAGCAGGATAGTTGTCGTGGTTGCGTGTGTTGCCCTCACAATTCTCTTCCTTATTCCAGTTGTTTTAGTGCAAGGTCTGGCTAATCTGGAGCAGCTGGAAACTTGGTTTCCTTTCCTGAAAGGCATTCTAGATCTGTAAGTGAACACGGTCTTATATATTCAATTGTATTTTTCAACGGCAAAATTTAATTCCAGGTTCTCTTTGATGTCACTTGATGGTGCAGTAGTTTTCCTTAGAGAACTAGTTAGTGTCCTTAGCTCCTATAATAATATCTTGCTATGCTCATGATGATCTGATACATCAAGCCTTACGACTGAGGCAGACACTTATTTGTATCGCATCGAGTTCTTAGTATGTGTTCTTAAAAAGTAGTTCATCTATATAAGCGTAACTTTATTGGGTACTGATGTGCAGTGCCATTTGACTTGCAGGACCATTGTCAGCCAAATCGTTACTGGATATTTACCAAGTCTCATTCTGCAGCTGTTCCTGTATCTGGTGCCACCTGTTATGTTAATGTTGTCCTCTATGGAGGGATACCTTTCATCTAGCAGCACGGAAAAAAGCGCATGTACCAAGGTTTTGTGGTTTACAATATGGAACATCTTTTTTGCAAATGTACTATCAGGTTCAGCTTTCTATCAGGTGAATATCTTCCTTGAACCGAAGAATATTCCCAAAATACTAGCTGAAGCTGTTCCAGGTCAGGTAATGATCCATTTCCTACCTTAACAAAGCAACATCTGTCATGTGTACATAACATCTGCAGAATGAGTTTAATATTTCAACATTTTCTGGGGATTAGGTGGATCAACTCAAGGGAATTCTCCTGATTTTCGGTTATGTGGCCGCTCATGAAAAATGCAAATTCTTTCTGGCTGCAGGCAACCTTCTTTATCTCATACGTCGTAACATCTGGATGGACGAAATTATCATCTGAAATCTCTCAGCTGACTTCTCTGCTCTGGAGTTATGTGACTGGAGTGTTTTCCAGTAATGACGATGAGGAAATTGATGTCCCAAAGCTGCCCTACCACAGCGAAATTCCAAGAATCCTTTTCTTTGGACTCCTGGGCACAACATACTTTTTCCTTGCACCATTAATCCTTCCATTTCTCTTGATATACTTCTGCATTGGATACATCACCTTCCGCAACCAGGTAACTGAACTATGATCTTTCATGTATAAGGTACATAATCTTCTTCACTATCTGTTATCTAACAACCTCCTCATCTTTGCTCCAGCTACTAAATGTATACGAACCGAAATACGAAACTAATGGAAGGTTTTGGCCAATAGTACATGGTTCCACAATCTTCTCCTTGATCCTGATGCATGTTATTGCCATTGGAATATTTGGGTTAAAGAAGCTTCCTTTAGCATCCACTTTAACTGTGCCACTCCCCATTCTCACACTTCTCTTCAATGAGTACTGCCGCAGAAGATTCGAACCCCTATTTCAATATTATCCAACCGAGGTAAGCAGTCTATTCTTCATTCCTCCACTCATGTCATGTAGCAAGTTTTTATTACCGTCACATTTATGCATTCACAAATTTGATTATTGTAGAGTAGCGTTGCCTTATCTGACGTCCTTGTGCTGCAGAGTATCGTGAAGAAAGATAAAGAAGACCAAAATCGGCCAAACATGGCTGAGTTCTACGAAAAATTAGTAACCGCATACCGTGATCCAGCCTTGTTGCCAGTTCAATATGCCAGGAACAGCAGCAGCCTCAGTTCTCCCCTTCTAAATTCACAAGTTTGAAGCTAAGTTCTTGTGTGCTGACGTGTATTCTAATGTATCTTGTTCTTGCCGCGTCAATCTCTACCCATCTTTGTTGATTTGGAAAATAAGGAAGCGATTGTGGTGTGTTTTATGTTCTGTAAATTGTAGCATCGTTGCATCAGCTAGTTTCAGCTGTGTTCATTTCACGCATCCATTTGGTAGGCAACGAAGTCACATTGACAAACCATAGAAGGAAAAAGGAAAGAAAACATTCCTATACAATTGCCAGTGCAGCAGTGATTACTGATGAGTCACTTTGATCTGGAGTCAGGAAACAGTTTTTGGGCCGAGAAGCCAGGAGACATCTTCCCAAAGCCCAAAACTGGCTTCCTTATCCAGCCCAATGACACTCGAGCTACTAGCAGCCAAAGTCCAATACCCAGCATTAATCTCCTCCTTCAACTGCTCCGCCTCCCAACAGCAATACCCATCGAAGAATCTGAAATTCCCGACGCCGACCATATTCCTCTTCACCATCTCCGCCGCGCAGCCCGCCGTCTCCTTTGTCCCGTAGTACAACCCTTTCATCACCTCCTCGAAAACCCCGCTCCTCGCCAGCCTATCCTTGTCGTACCCTCCTCTGGGCTTCACCAAGAACAGGCCATCCTCCAATGGGCCCCCAAAGAACAACGGCCGGCCCGAAAACACTTCGGGAGGCGTCGCCGACGTCGTAGCCTCGCCCCGCATCTCCTTGATGGACATTAGGGACGGGCGATTGAGGATGATCCCCAATGGGCCGGCTGGGCCCGTTGACAGGAGAAGGACCACCGTCCTTTCGAAGCTGTGGATCTCGTCCATCTTCTCTGTTGCGATGAGTAGGCATCCCTTTTCCGGCTCGTGGATGGTGTGGGCCCACTTCTCTCCCACCGTCACCAGCTTCGCCGGTGGAGGTTTAGGGTTCTCGTCTGGATCTGCCGCCAGCGAGCTTTTCCCGGTGCTCGCGGTCATAAAGGCTTGCTCATTAGCAACCATTTTCGCTCTGAACCATCTCCAATCCGCCTGCAGGAAGGATTCGGCGTGCTGCTGCAGATCGTCGGACGATCCCGCCGATTGACAACCTGCTACCCATATGCAACAGATTAATAAAAACCAAAACTTTGGGGGAGTGGGAACAAGCAATTGGTAACGGAGGAACTGAAGGCCTAAAGGAGAGAATGGAAGTCATAGTAGAAAGACCAACATGTAATGGAGGAGGAAAGGCGAACCCTTTTGGGTTGAAATAGTGATCCATTGGCGAATCTTCTTGAACAGGGGAAGTGGAGGAAACTGGATGAAGAAGACGAAGTGGGGAATTCTAGTGCACTAGTTTTGGCGAAGGGGTTCCAGGAAGTACTGAGAAAATAATTGGCATCCATGATTACCCAAGCTTTCGTTTTCTTTCAGTCTGCCTGAAATGGGTGGGTTCGAGGGAAGTATTTATATTTTATAATGGAGAGTGAGGATTAATGCTGAGTGTCATTTTTTCCAGAATAGTGTTCAGTGTTTTACCGTATATAATAATACTTGGAGAGAGTTGAGAGATCAGCAGGTGGTAGTAGCCAATGATCAGATTCTGCCGGCGAGACTAAAGTATTCCAAATAACAAAGAAAGGCCATATTGATGCTGAGGCTGAGGCAGTAGGCAGATGCTGTAGCAGTCCATTTGAGCAGCTCACGCTTGTGGAATTAAATTATAGGGCATATACTACATCCCGCCGGCCAACCCTTTCGTCACCTCTGCCATTTAACTACCTCTTGATTTATTTGTCTTTTCCTGGCTTCAATCATCAATTCTTTCAACTTTCAACATTTTGGATGAACTGTTGCCAAGTATATCCTCTTAATTAGTAACATTTGGTTATTGATCGGTCTTTCTATAACTTTTGTCCCTAGTACTATTATAGTATCCATTCTAATTTGAGTTTGATTTTTTTGTAAAGAAGTCAGATTAATATACAAAATTACCTCCACTTTGATAATAGTTTCATTTTTGCGAATTGTTACCCATTAAATTTGTTGTTCTTCAGTTTGTATAGTTCAATAGTTTGCTGCTTGGACATGGAGCACAACTATTAAAAGCCAAAGCAAATTTGCTTCGGCTGACAGACAGAATAACTACTTAATCATATTCATCAGACCCTGCTGTGAGCAGTATAACGGCTTTGTAGTCGTGAGCTACCTCTGTTAGAGTGTGGTATAAGATCCAGCAAAATCTTCTCCCAATAACTCGAGTTATTGGGAGCAATTGGTTCTTGACATGGTATCAGAGCCTCGAACCAAAAGGTCATGTATTCGAATCTTCACGACCCCCAATATTAACCGTTGTCTTTCAAGCACATGGTATGGTGGGCCTGTGCAAACTTCAAGCCCATGAGTTGGCTTTCGTTTGAGGAGGCGTGTTAGAGTGTGGTATAAGATCCAGCAAAACCTTCTCCCAACAACTCGAGTTATTGGGAGCAACTGGTTCTTGACAACCTCATCGTATCCGAAACCATAACCAGCGGCCACTCTACTGAAGAAAGCAAGTAGTCCCCATCGATATCAAAGTAATCAGCATCGAAGTACACATCATGGGTTGAGAGCAATGGATCTCTCACCATGAGATGTTCCAGCGTCACAGATTGTTTCTCCTCCGGCAACACTGGATTAACCAGCCGGAGTTGGGTCTCGCAATCAGTTAGGCAGACCAAGCCGTGACATGAACCCATGACACCATAGACATAGCGTCCATGCCAACCTTCTTCTAGTCTGTCGGGACAGAAAGTTCCAGGTTCGAAGCCATAGGAAACGTAGCATCCGTAGTCTTTTTGTACACGGAGGAACAGAGAAGTAGAACGCTTGAGTTGGCGTTGGATGAAACTGGGTTCATCTATGATGGACCGCCATTCTTTGCACACGCACCTCAGCCTGCAAAGCTCGCACCAGCTGAATCAGCTCTATGTAGGGAAATTGAAATGCCTTCTCCTTTTCATCATTCTCCAAGAAAACGTTTAGTTATCCAAGGAGCTTGGGAAGGTAATTGGCAAAGCCAACAAGAGGGCACAGTGGTAGCTAGCTAGGATGAATAATGACTTAAATCTAATGTTTGTGAGCGGTCCATAGTGATAGGGAACTCATCAACGCAATCTAAATCTGAAAATTGTCATGAAGCGGGAGGGGAAGACGAGAAGAATGACTGAACATATTTAACCAACCAAAAATCAGGTTAATTTGTATGTTTAGACATTATTTACTATTCTTGAATTACGATTTAATATCATCTGCATTGGCTTGCAACATGTAGGGGTGGGCATTGGTCCGGTCCGGACCGGATCCAACCAAATTTAGTGGAACCGCAGTTCAATAGTGAAAAATATCTTAGTATTAATGACCGGACCAATAGTATATTTAGTCCGATCCAAATGTTAATTTGATAATTTTTTCTTCAGTATTTATAAAGTTCATACGACGAAAGACCGGACCATATTATATTCAATTCGGTGTGATCCGACCAAAACATCGATTCGATTTGGTGTGGTCCAGACCAACCCATTGCCCACTCCTAACAACAACCACTTTAATAGCATCAGTTGTGTATAAGATTTGTATGAATTTCATTTGCTAAGTGATTTGTGGGTCATGGCAGATGCTAAGCAAACTTCAATCATCTTGAGATGCTAGAAGCCTAGAACACATAAGAGAAACTGCAGGGGTCGTTTGGAAGTTGCGATTGTTTTGTTGAGATTGTCATTATGCATGTATTGTTTACAATGCAACGTTTTTTTTGTTTTTTTAGCAGAAACAATACCTGGATTGTTTATGTGATGTGACAGAAACTATCACTCATTTTGAGTGATTGTTATATCTCAACTTTTAGTTGTGATTGTTGAGATAGTTGAGTTGATATTGTTTTGTCTCAGCTTTTAGCTGATGCGACATACACAATCACACATACCAAACATTGTATTCTACAATGCATCAAATTCGACAATACATGTATAATATTATACATGCATTTTCAACAATACATCTATTTAATAATTGCAACTTCCAAACGACCCATGAGAAACCATTATCAGATTTAGTCGTCATAAAAATGACTCTTTAGGTAAACCAATTTTTAAGTTTTGATTTTCAAGAACTATTAGAGGCATAAAGAGAATACATTTTAGTGAAAAGTACATATCATCTCCCTTTCTTTCTGTGGTTCATTGTCATCTACTACTTTTACCATCTACAAGTAAATATGAGGTAAAAGGTTTGCCCACAAATCTCATCTCAATATTTCATATCACTAAAACCTATACAACAAAGGCAAAACATCTACAAAACAAAAGCATGAAACAATTCTTGAAAGAAACACAAGCTAATCACATACCAGAAATGATACATAATAATGTCTTACGACAAAAAGATTTTTTTTTCGTTGAATACAAAAAGATTAATTAGTAAAGAAAATAGCGCACAAAAACTGACAACTTAGAATATACAAAACGATATAGGAAATATATAATTCAATCCTCACATAACAAACAACACTCACAAAACGCTACTAAAAATAACGAAATCACTACGGATTATTATAAAATCAATACAACATGTAAACTAAATCACTACTAATTCAAACTAGTAGTAGTTTTTCCCTTAATTAGAACGGTGCTAACTATTGTACAATTAGCACCATAACTCCCGCCTAAGAACTCATATACAAATTCCAGTACAGTAATCTATCTGGTCAGGAGTCAGGACACCGCTTTTGGGCCGACAAGCCAGGATACATCCTCCCAAAGCCCAAAACGAGCCTCCTTATCCAGCCCAATAACACTCGCGCTACAAGCCGCCAAAGTCCAATACCCAGCATTAATCTCATCCCTCAACTGCTCCGTCTCCCAACCGCAATACCCGTCGAAGAATCTGAAATCTCCGACGCCGACCATATTCCTCTTCACCATCTCCGCCGCGCACCCGGCCGTCTCCTTCGTCCCGTAGTACAACCCTTTCATCACCTCCTCGAATACCCCGCTCCTCGCCAGCCTGTCCTTGTCGTACCCTCCTCTGGGCCTCACCAGAAACAGGCCTTCCTCCAATGGGCCCCCAAAGAACAACGGCCGGCCCGAGAACGCTTCCGGAGACAGAGAGGACGACGTCGTTGCGGCGTTTCGCATCTCCTTGATGGACATGAGGGATGGGCGGTTGAGGATGATGCCCAATGGGCCGGCCGGGCCCGTTGACAGGAGAAGGACCACCGTCCGTTCGAAGATGTGGACCCCGTCCAGCTTCTCCGTTGCGATGAGAAGGCTTCCCTTTTCCGGCTCGTGAATCGCGTGGGCCCATCTGTCTCCCACCGTCACCAGCTCCAGCGGCTGTTTTGCTCTCGGGGTCTCGTCTGGATCTGCCGCCAGCGAGATTTTCCCGGTGCTCGCGGTCATAAATGCTTGCTCGTTAGCAACCATTTTTGCCCTGAACCATCTCCAATCCGCCTGAAGGAAGGACTGGCTGTGCTGCTGCAGATCGTCGGACGATCCCGCCGATTGGCAACCTGTTACGCATTACCCATTTGCAATAACATTAATAAAAATCAAAACTTGGGCGGCAAACAATCAACTGAATGACGAAATCGAAGGCGGAAAAGGGGATAGTGGAAGTCGGTTGAGAAACCAACATGTAATGGAGGAGGAAAGGCGAACTTTTTTGGGTTGAAAGGGTGATCCATTGGAGCATCTTCTTGAACAGGGGAATTCTAGTGCAGCAGTTTTGGTGAGTGGATTTGAGGAACTGAGAAAGCAAATGGCATCCATGATTATCCAAGGTTTTTTCTGGTCTGTTTTTGTCTGTCTGAAATGGGTGGGTTCGAGAGAAGTATATATAGAGAATGTCAGGATTATTGAGAACCACATGAAGTGTAGAAACTAGAAAGCAAGTGTAAAATACTTATACCGTATAATACTTGGAGGGAGTAGACTCTAGAGAGATCCCCATCCATTATACTTGGAATGGCCAATCACATTCTGCCAACAAGACTAAAGTGTGCCACCAAACAAAAGGAGCCCATGCCGATGCAGGCCAATTGATGGGTAGCCATGGGAGTAAGCACAATGTCCACATAAAAAGAGAATTGGAAATTTCTTTCTTGCGTGGAGCATTTTTCTCCTCCACTATTTCTCTAGTAGTTATGCTTCTTTTTTTTTTTTTACATATAATGTATCACATTCTTAGAGCTTGGACTACATCTTTAAAATGTACCAATATTTCTCTATGTTGGTAGCCATACCTTTCTCGGCCTTTTTGCTAAGATGAAAGTGAAATCTATTTGAGAGCTGGATCGACTCCACAACTATCTAGGTTACCTCTGATCGATCCGTCGTACGAGATGAGTATAAAACTCAAATCATTCTTTATGGCCGAGGGATGATCTATATGTAGGATTGTAGACTAGTCATTGGATGTATTGACAAGGACGAGCCAGTTGCGTCGCTGTTGTTGGAGTACCCATATGTATGGGTGAGCAACTAGTTCAGTAGCGAGATAGGTAGGTCCAAATTTTCCTCTTTTTCCCGACCAAGCAATAGTTCATCACAACTGACAAAAAGGAGTTTAGACAGTAAAGTAAAGGCACTGACCCCCCTTTCTCTCCCCACTGGGATTTTTCATTTAAATTGGAAATGATTGTCCACCCTTACACACGAGACCCGAGAGAGAGGAGAAGGGAGGAGCCATCTTCTCCCAATTGTAACAAAAGATAGTAGAGATTTGAGTGTGGTCGCAGACTCGCAATGACCACTAATCTTGAGATTGATACCTTAACCCACTCTATATACTGACCCAAACATTGCCCAAAACTAAATACCATATCTTTCTTAAGCAAGGAAAAACTAGATAACTTTGCCCTCACCATTAATAACATTGATTATGACAGGTAAACCAAAGAACATGGTTGATTTGCATGAATTTTGATCTGGCCTTCTTCCATCCTTTTCTTTGTTCTACTGTTCTTACCCTTTTCTTCCTCTTTTACGGCTAAGTGAACAGTGCAACACAATTATTTAGAGGAAATTACTAACTTTTCTTGGATGGGGACATAAGCCTACTAAACTAAACTGGTCAGCAAACAACTAGCCAGAAATAATGGCACCCCAATTCATCCTATAGCTCGAAACTACATATTAAGTCCCAACTATCACTTTCCTTGAGCGAACAAAATTCTCCTATCAACGATTTTGAGCTACCCCAAACAAACCTCTATCACGATCTCTACCACACACCAACAGCAATTATCCACCAAATCCCATATGACCAGCTGTGAGCTGTGCCAGCCTCTGAAAGTATGCTTTTGGAGTTTGTCCATATTAGCCAATTATCAACAAATATAGTATGCTTTTGGAGTGATATTATATGCTGGAATTTTCATACCATTGTGATCAAATATTTGTAGCAGAAGGTGATATATAGATACTATACCGATTTGCTCCTTCATCTTAGCGAGACGCTTAAACAACTGGGTTGGGGAAGATTTACATTTTTCACATTTTTTTATAGTACATCTTTTACCTTTTGGTTTGCTACCTTTCTGTCACTTAAAGACGGCTTTCCTACATCAACTCCATTAGTTGTTCCTAAATATGTATCGACAACACAGAAGAAAACCGAAAACTGAAAAGAGAGTATGGGGTATATTCAGTAAGTGTGGTGGTGATCATTCGAGGGATCACTAAACAATCTAAGTTCCTGAACCAATCCATCAACCATTTCATACACTTCACCAGAGTCTGGATGGGACTTATCCAACAGTGAATTCATGGACTTTATCACCCACCTCAATGAAACTGGCGCCAGACGGCTTCTGGATTCCAGCACTCTTCATTTGGAGCCTCACATTAGCAACCTTGACCCAATCCCCGGCAGCAGCATAAATATTCGACAGCACCGAACAAGTACCGTGCTCTGATGCCTCCTCGAATCTCGCCATGTGATCTTGAACCTGCTTAGCAAGTTCAGCAGCATTGTGCATTCTGCAGGCACCCAAAAGGGTACCCCAGATGACAGCATTCGGTCCCATCGGCATGGAATCCACGAGCCTAATTGCTTCGTTGAGACGTCCAGCACGGCCCAACAAGTCAATCACGCAGCCGTAATGCTCGATGTCGGGAGCAATCCTATATTCCTTCTCCATGTTGTTGAAGTACCTGAGGCCCTCGTCGATGAAGCCGGAGTGAGTGCAAGCACAAAGAACTGCTACTAGAGTGAATTTATCGGGCTTGAAACCCTGTTGTTTCATTCTGGAGAAGAGCATGAGTGCTTCATCTCCATGCCCATGTATGGCTAGCCCTTGAAGCATGCAGTTCCAAGAAACTACATCTCTCTCTGCCATTCGCTCAAACACTTCATATGCCTTCTTTACTCTGCCACATTTTGCATACATATCAAGCAATGCATTAGACACATCAGCATGGTGCATTAATCTAGTCCTTGCAATCGAGGCGTGAACTCGTTCCCCCAGTCCAAGCAAACCAGACTCTGCACAGGCAGCCAGTATGCTAACAGCAGCACCCGAATCAAGCATAAGTCGAGATTTCTCCATTAGAGAATACAAACTTACTGCATCCTGCCCCAGCCCCTTTTGGGCATACCCAGATATGAGTATAGTCCAAGAAACCATATTCTTGGTTGGCATTTTATCAAACAGCATTCTAGCCATTTGCATATCTCCTGCTTTACTGTAACCTGAGACCATCGTGGACCATGACACAACATTCCTCTCAGGCATTTCCTCAAACAACTCAAACGCTTCGTTCATCTTTCCGGCCTTCACATATGCATCTAGTATCGTGTTCCAACTAATCGCGTCTCTCACGGGCATTTCATCGAACAGATCACGTGCACCACCCAGATCCCCTGCTCTCACCAGTCCACCCATCATTGAATTCCACGAAACGACATCCCTCCTGTCCATACTCGTAAACAGCCTCATCGCAGACTGAATTCCCAAAGCACCACACTTGGAGTAGCTATCAATCAAAGAATTGGGCACGAAAATATCACCGAAAAATTCAACCTTCTCCAAACTGCAGTGTATCATCTGCACAACCGGCAACCAGGGCTCTCCATTACAAGCTTTGAGAAGAAAAGGGTAAGTGAAATTATCAGGAAACATTCCATTCTGCTGCATATCGAGGAGAGCAGCGAACGCCATGGAAGGTTGGGAGTTGCGGACGTGAGCTCGAATCAGAGTGTTGTAGAGTTGCAAATTGGGGTGCCGAACTTGGTTGAAGACGTTGAGAGCGAGCTTCATGTGATGACAAAGCGAGAATGCCGATATCAATTTTGGAGCTACGTAGAGGTCTGTGTGGAGATTCTGCTTGATTATCTGGGCGTGAACCTGCTTTACGTGGGTTAAGTCTGCACATTTGTGAAGCTCCTGCAACTTTTGCTCGAACAGTCTTCTCGTCGAGACCCAAGCCGGAGCTCTAATTGGGGTCGACATTTGGGTACCGCTGTTAGCCATGGATGGCTGGTCGCAATTGCATCGCCGGAGATTAGTGAGAGGACGGCTTGCTTCCGCCGAAGAATGAGGTCCGCGAACAATGAGTTCAAACGATGTTGTCGTTAGCGCCTGCTTTGGGTCAATTGGGCTTTGGGCCATGGTTTGTTTATGTAAAAGTCCACTCCAGTTACAGATGAGCTTGAACTTGGGCTCCAGGAGACAAATACTAAGGGTCGTTTGGAATGATTTTTTCTATGAATACATACGTTAAAATTTTTTTATCAAAATAGAATGCTTGAGGGCTTGTGAATGGTTATTTTGGGGTTTGTAATCATACAGCTAAACACTATCTAGAGCTGAAACGTCATTTTTGCGTTTGTAATCTGCAGTTGAAACTTTATTTTGGCTTTGATATTCACCGGTTGAGCATTAAGTCACTCAATTCCCATCGTGCTTGTTTCTCAATATAGACAATTATTTTGGGTTTTCTCCGATAATTTTATATCCTCACTTTTGTCACTCGTTGCCGATTGAGGGATGACCAGCAAGTCGTCGCGGCTACAGGGTGGTCGGTTTGGAAAGAGGATGGTGAATGGTCAGGAGATGGTAAAGTGACGCTGGAGGCGGGTTTGAAAGCAACGATGGCGGCGTGCGGGCTCGGAAGCAATGCTGGCGCCGGATTCGAAACTTCCAGCTGTTGGTCGTCAAATCAATGACGGGCGCCGAGAAGATGTATCTGAATAAATAATTTTATTTTTGGCTTTTGTACCTTATTTACGTTAAATAAATAATTTTTGGTTTAAAATTTATTTGGCTGATGTGGAGTACTCGTGGTCGCCACATCAGCATCTCAAGCTGAGTCATTAATCGTTCACTGAGTTGACCGTTAGTACTAATGGTCAAATGTAGAATTAGGCCAAAACTGTCTATTAGTTGTAAAGTTGGGGCCAATTGTGTCATTATTGTAAGTTGGGGCCAAAATTGTCTATTTCTACAAAGTTTGGGCCATATTAGGGTATTTATCCTTTATTTTTTCTTACAATTTAGTACCTAAAATTTCAGAATTTTACAAAAATTCCTAAAATTTTGATTGTAAAATTACATTTTGGTATCTTTATATGTTTTGCCTCACACTATAGTACCTAAACTTTTAATATTTTACAAATAGGTCCACTCTTTTGTTAGGAGGTATTTCAAATCACTAGTTGTTGAAATGTATTTGAAGTTGGCAAGTAATACACTAGACATGTATTTGGTATTCATCCCATGAATTTGACACAAATCCAAATATAAAATGTAATTAATATCCAAACACAAGTCTTAATATTTGGAAATCCAAATCACAAATACCAAATACAAATCATTCTATCCAAACACACCCTTGTATATTTTATAGAAGATAGATAGATAGATACATTTTACTAAATACTAAACAGCCCACCAAGTTACAACTCAGCACACAAGCTAGCAATAGTAGACTACCTCTAGTGGGAAGATCCAAAAGATAAAGTTTCAAAATTTCACTTTATATCTGAAATTCATAGAATTCATCAGTCTAATATATAATTTATTTTTGTTATTTTTATGTATATATTATTAATTAATTAATACGAACGTTTCGATTTTTTTTTTATTTTGTATATATTTTCTTTGTGGATAACATTTGAAAAACTTAACTACCCCTCTAATTGGCATGGTCCATGAAACCGTACTGTATCGGTGGTTCAACCACGAAATACCTGTATCAGAAGCTAAACTAGTAGGTGGTACTTAACGGTAACGGTTGAACTACGGTTAAACCACGGTTTTACCATAAAATACCTTACTGCTGACTTTCCCGACACGATTTCATGCACCATGCTAATTGGTGACACTGATCTAGGGGTTGGAAACGGGACGGGATTGGGTACCTCTTCCGTTTCAAACGAGTACTCAATCCCATTTCAAGAGAAAACTTCATCCCATGTCCCAAATGTCATAAACCAGTTGGTCCCAATAACTCGAGTTGTTGGGAGAAGGTTATACTGGATCATATACCACACTCTAACACGCCCCCTCAAACGAAAACCAACCCATGGGCTTGAAGTTTGCATAGGCCCACCATACTTTGTGCTTTTTAATCAACTGTTAATATTGGGGGTCGTGGAGATTCGAACACACGACCACTTGGCCAAACCAGCTCTCATACCATGTCATAAACCAGTTGATCCCAATAACTCGAGTTGTTGGGAGAAGATTATGCTGGATCATATAACAAACTCTAATACCAAACCCGTACGGGTTAACGAGTACCCATTACCCGTACGATACGGATAACGGATATCGGTGGGTACGCATAGATGAAGATGATTGCAGTTGGTGAGGCTATTACCTCTTGTTTACTATGTCTCTATCCAATGCACGGTTGCACCATTCTATCATGTCTTGTTTTTCTCGCCAAGCTTTACTTTTGGGCTTTCTCAGTTTCTCTGGTACTAAAATATCCAAAATTATCCTATCAACCTCGTTATAGGCACACTTAATCTATTAGAATGAACCAGCTTATCATAAGTATATGGTAAAATCATCATGATTAGCCAGTATCAGAAACACTACAACCAACGACTCCTAAATGTATCCGATAAATTAACATGTAAATGATTTGGGGTTGGGCTATGGGCGGATAGTACTGGTATCCGTAATAACCAAATGGGAATTAACGGGTAATCCGCTGGTACCCATTATAGAATTTTTTTTTTATCTCAAGTCTCATCTCGTAAAAAAAAAATACAGATATTTAGATACCCGTAACTCTAAAAAACGAAACGAGTATGAATATACCCAAATACTCGTTTCCCGTTGCTCACCTTTACACTGATCCATTTGAATTAGACTGGTTTTCCATTTGAAAAACTTATTAACTACCCCTCCAATTGTTGACAATGACATTGATCCTTTTGCGGGTAAATTTGTTGGCAGTGAAAGAAGGGGTAAATTGCAAGGTTGGTCACTAGAAGTGTTAAAATATTCACGTTTGGTCACTAAAAGAATTTTATTCCATTCATGGTCATTGGAAGTGCTTAACGTTTCACGATTGGTCACTCTCCGTTAGTCTCCATCCATCTCTGTTAACACTGTTAATATTTTGCTGACGTGGCTAACAACAGTGCTGATTCACCCAATTTAAGCATGCCACGTCATATAATTTGACCAGCCACGTAAGAAAAACCGCCACATAAGAAAACCCCACATAATTGAACCAAACCACATAACCCGACCCCTGCCTCTCCTCTTATTTTTCTTCCACATTTAAATCTCCATCTCAGTTTCTTCTTCTCCTTTCATTGTTGCCTCATCAATCATCATCATGGAAATTTCTATCGGATGAGGAATCAGACTCGGTCTCGCCTAGATTCAAGAAATTTCTCTCAACCCACTTCTCCGTATGACAATCTGAACAACCAAACCCATCTTGAATTGAGCAAAGAAGACAATTTTTTGCACTTTTGGCCAAAAAACCAGAGTAGAACACAATTGGGAGCTGTTGAGGTTTTGCTCACGCTGGAGGGGGGAAGAATCAGAAACATAGCATACCACGATTGGGGATCTGGTATGAGAATAAGGATCCAAAGAGGCGATCTTCTAACGATTCACCAACGGCGGTGGAGAATTTTGCAGTAGATATTCTTCTGGGTCAGACGTCGCCGCTTGCTTCTCATCTTCGCCTCTTTTAAAGCTTCTGAGAAACCCATATACTGAAATCGTTCGATCTGTGTTTGTGGTGATTCGCCGTGCTCATCGAGATGGCATAACATCTCCCCACGCTCATGTTCACCCCGTAAAATCTAGACTCATCGACGATGTCTTCGTACCAGATGCAGAGGTGGAAGGACAGTGGGTTCTGCAAATTTTGCTGGTGTTGCAATTCGCTGACTCTATGACATATTCAAGCAATGCCCGGCCATGATTGATGAAGCGGCGAGCTGATGGTGGGAGAAAAGAGAGATGCGAGTGGATTTAGTGGAAGAGGCGCGATGAAGAAGAACTAGGTTGACCTTTGACGAATTTTGCAGAAAAGGGAAGAGGAAGAGTCTGGGGAAGAAGGAGATGGATTGGGAAAATGGCCCCTCTGTTTCTTCAATTTTAATTTTATTGGGTTGTTCTTAGGTCAGCTCGTTTCACGGGTTGGGTTGGGAGAAATTTGACCTAGCGGGTCAGGTCTCTTTTTTCCGGTTAAATTAGGCTGATTGGGAAATTCTGTTAGCCACGTCAGCAGATAACAGACTTTGTTAACGGAAACGGACGGAGACTAACGGAGAGTGACCAATCGTGAAACATTAAGTACTTTCAGTGACCACGCCCTTGGAGCGCACGCTCCTCTCCCGGCGGGTCGCTAGTGCAGCTTCTGTGTGATCTCGCAAATTTTCACTTATTTACCCCTTTGTGGTCCAGATTTAAACCCAAATTTTGGATTGTTGGGAAACCTCGTTGGAATTTGGAGAGGCTTACACTCTGTTTGGGAAGAGGGGTAAATAGGAGGAGGGTGCAAATGTGAGGGGGTAAACACAGTTTCCAATACATTTGCACCTGTTTGGTTAATTTGGAACAGTAGGGGGTGCAAAACGGGAGTGCAAATTTACTGTTTCGGCTTACCCCCCGAATTGGGGTGCAAGGGAAGGAAGGAAGAGAGGGGAAGGGGGAATTATGGAATTTTGTTTTTCTAATTGTGTTATATATAATTATTAATATTATCAATTTCTTCTTTTTATAAATATCATTACTGCAAACATTATTCGGGGTTGACCATTTGACTCTGGAAACAAGTTTATCAATGTTCGTCAAGTCAAATCTAGATCTCTTGGTTGAATCGAATTTGCATTGAAAATTAGAGATACGTGTTTGTGAAAAAGATAGAGAGACATTGTTTGGTTAACTCAGTTTATTTGACTAAATAGTTAAAACTTACAAATTCGAACGTGTTTGACTAAGTTTGACAATTTAAGATTAAACTAGACACGAAAACCCTATATAGGATGACCAGTTACGAGTTGAGCTTTGAGTTTTGAGATCGCTCGATCAATGATTATTACAATTGTTATAATTAATTCTTATTTGAGAATTATTATATAATAACTATTTTTAGTAAAGTATATTTATTATTATATAGTAATATTTATTTTATTATTTTATGATAATATTTTATAATTTTAAAATCTATTTTATAATCTTAAAATCTATTTTATAATCTTAAAATCTATTTTATAATCTTAAAATATATTTTAAAATAATATAATTACTTACTTTTCACTCTTTTTGCACCCCCCTACTTTGTCAACCAAACAACAATTTACCCTTCCACTTACACCCCCAGCAATTTGTACCCCCCAGCAATTTACCCCTCAACTTGCACCCTCCTCCAATTTGCACCCCCTTGTTGCCAAACAGAGCGTAAGAAGCAGCTAAGGGAAAGCAAAGTCAGGCATTTATGGAACGCCTATGGCTGGCCACCTTTCTATGTTTGGGCACTGTCCCATGTGTATTGCTTTTTTATTATTTTTGTGCAACTTTTTAATTTTCACAAAAATGAATAATTTACAATTGTTTAAGCTACCCCGGAAAACGAATAGCTGAAGAGAAGTGTGAAATAGGACGGACTGGGAGAGAGAAACCCTCCTCCTATAAACCCGGACTGGGAGTTTTCTGCGCTCTCATCACCCCCTCTGTTTTTGTTCGCCGGTTAACCACCTCCCTCCAGCGTTCAGTACAAGCAAAAGCACCCAAACTCTCGTTCATTTCTCTGATTTCCAACCCTTTGCCTTCTTTTCCTCTTCGTTCTTCCATTTTCTGCTGCAATGGAGTCAAAGCTTCTGATGAGTGGATCCCTTGCTCCTCCGACTAGTACCGTCTTCTCCAGTTGCGGCTGCGTCACCCTTGTACCGCGAGGCATTATGTACTCTGCTGTTGGGTAGGTATCTCGTTTTTGCTGTTTTTTTATTCTTCTTCTTCTTCTTTCTTTCGTTTGTGTTCCTCCAGGATCTCCGATCTTGCTATTCTTTGTGTTTGCTTTAATCCTTCGTCTATAACCGGCCTCTGATTTTTTTTTATTTTTGCGTTGCATTTCGTTCCTGCTCATTCTTTGCTCCCCCGACTACTACCTTGTTCTCCAGTACACTTCGCCGCTGCGTCACCCAAGGACCTCGAGGCATCACGTCCTCTGCTGCTGGGTAGGTATCTCGATTTTGCTGGTTCTTGTTTTTTTATTTCGTTTGTGCTCCTCCAGGATCTCCGTCCTCCGATCTTGCTCTTCTTTGTGTTTGCTTTAGTCCTTCGTCTACAGACGGCTTCTAATATTTTGTGCTTTTTGCCTTGCATTTCGTTCCTGGTCATCCTTTGCTCTCCCGACTAGTACCATCTTCTCCAGCGCACTTGGCGGCCGCGTCTCCTTTGGACTGCGAGGCATTACGTCCTCGGCTGCTGGGTAGGTATCTCGATTTTGCTGCTTCTTATTTTTTCTTTCGTTTGTGCTCCTTCAGGATCTCCGATCTTGCTCTTCTTTGTGTTTGCTCCAATCCTTCGTCTATAGCCGGTTTCTGATTTTTCTGTTTGTTGCGTTGCATTTCGTTCCTGGCCATCCACTCCTCCTCCGACTGCTACCGTCTTCTCCAGGACTCTTCCCGGCCGCGTCTCACTAGGACCGCGACGTATTTCCACGGCGCTTATTTGCTCAGCAAGCTCCGGCAAAGGTCGCTTTATGTCCTCCGCTGCTGGGTATGTTAATATGATTTTGCTGATTCTTTATCTCGTTCGTAGTTCGTACTCATTCTATGGCGGTATCTCGATATTGCTGTCTCTAGTTTTTTTTCTTTTGTGTTCCTCCAGAATCTCCAATCTCACTTTTCTTTGTGTTTGATTTAGTCCTTCGTCTATAGCGAGCTTCTAATTTTTCTTTTTGCCTTGAATTTTGTCTGTGATCGTCCATGAAGGATTCGTTTTCTGCCCTTTATTTTGGTTGTTAATCCTTGTGGTACTTTATATAAGTTAGAATCCCTCGCAATTGCTATTCTGCCAATTTGACTTTTGAGAATCTACACCGTATTTGTAATGAGAAGCTTGTGCGTATGTAGTCCAGACAAAGAATATGGCAACACTGTCAACCTTTAGAACTTCGTTGGACTTTTTGAACCTGGAATCGATTAGCCGCTCTCTGATTTGCCAAGAGGATAGCACAATTTACTGCTTACTGGAGAGAGCTCAGTACTGCTACAATGCATTTATCTATGAAGCGGATGCTTTCTCTGAGGATGGCCTTGAGGGTTCCCTAGTGGAACATGTTGTGAAAGAATCCGAAATGTTTCATGCCAAGGTACAGTGCTTTTGCTTAAGTTTTACATGGTTTTCATACATTCATGTGTCCTTGTCATGTTTATGTTTGACTGATCCTGATGGTGTTTTTCTGTAATAGCTGGGTAGATTTGAAAGTGCAAGCGAGCGTCCCTTTTTCCCCAATGAGTTGCCTGATATGTTTTCGCCACCAAATCAATACGTATGGAATGTGCAATTCCTTCTATCCATTAGAACTATAATAATAGGAAATTTTGATGTCTCAAATGTTATTTATTTACTCTTTTAACTTCTTTGAACAGGTAATAAATCACATTTGTGGTTAACATCAATTATTACATGTTCAAAGGGCAGAAAATGAATCATTCATGGACAACCACAGACAAAATTCAAGGCAAAAAGCAAAATTAGAAGCTCGCTATAGACGAAGGACTAAATCAAACACAAAGAAAAGCGAGATTGGAGATTCTAGAGGAACACAAAAGAAATAAAATAAAAACTAGAGGCAGCAAAATCGAGATACCTCCATAGAATGAATACGAACTACGAACGAGATAAAGAACCAGCAAAATCATATTAACATACCCAGCAGCGGAGGACATAAAGAGACCTTTGCCGGAGCTTGCTGAGCAAATAAGCGTCGTGGAAACGGTCCTAGAGAGACGCGGCCGGGAAGAGTCCTGGAGAAGACGGTAGCAGTCGGAGGAGGAGTGGATGTCCAGGTGCGAAATGCAACGCAATAAACAGAAAAATCAGAAACCGGCTATAGATGAAGGACTGAAGCAAACACAAAGAAGAGCAAGATCAGAGATCCTGAAGGAGCACAAATGAAAGAAAAAACAAGAAAACTACTTCCATCTCAATTTTATGGTCTTAAATATGCATACCAACATACAGGAGCAGTAGCCAATTGGATATTTGTTTTTCACCCTAATTCTAGTTAATCTGGATTCCTCTTTGCTGTAATTATGCTAGGTAACTAGGCAGCACATCAATTGTTCTGTTAATTTTTCTAATACTAAGCTGCAAAGTAATTGTTCCTCTTTGCCGTACTACATAACAGTTGTATTTGGCCTTTATTTAATCAGGGATGGATATTGAAGAAGATATCAATGTTGATGGAAAACATGATGAGGTTCAACAATTTGTTACTCGGGTTGCTAGTGATGATGATAATTTATATGGGAGAGTGGTTTCTAATGAAGAGGAAGCTTACAATCTCTACAATAACTATGCTTTGAGGACTGGGTTCAGTGTCCGTCGAGGCAAATACAGATATTCTGCTACAACGAAGAAAATAATTCAGCGTGAGTTTTTATGTTCAAAACAAGGAACTAGCATGAATGATGACTCGTGTGAGGCAAAAAAGGTGAATAGGATGGTAACAAGAACTAGGTGTAAAGCCTTTATTCGGTTCAGCATAGAGAATGAGGTATGGAAGATTACAGATTTCAACCTGACACATAATCATAAACTTGCCTTGCCATCAGAGCAACATCTACTCAAATCAGGCCGTAAGGTTTCAGCTAGGGGTGGAAATTGGGGTGGGTGTGGTTACCCGCCCCACATTTTGCGGGTACCCGCACCCACAAATTTACAATTATGCTACCCACAACTAGCACCGCACTGGTTAGTGGGTAACCACTATCCACTGTGGGTTTGTGCGGGTTGGGTTTGGTTACCCGCAAAAAACCATCTTTGCAAGCATAGAGTTCTAGTCACCACTAACGTATTTGTTGTTCGTAACTAGACTATAGTGATGTACACTTGTGTTGTTCGTGGAGATACAATTTTGTACATCAATCTTACTCAACGTGGGGATTTTTCTTTTTGAGTTTGGTATTCAACTTTTGTGTCAGAGAGCTGTGATTTCATATTTCCCCGACTAGGGGTGAAATATGACAATTAAATATGATCTTGTATTTTTTTTTATACAAAAGCAAAAACATATTGATAAAAGTTACAAAAATTGTTCACTTTTAATGAATTGATTATTCTCCATTCTATTGATTATAGTATTTTATAAACTAAAAAATTCTTATATAAAACTGATTAGGTGTCTCTTTTTTATTTGGTGGCTACTTTAATTTTTATCCTCACACTTTTCTCATACTATTATATTATAAAGTTAATTCACTAAATAAATATAATTAGTGTGGTTATTGTGAATTTTGTGGGTTAACCGCGGTGGGTAGTGGATAACCACTAACCACAAAAATCATTAATTTACTACCCACACCCAGCCCACTACCCACAAGTTCTGGGTATGGTTACCCACAATAGTTGCGGGTTGGTGCAGTTTGCGGATTATCCACAACCCGCAACCCAAACTTCCCCCCCCCCCCCCTAGTTTCAGCTGCTAAGGCAAGAGTGATTGACACGATGAAAGACGCAGGGCTTCGCACTAGAGATGCTTATTCATACTTAGGCAAAGAATATGGAAGAGCTCAAAATGTTGGATTCTTGCAAAAAGGTTGTTACAATCATGTGGATAGACAAAAGATGGTGAAAATTGAAGCAGGGGATGCTCAAAGCGTGATGAATTGTTTCAAGAAGAAGAAAGCATTAGACCCAATGTTCTTTTATGCCGTACAAGTCAACCAGAAGAATTGTTTTACTAATTTCTTTTGGCGGGATGGGAGATCCAGAATTGATTATGATTGCTTTGGAGATGTTATGATATTCGACACTACCTATAGCACAAATAAGTATAATCTTATTTGTGCACCATTTGTGGGTGTGAACCATCATAGGCAGAATACAATATTTGGTTGTGCCTTCATATTAGATGAGACTGTTGCAAAATTTGGGTGGTTATTCAAAGCCTTTTTAGAGTTGATGGGAAATATATCTCCTGTTACCATCTTCACTGATCAAGATGCTACTATGGCAAAGGCAATCAAGGAGGTTTTTGATGACAACACACATCGTTTATGCTTATGGCACATTAGCAAGAATGCACCTTCTCGTTTTGGTGATCTGAATGGAGATTCAGCGTTTCTGGAATTATGGAACAAGTGTTGTACATGATGCGAGCCAGAGAAAGAATTTAAAGACACCTGGGCTAAAATGGATGAAATATAGGGCATTGCAAGTAATAGTTGGCTTAATGGCATGTATGAAATTCGAAGAAAGTTGAGCACAGTTTACAGTCATGATTACTTTTCTGCCGACATCAGATCATCTCAGAGAAGTGAAAGTACCAATAATCTTTTGAATGGTATAGCAGAGAAAACCACATATCTTACTGATTTCACTGTCCAGTTTGATAATCTAGTTGCAAAATTGCCTTCAAGGGAGCAACAAGAGGATATTCGCTATAAGCAAGGTACTCCACCATTGATGGTTAAACATTCTGGTATTTTAGCACATGCTGTTGCCGTATATACCATTACTATGTACATGGTGTTCGAGAAAGAATTTCTATCTAGCATCGCAACTACATGGACAGAATCAAGTACTGATGGGTCGACATACACATATGAGGTGAAAGAAGAGGGGCGTAGTAGAGTTCGTACAGTGCATTTCGATATGCAGAAGAATGAGGTTTTATGTTCCTGCAAGAAGTTTGAGGCAAAGGGGATACTTTGTTGTCATGCTTTAAAAATTCTTAATATCACGAACATTACGAAGCTACCCACATACTATATTTTGAGACGCTGGACCAAAGAGGCAAAAAATAGGAATGATGGAGTATGAGAAAGATCCAGCTTCTATTAAAACCGAAGAAGCAGAAATAGTTTGGCGAAGCTCTATGATGCGTATAGCGAGTGGTTTCATATATAAAAGTCAACAACATGAAAACATTAGGAAAATATGTCAAGAAAGTTTGTTGAATCTTGAGTTGAAAGTCGAGCAAGAATTAGCTAAAGTAGACATGGGTAACCATGTTGAGTAAGAAGGTGGCGATTTAGAAGCAAATGAAACCCCAGTACTAGATCCTCCTCAAACTAAGTCAAAAGGATCAAATGGTAGAGTAAAAAGACACTTTGAGAAGCGTAAACCAAAACCAGGAAAAACTTCATCAAGTAAGTATTTCATATTTAGTGCCTCCTTATTTGTTAGAATTATAAAAAAAAAATTGTTTTATTAAGAAACTACTAAAAGGGTGTTCCAGAGAAAAAGCCTCAAACAAATGCACCTGAACAAATCCAAAGGAACCCTGGTAGGACCCTACATTGGCAAACTCTTCCACAGATTCGTGTCAATCTAACTTGTTACTGATTCCAATGGTTCTTTGGGTTTTTTTCCTGAATATGAGATTTCAATTATCGAATAATGTTTTCAATATGTAGTCAATGCCAAGTTTTAGTATGCCTCAACCTACTGGACTCAACAATTTTGCATTAGGAGAGCAACCATTTAGTTGCCTCAAGCTACTGGTTTCAATAATTTTGCAGCAGAACCACTGGTAGCTTATCTCTTCCATTTTTTTTAGTTTCACCTACTTTTGTGTATATTATGTCTAATAAATATTGAATGTTCTGACAGCGCGGGTCAGTTCCAAACCTTTCCTACATGAATATGATGTCAAATACTAGTCCAAGTCCAATGGGTCTTCTTAGTCAGGTTCATGATTTACCCTGCAAAATATGTCCAAAACTGTGTTTAACAACTTATCATGGCTGATTATTTACTTATCACAATTACAGAATGCTTTGCCTCAATCATACCCAGAAAAATCAATGTGGCCATTCTTATATGCAAATCAGGTTCATCCTTTAATTAAGAAAAATATAATGATTTTTGGCTTCTCCTAGTTGAAGATTATTTGATTCATTTCTCTAACATATCATCCTACATTTTATCATGATTGCAGACTTCAGAAACAGGAAATGGGACCTGAACATTACAGCTCAGGAACTCCCTCGAATTTCTTTTATCTTACGTTGCATTTTAGACCACTCATGGACATGGAACTACTATTTCCAACTTGACTGTTATCGTTATGTCTTAACCATTTCAGTTGGTTAGTACAAGTTTAAGTTGATTGTCGAATATTATGCAATCTACAACTTGTTTTGCTCAATTACTTTTTTCCATGTTCGATGTTGCTGTTGTAAAAAACTGCAGATTTTGCTTCTAAAAATGCTACTGCAATTTACTTCCCATTAAGATATTCACAACTCTGTTTCTCTACATAGATCACTTATGGTCTCTACTTACATCAGGCAAACATCCCTCTAATGAAAACATGCATATGCTACTGGGGCACCACCAATGTTTCATTGTTGTCTGGCTCTCTCCCTCAATCAATCGCTCATGCATTCATTTGCTTGCTGCCCAAAAGGGATCCACTCGAAAAGGTCTATGATTTTCGCCCGATCAGCTTATGAGGAAGCGTCAATTAGGTCATCACAAAAGTGTTGTTCAATCAACTTCAACCCCTTATGAACACTCTCATCTCAGATTATCAGTTTGCAGGGAAAAAGGGCAGAGTGATTCATGAATCTTGTTTGATTGCCAATGAATTAATCGACAGTAGAAGAAGAAGTGGGAAGCCCGAATTAGTAATTAACCTGGACATTGAGAAAGCGTTTGACTCCATCTCTTGGGAGTGCATCTTTAAAGCCCTGACTCATCTTGGATTGCATTCCAGGTTTCGAAAATGGATTAAAGGTTTGATTTCTTCATCGATACTATCCATTTTAATTAATGGGGAATCTGTTGGCTTCTTCGGAATGAGTCGTGGTATTAATCAAGGCGATCCACTTTCACTCTTTCTCTTCAACCTTGGTATGGATATCCTCTCTTTCATCCTCTGTGAAATAAAGAATGCTGGGCACATTAGCGGTTTCTGTATTGATGAAGAAAGGCATCGTGGGGAAGTCACACACTTGCTCTACGCGGATGATGTTATCCTCTTTTGTGAAGCTAATGAATCAGAGGTGCGTAACTTATTGGCTACCCTCGTCTGTTTCCAGGCAATTTCCGGCTTACAGATCAACCTAAGAGTTTCGTGTTCATCGGGTTGCGAGTTCATCGGGTTCGAGTTCAAACGGATTGTGGGTTTATCGGGTTTGCGTTCAATCGGGTTGCAAGTTTATCAATTTTTGGGTCAGGCGGGTTGCGGACGGATCGGGTTGCGAGTTGTTCGGATCAGCGCATCGAGTAACTTACTACTTACTCGTTACCAACTTACACATTTTATTACACTAATTTAAAATGTTTTTCTAAATTTTTAACCAATTTCTTTCTACCTCATATATATACTATTTTTTTTTAAGTTAAAATGTTGAATCAATTTGTATGACTTGTAAACTTGTTATGTAATTAATTTTAATTGGTAAAGTACACTAGCTAATAGTAATGATGATATCAACATTTGCAACCAAAAGACACCATTAATTATTTATTTGGTATTTTAGTATTATTTAAGTAGTAATTGGATTAAAGTATCTCGTTTAGTATAACCATGCAAACATGGTATTTGGCAAAAGCATAGTGGTAAAATGAGTTATTTCGAAATAACTTATTGCCCATTGATAACGATGTAATTGCACATATTTGTGCCCCTAGTTCTTATCCGTTTGAGGGGCATAGTCGTGTACTTTTGGCCTATTTTACGCCGGGTTGTGCTATTTTGTCATATTTCAGGTCCCAGGCGTCAAAGGAAAGGCTAAGCACGAGTTTCGGGGCATTCAGAAGTCATTTCGTCGAGCTGGAGCCAAAACACGGGCACACCTAATTCATTACACGACCGTGTTCTCCCAAAGCACGGCCGTGTTCTCTCCAAAACACGGCCGTGTTCTGTGGCCGTGCTTTTACTGCCGAGAGCTAATTCGAGTTTGGCAAACATGAGCTGATTACACGGGCTGAAAGCACGGCCGTGTTCTCCCAAAGCACGGCCGTGTTCTCTCCAAAGCACGGCCGTGTTTCTCCCAATGCACTGGCCGTGTAATTAACACTAGCCAAAGCACGGGCGGGCTGAGGCAAAGCACGGCCGTGCCCTCGATCGTGCTTTGGCCAGTGATGCCCTTTTAAGCAGATTTTCAGCCTAAGAGAAGGGGATTCGAGTTTTGAGAGAGATAGAGCGATTCCTAGAGAGAGAAAGCGACGAACAAGAGTCTCCAAGTGCCCTAGCTTGATCTTCATCACCATTGGAGGCCAGTTTGAGCTTGGAGAAGTGCCGATCAACGTCCAGGAGCAGGAATCCATCCTTCACAGTATGAATTCCGCGTCTGATTCTACTTTTGCTTCTTTCTCCATGGAGTAGTTCTCCCATTCATCTGGGTATGGAGAACCCTAGATTTGTATGTTAGGCTTTGATTGTATGAACCCAAGTACTGATTCTATGATCTAATTATATTCGATTGAGGTTTGAATGATTGAATGACTTGAATCCTGATCAAATTCATGTTGTTTCTGCTTTAACCTAGAATGAGAATATCTGCCTAGGTTGATAGAGCATCCTTGATTGAAGGTAGGGAGTTGGTGACTTTAGTCGAGGAGCCAACTCACTATTCTGTACCGGATTCATTCCGGTAGTGGAGGTTTTGTTTGTTAAGGCCTCAATCTGTCTACTCCGGTGGAGGTTAGTCGCCCGCTAGAGATTCAGATTGAGAGGGTCTGAAGACCTTTAGTCGAGACTTCAGGCTGTTTAAGAATCTTCCGCAGTATAACTATCATAGAAACTGAACTTGGTAATTACAATCCGGCTTAACTGCAGTCTAGGGGGAACCATATCCGGGTGACCTCTCTTAACCTGAATACAACAGTTTACTTGCTTTGTTAGTTTGTTAGTTTAAACCTGTATTAAAGTTTCATTGCTAGATAACAAGAATTCACTGAGTAGTCATCAAATCTAGGACCCGGGTTGATAATTAAACCCAAACCCGCTATACTACGCTTTAGGAAGTGGTTTCACTTGGCCAATTCCTGGAGTGACAGTAGAAGTGAGTCAAGTTTTTGGCGCCGTTGCCGGGGACGGCTAGGTTGTTGAAGAAAAGTGATTTCTGTTAATTTAGCTTTTCTTTTTGCTTTGTTTGCTTTGTCCCACTTGTGCCTTCACGGGTTTGCTTGCTTGGGTGTGTGCAGGTAGTGCATGACCCGTAGCCAGTCAGGAGGTTTACTGCCATTGAATCCAGAGATTGACCGCACCTGTCGCCAGCTCAGGAGACAACAGCGAGCTAGACTGGCTAAGGACGAGCGCATAGACGGCCACCTGAGTAGCGATTCTGAAGAAGAGTACATGATGGATGGAGACTACAATCAACACCAGGGGAATCCGCAGCAGGTTCCCCCGGTGAATCAGGTCCTGGGGAACAACCCCATACCCCAGGATCATGGAGTTCATCATCCACCGCAGCCGGGTCCCACCTTGGAGTACTACTACACTCCTCGGATTGCTGACATCCGCCCGGTCATCCTCTACCCGCCTATTCCAGCAAACAACTTCGAGATCAAGCCATGCTGGATTCAGCTCATTACATCCTCTATCCAGTTCCATGGCTTGAAGGATGAGGAGGCCAGGGTACATCTCTCCCGTTTTCTGCAGCTGACGAACGGGTTCAAGCTGAATGGTGTCCCGGATGATGCAATTCGCCTTCATCTCTTCCCTCATTCTCTGGCGGGGAATGCTAAGAGGTGGTTGGAGACCCACCCCCCATTGTCCATCACCTCTTGGGACGATCTGGCTGACAAATTCGTGCAAAGGTACTATCCGGCATCGAAGACTACAGAGATCCAGCGGGAGATCACTCACTTCCGCCAAGAGCTAGATGAGTCACTTCGTGATGCTTGGGAGCGGTACATGGGCTATTTCTGGCAGTGTCCCCATCATGGCTTCAGTGATGCATTCACAGTGGGGAACTTCTACAGTGCCCTCTCTCCAGATAGCCAGAGGGTGATTGAGTCTCTATGCCCAGGAGGGGATATTCTTACTAAGACTCCACCCGAGCTGAACCAGATGATCAGTACTTTGGCTGCCAGAGATCATTCTTGGGGACAGGGTAGCCGAGGCAGACAGTCCCGGGACCGTGGTGTGCACGCCATGGAGACCAGATCCGGGCTCGAGCAGCAGGTAGCTGAGCTAGTGCAGACATTGAAGCAGCCCAACAGTCTTATTCCGGGCAGAGGTTTGGCTACACCTCCAGTTGCTCAATGCCAGTGGTGTGAGAGCTCGAATCACCTAGTGGAGGACTGCCAGGCTATGAGGGAGTCTACCACTCCCTAAGAGCAGTTGGACTTCATCGCCAATGTTCGGCGCCTTGAACCGTACAGCAGCTCATATAATGAGGGGTGGCGCCAGCATCCCAACTTCGCCTGGAGCAGCAACACCACTAAACCACCTGGTTTCCCAGCACCAGCAGGTGGTTTTCAGCAGAGGCAGCCCTTCCAGGCTCGATAGGGGCCAGTTCCACAGCAGCAGCCCTACCAGCCTAGGCAAGGGCACCCATTCCAGCAGCCCCAGCGCCCGTTTGCCGAGCCAGCAGCAACCCCAGTTCCAGATACTCAGATGACGAAGCTGGAAAATATTCTAGCTTCATTCATGACTAGCACTCAGGCAGCTATCACATCACTGGAGGCAGGTCAGAGGAACCAGGGTGCCATCTTGCAAGATCTGCAAAACCAGGTGAGTATCTTGGCCCGCCAGAACACCACCAGGACACCGGGGACTTTGCCTACCACCACTATCCCGAATCCTCGGGATCCTCACCAGCATCAGCAGCTGGATGCCATTTTTACCAGGAGCGGTAAAACCATATCTGCTGATCCTGTCCCGGCCAGACAGGAGGAACCACTACCTGCTTCAGCACTTCCAGCCGACGATGCAGAAGTGCGGGTGGAGAAGGAAGCCCCTGCTCCCAAGCCACAACCAGTGGTTAAGGAGCATGTGCCCCAGCTTTCCTTCCCCACTCGCCTACACAAAGACAAGCTGGAGACTGAGTTTGCCAAGTTCATGGCAATGTTGAAGCAGCTCAACATCAGCATACCGTTCGTGGAGGCACTGTCGAAGATGCCCAAGTATGCCAAGTTCATGAAAGACGTCCTCACCGACAAGAAGAAACCTGGGGATCTTTCGACAGTGATGCTCAGTGAGGAGTGTTCTGCTATCCTGCAGAACAAGCTGCCCGAGAAGCGCAAGGATCCAGGGAGTTTTACTATCCCTCTTACTATTGGCAGCATGCATGTAGGCAAGTCCTTGGCGGACCTAGGCGCTAGCATAAATGTCATGCCATATAAGTTGTATAAAAAGCTAGACCTAGGTGAACTTAGCCCTACTAGGATGAGCATTCAGCTAGCTGATCGTTCCATTGTGCATCCTAGGGGAATCATAGAGGATCTGCTTGTTAAAGTAGGTGCATTCACATATCCTGTTGATTTTGTTATTCTTGATATACATGAGGATGTGGATGTGCCTTTGATTCTGGGTAGACCATTTCTTGCCACCGCCAAGGCACTTATTGATGTGCATGATGGTAAACTGATCCTGCGTGCTGGGAATGAACAGGCTACTTTTTCTGTGACTGAATTTGATCACTGTGCTATGATTGCTGTCACACCTGTGCATGCCATTTCTGATCAGGTACACGAGCCTGTCGTGTATCCTTCTGCACCTCTCATTTTGCAGGACCCTCCTATCATTCCTTCGCCGCCACTCCATCCAGTCTCGCCTCCGAACAAAAATATCAAGGAGGAGTGGCGGCCGAAGCAGCAGGTTGCTAAGCCTGCACGGAAGAAGAGTGGAGACCACTATGAGCTGGTCCCACCTCCGGCACCACGACCACGCTGGCCGTCGGGGTACTCACTCGCCTGCATCTTGCCAGATGGGCAGGTCGAGCTGACCGATGATGGTGGTCGCATCCGTCGGGTGCATGGCCACAACCTGAAGTTGTACCTCAAGAGCGACGTGGATCCGCTCTTGGAGGCACCTGTTCCTGCACCTCCCTGAGTATCCACCTGTGCATGCCATTTCTGATCAGGCTACTTTTTCTGTGACTGAATTTGATCACTGTGCTATGATTGTTGTCACACCTGTGCATGCCATTTCTGATCAGGTACACGAGCCTGTCGTGTATCCTTCTGCACCTCTCATTTTGCAGGACCCTCCTATCATTCCTTCGCCGCTACTCCATCCAGTCTCGCCTCCGAACAAAAATATCAAGGAGGAGTGGCGGCCGAAGCAGCAGGTTGCTAAGCCTGCACGGAAGAAGAGTGGAGACCACTATGAGCTGGTCCCACCTCCGGCACCACGACCACCCTGGCCGTCCGGGTACTCACTCGCCTGCATCTTGCCAGATGGGCAGGTAGAGCTGACCGATGATGGTGGTCGCATCCGTCGGGTGCATGGCCACAACCTGAAGCTGTACCTCAAGAGCGACGTGGATTCGCTCTTGGAGGCACCTGTTCCTGCACCTCCCTGAGTATCCACCATGGGCGTCCAGCTAAAAGACGGTAAAGAAGCGCTTGTGGGGAGGCAACCACACCACGGTTTGACTTTCTTTCTTGTGTTTTGAGTCGGATTGTAAACCAGTTTGGTTTTGGTTTGTTTTCTTTTGTTTTGGATGATGTCTTATTGGGCTGACATTGGACCTAACATATTGTGTTTGAGCTCTTCTGTTCCCCTTTAGCTGTGCTTGGCTTGACTGGTCCTCTATCCAGTTCGCGTCACTCGACTGGTCCGCTTCCAGCCTCCTGCAGTCCGTGCATACCGGTAACATCGTTCCCCTTTCCCTTCCCTCTTCTCCATTGAGGGAAATGTCGATCTTAAGTGTGGGGGATGTTTATCTTTAACTGCATTAGATCTGTTTGTGTGCTTGGAGCCTAGTCCACTGTCCAAATTTTTAAATTTGAGGGCTCCAAGTACGTGTTTCCGTGCAATTGCCTGCTCAATATGCTTTGAATTGACAGTCTTTATAGTAATATGCAACCTAGGGAGGTAGTGTAGCACTATGGAGGATGTTGATGCATTTAAGAAGTCTCGTTTCTTCTTCATATTGTGTTGGTTGATTGAGTGAATTAGTGATCTTAGGACCCTTGAGTTGTGTGGTGTTGTGGACTCTCTACCTGTCATGGACTCTTGTATCATGTTTTGAGTTTAACAGGTGCTCGAAAATGTGCTTCAAATAACGTCTCCCGTGCGAATAGGGCGAACGTGTGTAAGGGGAGACGGGAATTCGTTCCCAATTTCCACCTACTACCTCCAGCCCCCTTACATGTCTTCCCCCGCACGAGGCTCGAGACATCCGCTCCTGGCATGGCCGGTAAGAGCAGGTTGGGACCCTTGAAAAAAAAGAAAAAAAATGACAGAAAACAAGCAAAACAGAAAGAAAAGGGGTTCCAACCATCTTCAAAGAATATAGAGCACCTTGAAAAATGTGAGTCCATGATCTTTTGTTTTTGAGAATCTCTTCATCCACAATTCATTTGTCCTCTGTTCACTATTTGCCATGATGCCAACTCGATACTAGTGCTCTCGCCGAAGAAGCTATGAGATGACTTGTGCGTCGGTTGACCTCGTAAGTTGCTAAATGATCTAGGAAGTCCTCTACCTAAGATCTGGGTTGTTTGTTGCTATAGAGGTCTGGAGAGTTGCATTGGTTTGAGTTAGGTTTGCTTGGGGACAAGCAAACGGTTAAGTGTGGGGGAGTTTGATAACGATGTAATTGCACATATTTGCGCCCCTAGTTCTTATCCGTTTGATGGGCATAGTCGTGTACTTTTGGCCTATTTTACGCCGGGTTGTGCTATTTTGTCATATTTCAGGTCCCAGGCGTCAAAGGAAAGGCTAAGCACGAGTTTCGGGGCATTCGGAAGTCATTTCGTCGAGCTGGAGCCAAAACACGGGCACACCTAATTCATTACACGGCCGTGTTCTCCCAAAGCACGGCCGTGTTCTCTCCAAAACACGGCCGTGTTCTGTGGCCGTGCTTTTACTGCCGAGAGCTAATTCGAGTTTGGCAAACATGAGCTGATTACACGGGCTGAAAGCACGGCCGTGTTCTCCCAAAGCACGGCCGTGTTCTCTCCAAAGCACGGCCGTGTTTCTCCCAATGCACTGGCCGTGTAATTAACACTAGCCAAAGCACGGGCGGGCTGAGCCAAAGCACGGCCATGCCCTCGACCGTGCTTTCGCCAGTGATGCCTTTTTAAGCAGATTTTCAGCCAAAGAGAAGGGGATTCGAGTTTTGAGAGAGATAGAGCGATTCCTAAAGAGAGAGAAAGCGATGAACAAGAGTCTCCAAGTGCCCTAGCTTGATCTTCATCACCATTGGAGGCCAGTTTGAGCTTGGAGAAGTGTCGATCAACGTCCAGGAGCAGGAATACATCCTTCACCGTATGAATTCCGCGTCTGATTCTGATTTTGCTTCTTTCCCCATGGAGTAGTTCTCCCATTCATCTGGGTATGGAGAACCCTAGATTTGTATGTTAGGCTTTGATTGTATGAACCCAAGTACTGATTCTATGATCTGATTATATTCGATTGAGGTTTGAATGATTGAATGACTTGAATCCTGATCAAATTCATGTTGTTTCTGCTTTAACCTAGAATGAGCATATCTGCCTAGGTTGATAGAGCATCCTTGATTGAAGGTAGGGAGTTGGTGACTTTAGTCGAGGAGCCAACTCACTATTCTGTACCGGATTCATTCCGGTAGTGGAGGTTTTGTTTGTTAAGGCCTCAATCTGTCTACTCCGGTGGAGGTTAGTCGCCCGCTAGAGATTCAGATTGAGAGGGTCTGAAGACCTTTAGTCGAGACTTCAGGCTGTTTAAGAATCTTCCGCAGTATAACTATCATAGAAACTGAACTTGGTAATTACAATCCGGCTTAACGGCAGTCTAGGGGGAACCATATCCGGGTGACCTCTCTTAACCTGAATACAACAGTTTACTTGCTTTGTTAGTTTGTTAGTTTAAACCTGCATTAAAGTTTCATTGCTAGATAACAAGAATTCACTGAGTAGTCATCAAATCTAGGACCCGGGTTGATAATTAAACCCAAACCCGCTATACTACGCTTTAGGAAGTGGTTTCACTTGGCCAATTCCTGGAGTGACAGTAGAAGTGAGTCACCCATATAAAGCAAACTATTGCTAAACGAGTTATTTGCAAAATTGTTTGAATTACCCTAAAAATTGAACCATTAAAGGTAAACTATCAAATTTAGTAAAATTGTTGTGACTTCAATCATAACTTACTCAATAACATATATCTTATACGCTTAACCTTACCCTTAATCGACAATATTAAGTTAGTATATTAGTATATGTTGTTGATCGTATACCCTAAACCATCAATATATTATACACTAGCCACACACCCTATACCCTAGCGATATATCCTTATGAGTTAAGATTTTGCTAGTTTAGTTAATTTAAAGTGAAATTCATACTTTGATTTTCAAAACATAGATAAAAAAGTTATATTTGCTATACCCTGACCATATATCCTATACTCTACACTATATATCCTATACCCTAACTACAGTCAAATTTAGTGAATTTTTCTAAAACAAATTATTGTTATAACTAATGATGACATGCAAAGTCCCATATACTTTGCATGTCATCGTAAAAAATAATGTATCATTTATTTTATAAGAATAAAAGTTAAATTTTGATATTGTTTGTTGGATTTAAGTATAAACATTTAGGTGTTATTGTCAAATGTTGTATTTAAATATGAGTATTCCTAATTTTATTTGAAATATCACATTTTATTTATATATCAATATCATTTGTAAGTAAATTGTCTTCAATTATGTTCGATATATGATTAAATTCCTTATATGTTAATGATTTTTCATATTTGTATATATTTTGTTGAATCGACACAAACCAAATATACCAGTTTTATAGTTGACCACCACGTAAGTAAAAGTTAACGCAGTTGGACGGAGAGTGACCAAACGTGAACGATTTCAATAAATTGAAATACCATCAATGGATTTAAATATTTTGAGTGACCAAAATTAAACTTTTTTTTCTCAGTAACCACCCATGCAATTAATCCGATTTTGGAACAAGATCAAACAAATAGTTGGTATTGGTACTAGTTTGGTACCCGGTCCGTTGGCCGGGTAAATTTTGTTTGAAATATGTACTTTGGTAACTTTTTCCTCCTAAGGTGTCTATTTTGTTCAGTCTGTCATTGTCCTCTCTCATTTCAAATCGTGTATACCTTTGAGTCCGACCAGTTGGCCGCTAAATGATTTTTTTTAAGGTAAATTAGTTTGTACTGCACGACAATATTTTAGCACCCATGAAATTGTTGTGCATTATTATTATGATATTACAAAATTAAACATTGATATTATTTAGTAACTCAGTAGAATAAGAAATTTGTTCTGCGATCTATGTTAGTATATACTTTATGGCGGTACAATTGAATGATATTGATATAGTTTCGCAACTATCGAATAGGAACATGCCTTGTATATATATGATTGTGGCTATGTTTAAAAAAAATATATATCAAAATGGATATCCTTGTGTAGATCACATAAAATCTTATTTTTTCGCGCAATAATATTTAAATTTGGAGTTGAAGCGAAATAAATATGAATCAATTAAGAGTAGTAGGGGAGATTTAAAAATAAGAGAGAGAGAGAGAGAGAGAGAGAGTTAAGTGGCACATTCTGATTGGGGTATAGAAAAACTTAAAATAAAAAAAAGGAGTTAAGAAAAAATCTGATTGGTCGGAAGGGTGCTGACGTGGATGCGTAGGAGGGCTGGAATTTTGAAATGGTGAAGGTAGTTTTTGGAAAAGCCTTTATATATTTTATAGAAGATGGTTGGTAAAATCTCTTTGGGTAGCTCAGTGCGGTGTAAGTGGACGTTGCCCGTATTCGTCGTCGGGACTTGATTGGTAGACAAAAGAATCGACCAATAAAATGCCGGACAGCGAATGTCAGTGGCCGCGCGAGGCTGCCCGACGGATCCCTCCAGTTTTCTTCCTTGTCCTCTCTCGCATCAATATCTGCTGTCACCTTCTTCACCTAACCCCTCTCCTTTCCTCTCCGCTCCCTGCTCAGCCACCAACTCCAATCACAAGGCACCCCTGAAATCCCCTCCCATCGAAAAAAGAAAGAAAATAAAAACCCGTTACTCTCTCGCGTCCAAGGCTGCCTTCCTTCCTCCCACGATTCCTCCTTCGTACGAGGCTAGGATGGAGGCCGAACTTTTGCCTAGAGCTTACTTTGCACCTGGAATTGCAGCTGCTCCGACTACAGATGCCTTCAAGTTCTCCAGCCCACTTTGCTGCCGTCTTTCTCTGGGAACACGAGGGGTTTCAGTGTCCTCTTCAAGTCCTGCCAAGCATCGCATTTTCTGTGCCAACTCCTCCGCTGGGTATGTCATCCCTGATTTCTTCCCCAATATTGATTGCTACCGTTGACAGTTAGACTAGGCCTAACTGAACAACAGTTTGCTTCTTTGTGCAATGCACGTTGATTTCATGAGTTTGGTGCTGTATATGGAGAAAATGTTAGATGGAGGCGCTCAATCCGATTCTTGCTTGTATTGAATGTTTGGCTGATAGAGTGCCAATTGCCCTTTTCCCACTGGTTTTCTGATTCCAGATATGTGTGTATGTGTGTGTGTCAGTGTGCGTGTGTTTGGTTGAAGATTTTTGGGGTGTCCATTTGGGTCTGCAGTCTGCTTGTGTGCCGTCAGCAGTCAGCTATGATTGGTAATCAAAAGTGAGCTTCATGCTTGACAAAGGAGATTGTCATAGTAACTAGTATGCCCAATTGACTATTTAGTTTAGAGATACCATTTACTTATCACGGCTTGGTCTGAGTAAACCTTGGGTCCAAAATTCCCAAATATCTATCTACTGTTCTGCTATTTTGCTTCTTGTTTCAAAGGGCCATGGGTTATGGTTAGATTCCATAACCTATTGGTGATATGAGGGTTCTTTCTTTGTAGTTTGGAGAAGAAGGAAAGGGTGGACGAAAGTGACACTCTGACACTAGAAAGCGTAAGGCTTTCCTTGATTCGTCAAGAAGACAGTATAATATACAACCTTTTGGAGAGATCCCAATACTGTTACAATGCCGATACCTATAATCCGGATGTTTTTTCCATGAATGATTTTCACGGTTCTCTAGTTGAATACATCCTTAAAGAAACTGAAAAGCTTCATGCCAAGGTGCATTTCTTTTACTAAACTTATAATCTTGGGATGAAATGAATTCATCAAGTGTGTAGAATATGCTGTTTTCACTATTTTGGAAAACAGGTAGGCAGATACAAAAGTCCCGATGAATATCCTTTCTTCCCAAATGATTTACCTGAACCATTGTTGCCACCAATGCAATATCCCAAGGTATGATGTGATATGTGAAGTCATGAGTTCCTTCTATCTCATTAGAACTATCATTTGTTTATTTGCCATTTTGAGCTTTAGAAGTTCTAGTTTTCTTGATGCTTTTGGAGTTTATATTAACGATAGTATTAAGAGCATCTCTGCTATCTCTATAAATTGCCTGAATTATTCATTTGAGTTTGTTTTGACTTTTTCGAACAGGTATTGCATAAAGTTGCCGAATCAATTAATATTAACGACACAGTATGGAACATGTACTTTAAAGATCTACTTCCGAGATTGGTCAAGCTAGGAAATGATGGAAATTGTGGTTCCTCAGCAGTATGTGACACAATCTGCCTCCAGGTGTGCATTTTTCAAACTATCTACCTTCCCCATTTCAGACACATTGAAGTTGAACATGTAGATGACTTCTCTTCTGTGAAAATCCGAGAGTTGTACAAAAACATGTCCAGCGAGGAGGTAATTGGGTAGTTATTACTTGGGAAACAAGAAACTTGAGATCAAGGGGGAAAGCCATAAACACACTTTTAGGGTAGTTATAACTAACTATTGTCGTGGGACAAAGATCACTTCCTCTTCTGAACATTTTCTGTTTGTTGATTGTTGAGAGCGCTGTCTGTCATCTTTTGCATAATAGTGGTACTGTCATGATAGTTAAAATGTTTTTCCTTAACATTATGAGGCAGTAACTGACCTGGTGTGAGTTCTTATTTAGAACTTAGGCACACCAGGTTTCTAAATCAACCCTTTCTCATCGTCTTGTTGCTAAGACTCTGATTGAGCTAGACTTCCTACTCTTGTGTTGGTATTAGAATACTAGAACTGGAAAAGAGTGATACTTTTGCTATGAAAAGAGGTTGTTTTTATATGAATTAAGGTAAATTGTGATGCAAATGTATAGTTTGATGACCACATTGTAATCATATTATTTACTCCTCTTTCATGAAACCATATAATATCACTGAGGTACTATGGGTCTTTAAACATATGAGTAGGACGGTCTTGTGGTCTTATTGAAGAATTATGCCACCGGTTTTAAATTCTGTATTGTCTGAAATGCTATACTTATTGTTGCTTTGCAGTTTACCTCGTTCTATAGCTGCATTATTCTTTGAACACCTGGATGGTGGATTCACACAATATGGTTTTCACATTGCAGGCTCTTTCTAAAAGAATTCATTATGGGAAATTTGTAGCTGAGTCCAAATTTCGAGCAAACCCAAGTGACTATAAAACTGCTATTGAAGTGCAAGTAGGTCCTTAAAACCAGAGACCGTGGTGTTTTGTTCCTGATATGTTTTCTCGAGATACTTACTATGTTGATCTTTGGATGAACTTGTTGAAACTTTGTAGGACAGGGAAGGATTGATGGCTTTGTTAACATACCCAGAAGTGGAGGAAAGAGTAAAGGAGAGGGTCGAGCTGAAAGCCAGGACCTTTGCTCTAGAAGTGACAATGAAAGAAGGCAAAGTTGAATCTGAAACAGTATACAAGATTGAACCAGACTTGGTTGCTGATCTCTATGGGAGATGGATCATGCCACTCACAAAGGAAGTCCAAGTTGAGTACTTATTGAGAAGGCTGGATTAGGATGTGAAACCAAGTTTGTTTCTGAATGTTTTCCACGGTAGGAGAGATTTTATAGTATTCCAATGTAAAGATTGAACGAGCAGGAATCACTGGATCTGGAAATTGGGAAGAAACCCTATATGCTATGAAAATGCAGATATTGGTTTTCATGAATGATATTCAATAGACGAGGTTCTTCTTTCCTCTTTAGTACTTTGATTTTCGATTGATAAGTATGTGTGAGGATGCAAAGAAGATTATTTCATGAATGGTATTCGATAGATGAGACTCTTTCTTACCCCTTTTTGTCATTTGAGATATTAATTGGGATCAATATGCCTTGTATCAGTTGTATGCGTGAGGATGAACCGAAAACTAGCAGCAGTCAACTCTACATCCGACATTTGAAAGTGGAATGAGTGATGATTGACTTTCTCAGTTTTGAACCCGACAGAAGGTCTTATAAGTTTTGACAGGGGACGGGATACGGTGACAACCCCTAAGGGGTTGTCAGATTCACAACCAAGGGTATTTTGGGTATGAAAAAAAGGAATATATTAATTACCTCTTTTGTATTAATTATATTGGAAATTAAAAACCCATATTAAATACAATTTTTTTTTAAATTTAAATCCTATACATTAATATCTCTATCTATCTCTCTCTCTCTTCCTTTCTCCAGCGGCCACTCCGCATCGACCGACAAACTTTTTCTCCGGCGAATTCTCTCCGGCAGACTCCCTCCGGCAACCTGAAAAAATGTACCAATGTGTTAAAAAGTGTACCAATCTATTAGTCTACTGGTAATTAATATACCAGTGCTAGTGGTACGCTACCAGTACGTTAAAAAATGTACTAGTACTAGCGGTACCAATAAAAAATGTACCAGTACTAGTGGTACGCTACCAGTAGAGAATAACACAACGCTACTAGCACTGGTATTGGTACTAGTGAGTAGTGGTAGCGTACCAATAGCGCTACCAGTGGTATTGGTACCAATAGCGCTACCAGTGGTATTGGTACCAATAGCGCTACCAGTGGTATTGGTACCAATAGCGCTACCAGTGGTATTGGTAGCGGTACCAGTAGAGAATAAAAAAAAACAGAAAAATAAAAAGCACTCACAAGGAGGAGAAAATTACGAATCCAAACACGAACATAGAAAGAAAAAAATTTCCCCTCCTGGAATCCGATTCCTCGCTAGGAAAGAAAGCACACAAACCAGAACAAACGCACACAAAAGCAAAATTGACCTCCAGAATCCATATCGTTCTCACCCAAGCCAAACACAATGCGGCAAAGAAGCAGACCGAGAGTAAAGTTACCGGAGCGGGAGAGATCGAGATCTGCGCCGGCGGCGAGCGGGGGAACTCGGGAAGAGCGGGGTTGGCGATCAGATCTAGAAACGCGAGGAAGAATGATGATCGAATGCAAAAACCTAGAGGAATAGCTTGGATTTGCGGACGGAAATCACATAAATCAAAGCAAAGCAAAAGAGAAGAAGAGGCAGAGCGGGGGCGCTAAAAGGCAAATGTGTGCATTTGGTTTTGGTTTTGCTGGATGTGTTGCGCAGAAACAGCCAGAAAGGAAGGAACTGCGGTGGTGGGAGGGTTGTGGCGGCGGAGAGTGGGGAGGAGAGACGGTAATGTCTACGGGAGAGAGGGAGGATGGAGGAGTTAGGGTTTTTGTTCTTTTTATATGGTAGGGTGAATGATTGGGTGTGGTAAGTTTTTACCCTTCCAAAAATATCCTTCCTTTAATCTTAACCGTTAATTTAAAAAAAAAAAAAGAGACAGGAGAGAGAGTATCCAAGGGCTATGAAGTGGGTTGTGAATCTGACAACCCCCTTTGTCACCGTATCCCATCCCCTTTTGCACAGAGTGAGAGTAGAGTAGGGAGGAGAATGGGATGCGCCATGATTGAAGCCGCGTTTACCGTGACAGAACGATGGCGCCAGTAGAGAGGAGGGGGGAAAATGCTGTTCAGGTCACTGAAATTAGAAATCGTAGGCAAGTGTCACATAGACATAGGATAGGGAGCTTAACCGTCGTCGTCTCTGTAATGACAGGCGCCTGCTTTGACTATGTTTGTCATTTCTGTTTAACCTAACGGCAAAAGACAACGTTAATAATCTTTTTGCTTGCTTCTACGGCGGTTGTAGATCCAGACAGACAGAGGAGTGAGGACAGAGTGGACAAACTCTCTCCTTTCTCGGCTTTTCCTTTCTCCTCTTAAAAGCAGCAGTTACAACAGCGTCTCTGGATATTTCTAGTCTCTAGTCTCTACTATAATTTTTTGTCCTCTGCCCAGAGAAGAGCGTTCTCAAGTCAGACAGAGACAGAGAGAGGGCAGGAACAGCAATGGAGAAGAGGCTGCTGACATTGGCGGCGGTGCTATTCGCCCTGGTCGCGGTGGTGCCGGAAGTTTCTGCTACGAGATGGACTGTTGGATCCAAAATGGGGTGGACTACTAATGTCAACTACACTATCTGGGCTCAGAATATCACGTTCTACAATGGCGACTGGCTCTGTAAGTCCCCCTCTTTCTAAATCTTCTCTAATTTCTTATTCTCGTTAATTGAACTTCAGATCGTTATTACTTGACCTTCCGTAAAGCCAGTCCAAAGACTCTGCTGCATACTTTCTGCTAAAAGATTGTTGCCCATTTCGGGAATTCGCATTTACAGATCTGGGAAGTGTGAATTGGAAATTAAAGTTGAGGGCTTTTTCAGTATTCATGGCATTTCCATTTCAAAAGAATTTTTTTTCACTTCCTTAGCCAAATTTCAGATCTGCAACTCCCCCTTAAACATCAATGTCTTGGTGCCCTTTTGGGAGCCTGAGGCATAGCTGCCCTGGGTTCACAAATTCTCTGACGAATCCGTCGGAGCAAAGTAATTCGGATTTATACCCTTGATTGTGTAGCCATCAGAGGGTTTTATTGTGGGTTGTATTGCTACTATTACTAGCTAATTCTTCTCTCGTGCACAGTGAAGCACGTCTTCTTCTTAATTGGTCTTTCCGATGGAAAGTTGAGTCCACAATTAAGACTCTTTTGTGCTTGGTTTTGCAGTTTTTGTGTACGACAGGAACCAGATGAACGTGCTGGAGGTGAACAAGACTGACTATGAGAGCTGCAATGCCGACCACCCGCTCAAGAACTGGACCAGAGGTGCTGGGAGAGATGTGGTTCCACTCAACGTGACTCGACACTACTACTTCATCAGCGGGAAAGGGTTCTGCTACGGAGGCATGAAGCTTGCCGTTCGTGTCGAGAACCCACCTCCTCCACCAAAGGCTTCGCCCGTCAAGAGTGATGCTCCTTCCTCAATTCTCAACCGGCCCTATGTTCTGCCTGCTGTTTTCGCCATTGGGGCGATGTGGGATGCTTTTGTCCACCTCTGGTAGTGAAGTAAATTTGTTCTTCTTTCTTAGCCAGTACCTACATTGAGGATGTAACAACACAACAACCACCACCATCACTGATGAAATGGCGTTGGTGAAATTTGAGCACTTCTCTCTGCATTATTTAATTTGTTTACTTCAACCTTCTTTTTGTTACTTATCTGGGTGGTGCTGTGTCTAGTGTTTATTTATGGTGTACACTGACGTGAAAGGCTGGATCATTGTTTTGTTGATGTTCTAGTTGAGCTTGAATACAGGGTAACTCTGGTTTGGCCGTTGAGGTATCAACATTGATTTGCCGTTGTAGTAGGGTTCTTGTTGATTACGATTTACGGTGATGTGTCTGAAATTTGCTTGCATTAGAGGTTCTTGAATGATCATGGGTGTGACTATAGTGAAGGGATCAGAGTTGTTTTAGCTGAATTTGCAGTTCCGTTCCAAGTTCATACTATACTATAGTGTTCGACATCAAGCATTTGACTTAGTACCAACGACGTGGCAAACTCCTCTATTATGTTGCCTACACAACCTACTTAAGAACACGATTCTTAACGATGAAAAATTATTGTCTTGAATTAAAACACGCAATTTCGTTCAATGCGACTTCAAGGCATCTGAAACCCTTTCGAATTTGGTCAAAGCTAGTTCACATTCTTTACCAAACAAGACTCACCAACATCAAAAGTCTCCTCAAGCTAACATCTTGCCTCTCTTACAAAATAAATAAAGGAATGTTTGGTTGGCAATTACAGCACAAAATCTGGAACATGGGTAGTCACTATCAGACCAAACACACCAAGATTGTCAACTGGAAGATCCTGTATTTTTTCCTGTCTCCATTATTGATCCCTGTTGGATTATGGTAGTAGCTTCCTTCACGTCTGGTGTAGGGTCTCCGCCTTCGGGGAGGACTATGGAGCGATGGGGTTCACATTATTGGTTTCTTCTATGATTGTGTTGTTGAATCGGTCTGGATAATCAAACCAATAAGTTAGTAGTTTACGGTTTAATGTTTAGTTGTTATAGAACTATAACTAAAATTTTAGTTGAACCATTCATATAATACCCTAGTCAGGTCCGGCCGGTTCGGTTCGATCTAGTTCTGATAACAACAAAATGGGGTCCGCTAAGAAATCAATGAGCTTTCTGCAGAGCTGACCTACACAAAGCAGTTTATCCAGGCTTCAAAGCTCGGGTTGCCTTCTGTTTGGGCTCAAAACATTACCTACTCCTCGCGGGCCTAACTTTTATCCAGCCCGTATGTATTGGCAGTGGCACAATCAAGTTGGAAGCGAGCTATCAAGAAGAAAGTTCGGAAAAAATCAGAGTTTTTGAAATTGTATTGTACCGGTGATTCAACCTCAGCGCGATTTTATAATTTTTGAAAAAAATCAAATCTTTCAATTGTGAAACAAATTCAATAAACTTAAGTATAGGGTAAACACTATAAATTTAAAGAAGAATAATAATTTAGGAGAATGATATACAAAGATTACCTCATAAAATGATAAACAAAGATAAATCTCGTTGCGGACAATGTGGCTAACCATCTACGTAGCATCGAGGAGGGTCAAAACCTCCTATGTTTGAGTCGCTCTCCTACAATAAAAGCGAGCTCGAGAGACTGAGAAGCATTCAGACGCCTAGGGTCGCAATGGGCACGGTAACCAGAACTGAAATCGTCTAAAGTGTCCGTGCAAGATCCTCCAATCCACTCTTCTGTTACATGTTGGGAGCCAATCATCTCGAGGTGGATTCCTCCTGGATGGCTTCCTTCTTGGTCATGAACATCGAAAAATGCACCTACTTCAGCCTGAAACATAGATGGTAATTAAAAAAGATTGATCATGACTGGTGAACAATTATCCACTTCAGCGTATCCACCATCAACTATCAAATGTGATAACGGATTTTGATATGATGAAACTTACCAAAACACGATCAAATGGACGAGTCTTCAGTTTACATGACGCTTTGATGTTTCGTCCATACATGGGATCGCAGACCCATGTCACGATTTGTTTGGAGGCATTAACAGCTCTGATCAATTCCGGAAGCTTGACTCTCAGTCTCTCCGAACCCATTTTGCTGATTATGATCGTTATTCTCCCCGGCAGGTTGGCAGGGTTTAACACCTCAATTAGTTTCACCAGATCGCTTGGCTCCATCTTGTCGCTCACCTGTGCATCACAAGTACAGGTCTTTTCTAGCATTACTACTTTGATGTAGTGGAAGGCCAAAATGCTATCACAACAACGAAGTCACATACTTTTATGCCAAGAGGGTTGGAGATTCCTCTGAGGAACTCTGTGTGGGCACTTTCGAGTTGTCGTGTAGTTCCCTCTCCACACCACAGCATGTGAGCAGAGCAATCGTAGTAGAGTCCTGTTGCAGAGTCGAACCTTGTAAGGGATTGCTCATATGGCAGCATCGAGCGGAAGAATTCCCAGAATACAGCCAAAATTATACATAATTCCCTGAATACATAAGTTTTATAAAATTTTCCCAAACTACCCAAGTTTCAAGGGGTTCGAGTTTATGGGACTCGAACTACACACAAGATCGACGATAAGAAACTCGAACCAAAAGTGGATCGACTTTTACACACTCGATCAATAGTGGTTCGACTTTAGAAGACTCGAACAACCATGATCGATTACAGGAGACTCGATCTCAGTAGATCGAGTATAAAACACTCGATCAAGTAAGATCGACTTCAAAATCTTCGATGTAGAGCAACGACTTTAACTCACTCGATCTTTGTCTGGACTAGATCGAGGCCATAAGACTCGAACTACTGGCCCACCGACATGCTCCAGGATAGGGTTACAGGGATAAGATTTTTGTTGTAGCAGATCGAGTTTTAGAAACTCGAACTAGTGTAGTTCGATTACACTAAACTCGAACTACTTGCTCAATCATTCTGTCCAGTCGCTTTCTATCCGACATGCGGCAGAATAGGGCGCAGGGGGGGGGGGGGGGGAAATTATTGGTCGACGTAGATCGAGTTTAATGAACTCGAACTAGTGTAGTTCGAGTGTACTGGACTCGACCCACTCCATCAGTTTACGATAAATAAAAGCCATCACTGAGCACTTTCTGCCAGCACTCTTCCTTTCTATCTTCTTTCTTCCAAACACAAACTGCAGCTGCTGGAGCACCATAGCTGAGCAAAGAAGAAAAAATTTGGAGGTAAGTTCTGCTTACTTTGTTTGAATGAGCATATTAGAATTTTAGATTAATTTAGTATTGTTTGTACTGTATGTAATGAGCTGCTTGTATAAACTGCAGAAATGGGTAGAAAATTTCGAAAATTCGACTTAAAGATTCGGTGGAATGGTCGAATTACACACTTTCATGATAGTATTGACTACGAAGATGGTGAATCAAGTATTGTCCGGATTGAGAGCATATTTACTTGGCAAGAACTCAGTCATATTTGTGCTGAACGATGTTGCATAGCAGGGCGAAGAGTATGCAAGATGACTTACCGTATGCCGGTTTACAAGGATTATGCACTTGTATATGAAGGATCAGTTTTGTCTGACGATGATGACATTAATATGATGGTGAGATTTATTGCAGAGAACAGATTTCCAAGTGCTGAGGTGTATGTCGAAACAGAAGTTTTTGGCCAATATGGTGGCGGCGGTTATACCGAACACGGTGAAGGATCGGGAGGGTTTTTCGGTTCAGGAGATTTCAGAGTGCGGCATGATGCACCATGGCCAACATACGAGGATCGAACTGCAACTGGTCCATTGGTGGAACATGACGGACAGGAGTGGCCAGTATGGGGTGAAGAATGGGATTACATAAGGGCACCCAGACAAGCATCTACACCAGCATCTGGCATCAACAATGATCCATATGTGGATAAACCAAGTCCTCCGTACACTAGCGAGGCAAGCGACATGGAAGATGAAGAGTTAGAATCTATGAGTAGTTCAGATGGTGAAGATCTGGAAGTTGATGAGGGGGAATTTGAGCCCCCCACACCTCACTACACGATGGTGCCACAACATCCTCTCTATGCTCACAACGACGATCCTGACCTCCCTCCTATACCAATATGGACTCCTGACTCTGGATTCGTGGTTGGCCAAACATTTGGAGGAAAGCCTCAGGTGGTCGATGCATTGAAAGAAACTGCTATGCGAAGAAGCTTTCAATATCGTGTCATCACTTCTGACACTAAACAAATTCATGTTCGTTGCGAGAACCATGGCGACGGATGCATGTGGCATGTTCGGGCGGCATATGTTAAAAGAAATGGGGCTTGGCTCATTCGTAAGACAGACAACAACCACACTTGTAGGTCGTCACTGATTTCTCTAGATCACCGACAATTGAGTGCAAGGAAGGTTGCACAAACAATCAAACATCTGATTGAGGCACAACCTGGGATCACCGTGAAGAGTGTCATCGCTGAAGTGAAGAATCGACATGGCTATACCATCAGTTACAAGAAAGCATGGCATGGGAAGCAAAAAGCTATGGCAGAGGTGTATGGTGATTGGGAAGAGTCATTTGCTAACATGCCTCGTTTGATTCTTGCAATGGAGGACAAGAATCCTGGGTCTGTTTTTGTGTCTAGTTACGAAGATTTCTATGGGGGTGCTAAACGGAGTCTGGAAGCTTTGATGCGGGGTTTGAAATTGATGACCATACGGTGAATAGTAGGCTCCTCCTCCCCCTCCTTGAGCAGAACCTGATGATCCCTCTCCAAATTCCCTTCTGGCGGGAGGGAATCCATACTCATATGGGTCAGGAAGTGCCACATCTTCTCGTACATGCACAGGGACTGTAACGGGCTCTTGCCGACGCTTACTCCTCCTTGGTGGTGATGGCGGGAGAGATTCAACTTCAATGGCGTGGGAGGAAGGACGTGGCGGTGCAGGAGCAGGAGGATATGCAATGACATCCCTTCGGATTTCCCGCGAACATGACAAGAGATTCTTGAAGAGCTTCTTCAAGAATGAAATTTTCTCCCCTGGCACATTATCTTCTGGTTCATTCTCCAACGTCATTGATGCAAGTTCCAACCCATCAACCTAAATAATAAACATGTTAGTCAAACACTATTTGTGTAGCTAAAGGTGATTATAGTAAATAGATATTGTGCTTACCAATGAACCGATCACGGCGCCACGTTTGGTTACCCATCTTTTTGTGAACTTGCGGTACCAAACCATGTATTCATCTTGGTACCCCATTGGCCTCGTCATTGGGATCCCATCAATTGCATACGTCTGACGAGACTCCCACATTTCGATCCATCTACGGTGCTTGGTTGGCCAATCAGTTATTGTACCCCGCAAATCCTTGCTGTACTTGTGGAGTGACTTATGTACGTCCGGTGGTGGGAGAGGAATCGGTTGCGTCCAATTATATTGTCGGACACATCTATCCGGGAGGTGCCACTCGGCAATGTTGTGGCAAATCACAGGCAACTTGCACGACCAGAGTCGGCGATCCTCAGGGTATCGCAACTCGTACAAATCCTTTGCTCCGTTCGGATACGGATCCCACTCCACCTAAGTTTCAACACAACATATAAATTAAAATCGGGCCAAATAATTTCAACAAATAAAATAGGATTCATAATCATAAAAATAAATAATGGGCTAAGACAAATAATTTCAACAAATAAAATAGGATTCATAATCATAAAAATAAATAATGGGCTAAGACAAATAATTTCAACAAATAAAATAGGATTCATAATCATAAAAATAAATAATGGGCTAAGACAAATAATTTCAACAAATAAAATAGGATTCATAATCATAAAAATAAATAATGGGCTAAAACAAATAATTTCAACAAATAAAATAGAATTCGTAATCATAAAAATAAATCATAGGCTAAGACAAATAACTTCAACAAATAAATTAAAAATAAATAATCATAAGTTAGAATGTTACCTCGTTGAATTCTATACGGTCAAGATGTTGGCGGTACCCATCTAGAGAGGAGAAACTCGTGATAGCTCCAATCCATCTAGCACCATAAGCCCATTGTCGTAGTGGCTCATCGGGACCCCAACTGTTGGCAGGGCAGATCGGAGCGAAAGTAGGAAGGTGCTCCCAAACCCATAGTTGGAGGATGAACATGGGACCACCCGCTTGCTTTGTTTTCGGATCCGTACACTTGCACAACTCCGAATATATCCTCGCCAAACAAGCAGATCCCCAACTTTTTCTCCCAATCTCATCCCAATCTTCCAAAAGAACTCGAAGCCACATACAATGCATATTTCCACCAGACTTGTTCGGAAACAAAAATCCTCCAACCAAACAAATAAGGTAGATGCGAGCATACCTCTCTATCTGAGCATCCGTGGCATCCTCCGGTAATTCCCCAGCGGTCCTCACTAGCCAAGGTATCAATAGCATAGACTTGTGTAGAGGTGGTACACGACGACCTTCTTCTGCTTCCTCTGGGATGATGATACCTAAACGCTCGCTTATATATTGGCCCCAACCATTCAATGGTTTTGAAGAACTTTCTATTATTGCATCACCATCGATTGGAAGCTCTGTCAGCATGGCTACGTCCTTCAACGTAATCGTCATCTCTCCCTCTAGAAGGTGGAATGTGTGCGTTTCTTTTCTCCATCTTTCCACCATTGCCGTAAGAAGGTTGTTGTCCATCTCCATCCCCACAAACTTTCGCACCCTCAGCAATCGCGCTCTTTCAATGAAGGGCTCGATACGATCATCCCATTTAGGCAAGCGAGATAGCGACCGATGGGTGATTACGTCAAGTTGTTCCTGTAAAAAAAAAACATTAATTATTATACAAAAAAATTAGAAGAATACTATCACATTAAAAAAAAGTACATGAGGAAGTGCCTACCGGATCTGCCGCCCAAACACTTTCAGACCGATGGTAAGGTTGCTCATCCAACAAATCGGTTTCTCGCGGTCCACCTTGAATGTATAATCTAGGATCGTAAATACTCGGATCCATCTCGACAATTTTGAGTGATAGAAGTACCAAACTAAAGAAAAAAAATCTGATGCGGAAGATCGGGCTTAGCCGCAACCACAGAGCATATTTTTTTCTTCAAGAGTGGTGGGAGGAAGAGAGGAAGAAGAATGGAGTGGTGTGAGTTTTGGTGGAATATGAGGGGGTATTTATAGGCTCTGTGGGAGAGTGGATCGAGTTTACAAAACTCGAACAAGTGCATCGATTTTTATGCACTCGATCCGCGTCAAAAGCAGATCGTGGTTAGGCGCATCGAACGAACCAGATCGAGCTTAGGGTAATCGATCAACGGTTGATCGATGCTGACATCAGCGATCCACTGCATCGAGTTTTAGACACTCGATCCGCGTCATCGAGTTTGACGCACTCGATCCGCGTCATCCCTGCTTCGCGGGTTTGACAGTCGGACGGCCTAGATCGAGTTTAGACCACTCGATCAACGGTTGGGCGCGCCTGACGTCATCGATCCGCGTCAACTGGATCGATTATAGCTGACTCGATCCACCTACCTCGAATTTACCGCACTCGATCCGTGTCATCACTGCTTCGATGGTTGAGCAATCGAACGACCCTGATCGCGTCCTAGTAAATCGATCTATGGTGGAGCGCTGCCCAGCTCATCGATCCACTTCATGTGGTTCGAGTGTCCCATCCTCGATTCACCTGGATCGTGTTTTTGACAATCGATCCACTGCTGGTTCGAGTTTTGTAAACTCGAACTATGTCAAACTTTGGTAGTTTGGGAATTTTTTTTAAAAGTTTGGTATTCTGGGAATTTTTTTTAATTATTACTGTATTTTGGGAATTAATCCGCATCGAGCACTCATGGGAAGTCCAGAACTCTGCTCTTGCCATGCTGGGGTGTTCTTTTGGTACCCCGGCAGCTTCCATGAGCCCTAAAGGCCTCATCAACCTGATTCGCCAAGTCTTGGTACCTATCTCCCATCTCAGCAAAATCGAGATTCCATTGTGTAACCCTTTTCATGGAAGCAAACCCTCCAGTGGCTAATGCTCTAAGCAGGTTGAGCGTGGCTGCAGATCGGCCGTATGTCTTGATCATCTTATGTGGATATGGAATCCTTGACTCATCACCATTGATATTGTCCCTCTTGTAGCTTGTATTCTCAAATTGACTAGCCATTCTCGCCACCTAACACAATAATAAAAATTAAACGATCTCCTTTTTAACAAGGGTGCTGAAGTAAGTTAGTCTGGGAATCAGAATTCTGACCTTGATAATAGGGACTTGGCCGCGAAACATGAGAAGAGTGGCCATCTGAAGCAAGATGTTGAAAGTGTCCTTGATACGATCACCATTGAATTCGTTACAGTTCTCTGCTACTGTACAGTCCCCGCCGCCTTGGAGAAGGAAAGCCTTTCCGAAGGCAGCATCTCCCAGCCTCTCATGGAGACTCCTGGCTTCCACTGGGGTGATCAGTGGGGGAAACTCTTCAATATCATTTGTCTGGTTTCGATATTTCGGCAGCTGTAATGCCTTCTTCGTTCTCCAACTGTCAGCGCTCCATTTCTCGGCAAAATGAGGTGGAACGGCGGCCGGGCGGCACCGGACGGTGGGCGGGTTTTTGGGGACGATGGAATGTTGTGAATTGGCAGAGTTGGGGTTGGAGAGGAAGAAGTTGAATTGGAGCAGCTTTGGAAGGGCCATGGTAACCGAGGAGGCGAGTATAATGAGGCCTGCGCCTCTTCTTATTCTGACGGGCTAGGGCTAATGCTTGATTGGGCTCAAAACATTATCCACTCCTTCTGGGCCCAACTGTTCTCTAACCCAATATAGCCGCAGTTGGCAACTTGGCAGGCAGGTGAACAAACAAAGAAATTCCGGGGAAAATAAAACAACTTCCAACAATCAAACAAATTCAATAATAATAATGCCCATATAAAGGCAGCTAAAGAAATGTATTATTTATTTATCTTTAAAAATATTAAAGGGGTTTGGAAAACCGACCCCTCCACGTAAGCCTAAATGGCTTCTCCGCATTTTTCGGTTATCACCATATTTTTTATTATTTAAATATTCCTCAACGGTTTCAAGACCTCTTTTATTCAAAAATTTTACATTTTTCGTTCCTTGACTGCCTCCCCTGAAAAACGAGAATCCTTCTAACATAGGCTTCTTTTTTCGTTTCTTTTGGTTATGTGGTGTGGAGGGATGAGGGAGGGGACATACATTATAGGATAATTGTTTATTATTATTTGTGATAAATTATTTTTCTCCAATAATAATTATTTACTCACCTAATAACAATATTTTGGTATCTAAATTATTTCTCATAATATTTTTTTATAGCTACGCAAAACATATCTATAATAATAATAAATTTTTTGAGTTTTTGGTCATCTTCAGGTCAAACTTTTACAAAATTTAGTGTATCCACATAAACAAAAAAATCCTTCCATTCTCCCTACATTTTCTTGCATGACCATCATTTCACTCATTCTCATCATCTGGCAAATTTACCTTAGCGTTATCAACGTATAGAGACTGAATCTAAACTCTCTCGACATTTCTAATATGATACATCATTGGACTTCCCTCTAAATCGACTCAAGATGGACATACCTTCCTTTGGACTAAATTGAAAATTGAGATGCATGCTTGTTTTCCTTTTTTGGTGTTTCTCGAAAACTATTCACTTGATTTAGAAATTTGTTATTTTAAATGCTAATATAGTCCAATTGTATATATACACAACAAAGAAAAGGGTTACCTGCCCAAAGGGCAGGGTCAAAGCTAGTTTATAATATGATGCTTATTTGGACTTTCCATATGATACGCCAATGGTTTGCTCCATCGTAACCCATGCAAAGATAAACTCCGAACGTCGTGGCTATACATATCTTTAAGTTTTAGGTTCCGAAACATTCTCTTCCTGAGTCTCTCAGCTATCATAAAAACGAATCCAAGAGACTTAGAAGAAGTGGCGGCTCCAGAATTCTTGAAGAGGTGCGTCGACCGATAAAAATTATTATATAATTAAAATATTAAATAAATAAAATAAAATTGAACTCGTACTGTTCACAATTGCACTATTTTTACATCAAACCATAGACTTTAAAGGTTTTTAAATTATATTTACCGCTTCTGTTGCAAATAAAACTTTTTTTTCGACAAAACTAAACAGTCATTTATAAAACTTAATTTGGAAATTGTTGTTAATTAACTTCATAGCATAAAAGTCTTTTTTGCAACTTGCAATTGTAATAGATGAAGCCAACACTAACTTCATATGAAGAAGCTAAGATTGGAAGGGTGACGACAGACGTCAACATGAAAGTTTGAACGAGAATGAGGGCTCTGCCAACTAGTTCACGGGAGGAGACTCATTCCGGATCGTGACACTAGGCACTAGCAATTGAAGGGTGGAACGGAGGGAAGAGAGATGCAATGCAGGGGTAAGGAGGTGGCCATATTTTCTTAAGGACTAAGGAGATGATCATGTATTTTTAGTGTGTATGAGAAATATTTTTCATCTTTTCAAATAAAAAAAATTGGAAAGTAAAATCAAAAGGAGTAAAGGGAACACTGGGTTTTATTAAGGGCATGAGATTGTTTGTGATATTTTTGAATCAAAATAAAAAATAATTAATTTGTCATAAGCCATGACACGCCATTTATTGAAATGTATTGAAAGTGTGCGATTACAATTATCGAAGGTGTGTCGGAGGTCCGAAATCCAAAATTTCTGTATCGACAAAATATGTATCTCTCACAAAATTTTCGGGTTGTGGTGTGGAAGTGGTTAATCAAAATGGAAGCATTGACCACAAAGGTATAATCATCCCATCCTTTAATTATCATTTATCATTAAGCCTAAAAAGTTGTAGCATTCTGTGCAATCACACATGAACGGTGGTTAATATTAATTTACTGTAATGGTTTTATTATGTTAACTAGAAAGTGACGAAAACAGTAATTTTAAGGATCACGTTTGCATGGGGGAGTATACAATTTCGAGTTAGGCAACAGGAAATTACAGAGTTATTGAACAGGGGAAGAAGCAGCAAGACGTGCCTTGAATGAATCCCAACCGATCTCTTTCTCCAAGTACTCAATGTTGGAAGGATCAAATGGCCCCTTAATCCTGTCTACCCACTTAATCACTGCCCTCGCCGGAATAACGCTCTTTGACGGGTCCGCCGCCGTCCCGTAATTAAAGCACGACGAGAATCCCTGTATATAAATTAACAACACCCCATTGATGAAATTGGCTACAGATGGGACTTAGAGAACCAATTAATTGACTAACTGAATCGACTGATCACTTAACTCTGAAGATGAGGACTTCCACAAGCTGGCCATCCACAGAGGCATGGACAACCAGAGCTTCCCCTCTGCTACGCTGCGTGTAGAATTCCAGCATCGCAATTTCTTGATTGTATTCTTCGTCTTCTTTACTCTCCTCTTCGTCCTCTTCATCGGCGATGCTGTCCCATCTCGCCCGTCTCCTGCCGGCGGCAGTAGTAGTACAAGGACCACAAAGCTTCTCCTTCAATTTGTGTAATGAATTCGTACTCGCAGTAGCAGGGCTTGTCAAGGGCCGTCTTTGGATCGCCGTCACCTGCAGGCGTTTGAGGGCTTCTGGTGCTGGCGCTACTACCCATCTTCCCTTTGGCAAGCCAATTGGTTTGATCAGTAACATTTCCTTAATGATGTTGTGGATTGGTTGGTTCGTGAGAAGGAGAAGAAGTAAGTTTTTGGGTAGAGGGCTTGTTTGTCATTTACAAGATAAGGTGGATGGATGCAGTGTTTGGTGGACAGGATGCCATGAGTGCGACTAGCTACCACCATTTTGTAGCATTATTTGATATATGTTTTCTTTTGTCTGTTTACGATGATGACAATGGGTCGGGTTGGGGCGGGTTTTGTCAAACCCGAATCCAAGCTCATGGGTTTATACGCCAAAAAAATCCAGGGTAAAACCCGCCAGGTTTGAAAAACTCAAACCCAACCCAACCCGCTTGGTATCCACGGGTTCATGGGTACCCGTGGATTTTTGTGATAAAAAATTTACAATAACAAATTTTTTTCAAAATAAAAGTTTAACATCAATTTTCTCATACAAATTATTCATAGAAAAAACACCAATCTACAACATACAAGCAAACCGCAAATGATCAATACAAGTTATTCAAAATTAAATATAAGCATCTATAAACAACATTATTAATTGAAAACATCTTCCTCCTTGTCAACTAAACTTCTTCACTCTCCACTCCATAATATCAACTTCATTCTAAACAATTAGAAAAAATAAATTATACAAGTCTCCACAAACATTAAGAATATTAGTTGTTTAAAATATTAAATATACCGAGAAAGTAATTATATGTGCGAGCGGGTACCCATGGGTGGGTTTACCTAAACCTAAACCCAATCCAACTCGATGAATAGTGTAGCGGGTTTAAACCCGAACCCGGCCCAAAACCCGTCAACACAGGTTTCACCTGCGTTAACCGGGTTAGGTCGAGTGGGTATCCGTCGGTTCGGGTTTTGTTGCCATCCCTAATGTTCAGTTTTTTATTTCAACCTATTTATGCAGAACAAGAACAAAAGTAGGAGATTGTACATAACCATACTGATACTCCTTCCTCCAAAGAGAAATGAGCAAGAGTACTAGGCATCTTGTTAACCCAAACAAGCATTGTCTGTCCCAACGAGCTTCAGGGTGTCTCGGTTGGATCGGCTTAATCTCCCGTAATTATGCATGAATGGAGCATTTACTTATTTTAGTAATTAAAGAAATTGGACTGGCCTAAGATTATCTGCTCTATAAGATTTAATGACTGGGATTCGATTGCAATGAAGATACTATCTGCTCTCCTGAGATCTAAGATGATCTCTACCCTCAAAGGCCAATCCAAGAATTGCTTAATGGTGTCCGCCCCCAACAGCTATGCAGGGATCACTTTAGGTGATCGTTTCACCTAAGAATCAACCAAGAACAGATCACTTAGGGTGACAGTGATCCTACCAAAAATCAAAGCTATCCTATGACAGCAGCAGCAGTACTCCTACGTTGATGGGCTTTTTGGGCCGGCCCTCTAGCCACGTACGAAGAATGGTGTTCATGGTGGTGGCCATCATTGGGTGATCCATCACACACTAGTGCATCTAATCATCTCTGCAAAAACTGCAGCTAAACATTCTGTACCGGGGAAGGCAAAATCAGAAGTAGGGAGGATTGGTTGCGGCTCACGGCCGGTCATCACCTGCATTGGCAATCAGAACCAATGAAGATTTATGGTGGTACAAATGGACTTCCGAGTGTCGTCTTAAGAACTGAAGAAATGAAGCATATGCAAAGCAATCAATCGGGTAAATGCATACTGTATTCCAGGAGTGTCGTCATGGCATGGTAGTATCAGCTGGATAACTCCCTAAAATTCGCAAGGATGTTGCGAGCTTCTGCAAACAGAGGATATAAACACGCGTTTCATGGCAAGTCCAACATGCAACAGAAAAGCTTGTGAAGGAAAAACAAGACTCACTTCCAGATCTTGCAGGGCCATTTTAGCATCATCACTAGCCATTGAAGCCTCAAAATCGGCATAGAACAGATAATGAAAGCATCTGCAGAAAACCATACTACTACTGCATGAACAAGATAAAGAGTTAAATTGAGGGGCCTAAAAACAGAAAACCAGCTATTTGTCAATAACTTACTTCTGAAGTCCATTGCCATCCACTCCAGGAGATGTCAGAGAACTCCACCTCATAGGGCGGCTCTCGATCTTGTTCAAAACAAAGAACAAAGGGACCAAAATCATGAACATGCATATAGCACACAAATTTTTTTGGCGGGGAATGAGGGGCAAAGAAGAAAATTACTTTCGTGAGGTTGATTTGCCTCTCTGCAAAAACTGCAAGAGCCTTGTGAAGCATTCCAGGGCCCTCCTCAAGTGAAAAGACTATGCTTGTCTGAAAAAATAAACAATGTTATCATGATCCCTACCTGTTAGGTTAGTCAGGCAACAGTAAATACCAATACAATTACTGTCATGTTAACCTTGAAGGGACGATCATTGCCTGCAATTATGGGCTCCCTCGCCAACATCAGAAATCTTGTAACGTTGAGAGAGGCATCCTAATAGAATAGGAGCACAGTTACGAACTGCCGTTTTAGCATCAACATAAAACATCATCAGGAATTAATACAATAATTGCTGAACCTGAATGTCTTCTGCTAATATATCTAGGCCATAGATTTCAGCTGCAGCGGAACTAGCAACAGCTCCTGTGTCCTCCAATTTCTCGAGTGCAACATGCTGAGATCAGGGAGTTCAATCCCAGCAAAGTCGGAGAGGAAAAAGAATAAAAATAAATCCGGGATTAGGTTAGCCACTCAATGCAGTTCCAACGATACAATCCCAAACGTAAATGCAAGGATGGTGCAAACCAACCAAAACCTGAAACACATCAAATCTCATCTTACCTTTGCTGCACCAGCAGTATCATCCACTGCTTCTCTAACCAATCCCAACCTGGTTAACGTATATTCACATTGAGCAAGTGCCTGAAATATGTTCCAGTAAATCCTCCAGTTGGTTGAGCTGAATATCGTGAGAAGGAATCGATGCAACAATATATTCAGCAACATACCTGGGGATGACTTAGAACCTTCTTCAAGTGTTCAACTTTAACACCTTGATTTGCTAGCAAGCAATGACGAACAGCATATTTTATTTCTCCCACTATATGTAGCCTGTGTCGGAGTAAAAGGTCGTAATTTCTGTGGATACTCCCACCCAAAGAGTTTTCGATGGGTAACACAGCTCTGTCCACAGAGCAAGCTTCAACAGCCTGTGAAGGTTAATGTCAAAAGGCCGTGCACAATCACATCCACAGAGATAATACAGATGTACAAATTAAGATTCTGATGTGATGGAGCTTCATCTATAAGTCACAAATCTGTAAAGCGATTTCAAACTAACATTGGTGCACCACTGAAAACTGAATTCCAACTCCCACCCATAGCAAATAAAAAGTGTGGCTTTACCTAACAGTGAGCAAGAGAAGCCTAATTTGAGGTCCTCGGTACTAATTCAAAGCATGATAAGTTCCAAGTTTCTCCGTTCACATAGGACAATCAAAGCAAAATCGGACATCCCAGTAAAAGAAACATCATAAAGAAGAGAAATTTACTTCAAATGCAGTTTCGAATTGATCGCAAGGCACTGGCTCGCAGTTGGGATATGCCTTCAGGGCAGCAGATTCGCTATGTGCCCCACAGAGCCCCTGCATTCAAATTTACACTTCAGTAAAAACACGAAATCAAGTAGAGAAAATCCTTCTTTTATCAGAAACAACATATCGAAATGCAGAAAGGGATAGCAAACCTGATAAGCAACGCGGAGGGGAGAACCACCGCACTCTGAATTAGGCACTGGCGCCGACGTCAAACGCCCTGTTGAAAACGAGCAGTAGAACAGCAATTGAATTGAATTCCTCCAACGAAAATCATACAAAAGAGAGAAAATCGAAGCCAAATCTAAAGTAAGAAAAATCCCTACTCGGAGGCGAATCCTGGGTAAGCACATTGCATGCAGCGGGAACAGCTCCATCAGACGAATTGTTGTTACCGAATGTGGAGGCTCGCACCGACACGCAGGAGCGCCGTCTTAGCAGCTGCGGCGATTGATCGGAGCGCGAGGGTTTCGCAGGGGTTCGGCTCGTGAGGGGGGAAATTAAGGATCGCGTCAGAGAAGCGGCCATTGTCGAGTCCGCAGATTGTGACGCAAGCGAGAAGACCCAGGTGGCGCCTCGCCGGCGGTAAACAGCAGATGAACTTTGCGGTGAAATTTTGTAGAGTTTGTGGGAATGGAATAGAGCTGTTAAAAGTAAGGCTAATGATGTAACAAATCTATTCATTTTGTACAAAACGATCACTATTTCTTAATTTTGCACGTTTCGATAAAACAAGTTTGAGTGAACACTAATTAACCAATCTGTCTACTCTCATCCAAAACTCCGCAATCTTTTACCTATTCAACATGACACGTCACTAAAAATATTAATTTTTATTCTAACCATCCCAATTAACCCACACAACCAAACCAATTCAATAGCTCTGAACCCACCCGGTCGTACCCTAATACCCACCCCTCCCAACTTTGAAGAGAGAAAGAGAAGACAAAAAATCAGTTTCATCAGTTAAGAATACTAGCTTTTTACCCGCCCGTTGGGCGGTGCATTCGTATTGTTGTTTTATTTTTAGTCTATTATTTTTTTATGATTTATGTATGTTAAACTATTATACATTGATTTGTTAATCTCACTTACTTGATTTTAGGTATTGTTACATACTTTTATATCTTTTGTTTATTTATCAAAATTTGATTTTATTAAATGAGCTCTCAGTAGATCTTTATTTATTTATTTATTTATTTATAAGTTAGTATCGAACCCACAATTCAGGATATATACATAAGAGATTATTAATGTTTTAACACACAATAGTGACAAAGAAGTTTAAAAAATGAATTAAGCAAATATGTTTCAATTAATAAAAAAATAAGCAAAGAGATTTTCATTTCTTCTCCCTTCTCGTATGTTGGTATGATAATACATAATATCGCGCTCTAAATCCCACGAACATCGTGCACTATCAGTTACTTGTGCAATTTTGGAAGAATGAGAAAATGCATTTGCATCCACATCATCAATCTTCAGCTTATTCAGTTAATTTATCTTTAAAATGTTCTAGCCAAACCAACCAAAAATATAACTATTAGTTGTCACTAATTTATTAAAACAATATTTTTCAGCAAACTAAATTGCATATAAACACAATTTATATTTGTAGAGAGCTACATACCCCCTTCAAAAATAAAACAATGGTGTATTTTTTTTTACCTAATAACAACATAGACGAATTGTAAACCTCAACTCATTGTATCTTGTAAATTCTTCATTCATGAACACGGTTGATGCATCAATCCAAATAGCTGTTGTCAAGAAAACGATCAGGCTAAAATCAAATTTTAGTTAGAGATTCAATTAGGCAAAATTTCACGCGAAGGAAACAAACAAATGTCATTGCAAACGTGTAAAATTGAAAGAACGTCGATTTGAGCAAGGAAATTTACGATCAAGCCGTTGTAATATGGAAGAAATTAAGAAACAAATGGAAAGAAGAGTTTAATATGGCTAGTCAACCACAAACAACTACATATCTCTAGGAAAAAGAGATCAGTTGTCAGCTACAGATCAAGGGTGAAGAGGGAGGAATGAGCAATCATCGACTTCATTCAATTCGTCTTCACAATGATAGGATGAACTTTTTTAGTCAATAGCCAAATATATGTTACAGTAGCTCAATTGTTTCCCATCTAATCATTGTCTTATATAACTCCATCATCGTATTCTCTTACAAAGAGTAAAACCTCAATATGCCTTACTATTTCCTTTCATGTATCTGTTTGAAAAAAGTAGAGAAAACAAATGCTATAAATCTCGGGATTTTGAGCAAATAAAAAGAGACGTTTGTTTGTTTTTATGGGGCTTGATCCAATTTTTTATTTTCTTATTTTCAATATTGCGCTTTATTTTTATAGAGAGAATTTGTATGAGAAAAGGGATAGGAACAAACCAAAATGTTGCATTCTGTGTTATTAACTTAATTTATGTTTTATTTATAGTGATGATAATTTAAAGAGTAAACAAAAAAATATATAAGCAAGAATTAGAACTTGTCCATACTGGAAGGGTGAGAGCTAACCATTCGTTGATGTGACACTAATTTAGTTTTTAATTCCTACAATATTAAGTAATGATGGTTTACAATTTTTTGAATTTTTTTATAAACTTTAAGAATTCATACAATTATTGTGACATTTCACATACATTTGAATACTCAGATTTATTATAGACAAATTTATTGTAAATACAAATTGCTTATTTTACAAAATAGAAAATTCCTATTTGATACTTTGATATTGAAAAGTTTTTATTATTGCCAAAAGTTGGCATTGAGTCATAGACTCGCACCATATAACCAAAGGATTTATTACAATTGCCTTATCAAGTTCATTCTTATTAGAGATTCTTCATTTTAACCCAATACCTTGATTTAGATTCTTGTAAACATAAAAGTTTTTTGTTTAGATATCTCAACTAACACACTGATATTTATTTATTGTCTCAATCCTCAAATTTTGATTTGTCTAAAAGACATTCAACTACTAATGAAAATTGTCCAATCCTTATTTGATCAATGCCTAGGTTAGTGATTGATGAAATGTGATATTTATCATATATTCTCAACAAAGATTCCTTTAACATTCACATGTGTCATTTTTTAAGGTATATTGTGTCTCGTCTTAAGGTATGAAGTCAAAGTTCGTCAAAACTTATACTTAAGTCATTTTGAGAACTTTGATATATAATCCTCGACAATAACTCTAAATCTGAAAAGAAAATTTATTAGCATACTATTTATGACCTCAATTGAGTTTTCTCAACCAAAATCGTCTAAATCAAAAAATTTAATGTGAACTTAAACCAAATTCTAAAATATTGCACATGTAATTACTTTTCATTTGAGAAATTTCAGGTAGAACTTGAATATATGTTTTCACTTCATCAGGATGAATACAAATGTTTTTAAGAAATTATTATTATTACTCGATCAAGTTATATTTTGACAATTATTTTATTATATGAAATAATTATTCATATAACAATTATTTTAATTGGTAGACATATATATTATAAAGAAGAGAAGGTTTAATATATAAATTCATATATTTCATTTCTCAAATTTGATTGATTGTCAAATGCTTGGTTTGTCTCTTTATGTTATTATAATTTATTTAATAGACAACTTTTTTTTCATTCCTGAGGAAGTTTATATTTTTCTCGAGTCCTCTCCCCTAATGGTACAGAACAATAGTCATTGGAGTAGATACACAAATCACTTTTAATACAAGAAGCCGAGTAGGCGGATTGATTCGAGTGGAGAGGAAAAAAAACTACGGATTCGAGCCATAGTACATGGTTTCATAAAAGCGTATGCTTTTCCCGATCTAAATAAAGCGGGTTTTCCATGAAGAAGACTTGGCTTTGGCTCAACATGTTATATTCGATACGTGTATGTACTTATTTAAAATTTTCATCAAAATGAGTAGATAATTCACTTGATAAGATTTAATCATATATTTGTGTAAACAAACCCGATATATGCCATTCTTTGTTTTCATCTTTATATTTTGTTTAATTGACAAAAAAATATTATTATTTATGTTTGTTTTTATTTATATTTCAATGTAACTTATTATTAATGTTGAGTAAGCATAAATACTAAAAGAAGAGAGAGATAGCTTAATAAATAGGTCAATAATAAATTTTTTTGTTAGTAAAAAAAATGTCCACCTTGGCAACTTGTTATTTCTCCAAGTGCTTATGTGGCAATATGTTACTTTTGAATTGCCATATATATATATATATAGTATCTATATATATATATATTATATATAGAACAAGGAAGCCCTGATATTTGATGATAAAACAAAATCAAACTTCTGATTACGCTATAGCTGAACTACTTATAGCCGGCTTTGCTGGTCAATTAAAGGGTTGGTGGGATAATATCTTAACCGCAGAAGACCAGAGAACTATTTTTACAGCTGTCAAATGTGATTCTTCAGGAACTCCTATTTTAGACTCCAATAATCAATCTTCTCAAGATGCAGTCGCATCTCTGATTTTTGCCATTTCAAAACATTTTATTGGAGATCCTTCACATCTTAAAGATAAAAATGCCGAACTACTTTCTAATCTTCGTTGTAGAAAGTTTCATGACTTCCGATGGTACAAAGACACCTTTTTAACTAGGGTTATGCAAAGAGAAGATGGAAATCAACCATTTTGGAAAGAAAAGTTTTTAGCCGGTTTACCCCGTCTCTTAGGAGATAAAATCCGAAACAAAATCCAAGACACTTTTAATGGTCAAATTCCTTATGAGCAACTTACTTACGGAGAACTTATTAGCTTTATACAAAAGGAAGGATTACAAATTTGCCATGATTTAAAACTTCAAAAACAGATCAAACGCGAACAAAAACTAACTCGAAAAGAACTAGGATCTTTTTGTGCTCAGTTTGATGAATCTTACTCAAAAATTTCTTCCAAATCTAACTGTGAGGATTGTAGCACCAAACCTCATAAAAAACATCGTGATCGTCCCTACCGATCTTTTAAAACCACGAATCAAAAATCTCATTTCTCTAGGAATCCCCGCCCAGATAGGGGACCACGATCTAGCAATGAAAATAAAAACATTACTTGTTTCCGTTGTGGAAAAACAGGTCATATTTCCAAATATTGTCGTATAAAAAAGAAGCTCAATGAGCTTAATCTTGATGAAGAGATTCATGACAAAATCAATAATCTTTTTCTCCAACACTACTCTTCTCATGAGGATTCTTCTTCTTCTTCTTCAGATGATGATGAGAATCTTCAGGCTTTACAATTTGATGACTTCGATGAAAGTTCTGAATCTTCTATCAATGTTTTAACCAAAGATCAAGAGCTTATTTTAGATCTAATCAATAATATTGATAATCCTCATCTCAAAGAAAAATATTTCAAAAAGCTTCATGAACACATGGAGAAACCTCCTGTGACTATTCCACCTACCAATCCCTTTCATCAAGGTTCGACGTATAGTGTCAAAGATATCCTTTCTCGACATAGTAATAATGATTCCCACAATCCTTCTCTTCCTGACTTCCAAAAGGAATTGGATATTGTTAAGAAAGAAATTCAACAATTACGACAGTTACAAAATAGTGATCATGAAATATTACAAACTTTAATAGCTCTCAAACCTTTAGAAGAGCCATCAACATCTAGCCCCGAAAACTTTTTCGATGAAACTCCTCACGCAACCAATAGTTTAGAAACAGAGGAAATGCTAACTGATGACGATTTTCTATGTTTTTTATCTACCATTACTACCCAAAAATGGTAAGTTATCATTAATATTCAGGTTTCTTCTGATTTTACTTTAAGCACAGTGGCCCTTCTTGATACAGGAGCAGACATGAACTGCATCCAAGAAGGATTAATTCCAACTAAGTACTATGAAAAGACCCTCGAGCGTCTATCTACCGCTAACTCTCAACCTCTTCAAATACAATATAAACTTTCTAATGCTTTAATTTGTCATCAAAATGTTGAATTCAAAACTCCTTTTGTCCTAGTACGTGATATGCAACAAAAGGTGATCTTAGGGACACCTTTTCTAAATCTTCTAAAACCTTTTACCGTCACCGACCAAGGAA